AAAGAACGCCGAGACAAAAGAAGTCAAAGCTGCAGAGACAAGCCATCGAACCTGAACAAAAAATACAAGACAAGCGGGTAGAAACCTTACAAATCGCCGCTGGATGCTGAAAAAACTGAGATCAGTGATCTTTAGAAACTTAATTCTTGGTTTCTAAACCTAATATTGAACAAAGAGTGGCTGGGAAACGATGTAAAAGATGTCAGACTAATGGAATCATGAAATCAAATGTCTTTCAGAATTGTAATTACGTTTTATTGCAACACAAATGGAACATTGTATCACAGAGGAAATTCCAATTTTAAAAACGAAACCAAGGAAATGTAATATCAAACATTATATGTTTAAAGCAATGGTGAGTTTAAAAGAGATTCGACTTTCCAACTTAAACCGAAATAGAAAGAAATTATAAAAGAGGTATTGATTTTCTATATTTGGAATTGCTTGGATACGAGTATGCGTTGTGGTGTTTATAATAAACCATGCAAAGTGCGCAGTACCTCAACTTTAATTTGTTCGTAGCCAACAAATATTCAAACCCCCATTGAAAATTTTTCTTGTGATATTAGTATTGAGCTCCTATTTAAGTAAACTATCAGAAATATGATTGTTTACAAATAGCGACTTTAAAAATTAAAATTACCAATCCGATAAATGATTTTATAAGAACGTCAAATGCACATAAAATGTTTCAGAATCAGTAAACTTAAAAATTGCACAACCTGTTTGAAACAAAGAATGCTTAAAATAGTACCTGAGTCATGCTTAAGTTTAGATTCTTTCATTATAAAGACTTTGAACTAAATGACGACTGGCTTACTAATAGAATAGTTGATTTGATATGCAGTGGAGTGTTATATCATGTTCACGGAATTTCAAAGCGATTAGAGCCTGCTGCTACTTGAACATTAATGGAAAATTTTGAGGCACCTTTTGGCAGAACAGCGAAGAACGAAGAAAACCCGCGAGGAAAACGCATGCCGTAGAACACGAAGGTTGTTGAATCGAGAAACCGTGCTCAAAGGTCTGCTGGTTAAACGAGCTGCGGATAGATGGATGGGTCTGTTCGGTTTGGTTTGGTCAGGTAAGCGACCAGGTAAGCAGATAGGCAGGCAGGCAGGCAGAAAGCCGGTCGAGAGGTTAATTACGAGAGCAAAGCGTTTCCAGGCGTTACGCTCACTGAGCTACGGAGGCATGAAAACACCAGAACTGGAAAACATACGAGTACGACTACCAGTTGAATAGTGTTCAACATGCTGGTAGAAAAAAATAGGCATTCATTTGCAACACATTTGTAAATACCAGACCCTTAACACCCTATACCTCCAGTTTTATTATGAAAATTGTGGGACTTTAAAAGTGTTTCTTAGTATTTCATAGGTACATATGCAAGTTTTCTGACAATGGTTTAAAGGAAAACGTGAAATTATTAGGATATTGCAAAATGTTAAATAAATATTAAAGGTCAATTACATTTGTATGATTTCATTAGAAGGGTATTTGTTATTTAACAAAAGGAAGATAGATCTACAAATCTTTTTCAACAAAACATCACGATTTACCAGTTTCTTTTTGATATGAATATGATTCAGAATCAAGTTGATAAGAGTGATTATTCGTAAAGTAAACAAGTAATGTTTAAAAATAGAGATGATTGACTTGTGCTTTCATCAACGGAGCACCTTACGTTACTTCGACGATAAGAGTGAGATATGATTCCCATATTTTCGGCGCGCTTTCATGATATTTGCAGACTCATCGACATTGACGCACAGCACAAATTGCATTTAAATGCACATTACAGCGCGAATGCGAGTGCAGGAAAGAGGCAGAAAGACCGGGCCCGAACCCGTTTGCTGCTTCCTTCATAACCGGAAACTGAAGGCTAAATTGTGCAAAGCAAAAAAAAGCGTAAACACAGAAAAAAAAGAAAAAACGTAATATGATGACGAGGGGCTGAACCACCGCAAAGGCAGCTGGAGATTCAGATGGAGAGGTAAAAGCCAAGAGCCAAAAGAGCCAGACATGCGGTTCAGTTTATTCAGCCAGCCAGCGAAGCCAAACGAACTCCATCGGCAGCTCCACTTGGCCACTTTTACATCGCACGTAGGCCCGTCCACTTCCCACAGAGGCTCTGCCTCCAGAGCACAGTCACAGTGGACCCTGCCTAGGGGAAACCTTGGGAGTGCTGCCAAAATGTGAATTAGTTGCCATACAACTGGGAACATTTATGTATCTTCAGCTTTTTGGCCCCAACCAAACTCCCAAATTGTGAGTCATGGCGATTATTATGGGTTTCACATTCAAAGATTTTGCATCTCACTTTTCTTAACGTTTTCGCGGTTAAAAATCAATAAACATTAATGGGGTTTTTTTAATGTTAAATAAACTTTCAAAATATGAATCACTGATTTATTCAAATAAATATTGACTACGATTTTGCGATTTTATAACCCTGAGAGGCAGTATTTCATTAAACGAGTTAAGAATGTTTTTTGCTAATTAAATAAATTTACAGATTAGACTTTGTTTTTGAAACCTTGTAGAGAGAATATTATTTTTAACATGACTAAACTTAAACCAAAAATAAACAACATTTTCTTATCTTAACGTGGCGATAAAAGCAGACAAATTGCAGACAATTTATCTATTAACTTTTAACTTTATCTTAACCAAGAAAATGTGAATCCAAGCAAAATAATTTTTATTATTTGAAGGCCATAGAAGCAGTTTACTTAACGATGAAAATGTAAATCCATATTTATCTAATTGATATAGTAATTATGTTTCCTTTTCCTTAGACCAAAAAGTACCAAATGTTAGTCTCCAAGATTTGAAATTTATACAAATAACTTCCTTTAACCTTGTGGATTTTTTCTTGAGCAATCACGGACAATAATGTTATAACGATTATTTTATAACCGTAATATAATGAGGCGAATTAAGTAAAAACAAAATAAAACATCCAAGGTTTACGATCACTATTTCGTGTTTTAATTGAAGTGTATGAAATTTTCGGTTTTAGGTTGTATTTTTTTGTTGTTGCTAGTAAGCGGCAGCTGTTGTTGGTATGAGAGGCACACACATCTGTTCCGTTAAAGCCAATTTAACGATTGTCTCCGTTTCTCACGGACTTTTTTCAACACTTTGGAAGATTTTTGGCGATATAAACACACACAGTCAGGGGCGTATTAAGAGTGGGCGGAGGGGAAGTGTCGCCAATAAACAAATCCACAAAACTAAACAAAACAAATTACGAATTCCGTGTAGATGAACTTTTGGTGGGGAGCGCGTTTTGAATTTCTGTTAGCGTTTTGTTTGCCATCCGCTTTGTGGGTGTGTTTAAGGGGAGGGCACTCGAGAATCGCTGTTGCCGGCGTTTTTATGATTTCTCTTGTCCCCCTTCCGTTTTATTTCATTTTTTCCAGTCAGTCGCCCTCGCCCTTTTTCTGATTCTCTTTTGCGACTCTTTCGCTTCCTTCCCCCACAGCCCCCACACACACACATACACTTGCTCTTAGTGTTTCACTTGCAGGGTCGTTTAAATTTGAACAACGGTTTGATTTCTGGCTCTTAATCATTTTCGGCTTTAACAGATTTTCCATTTTCTTTGCTTTGGCGATTTTTGATGCAAAACAAGAATGCGTCACGGGCTTACACACACACACACACACACAGGCACAAGCACAGTGGGGCCGAAAAACGAGAGCGACGAGAGCGAACAAATTTACCCAACCGTCTGATGACGATTCAAACGTCAAAGTGGCGCCGCGCAACGTACTTGGTTTTTGTTGTTTGAGTACCCTTCCCATGGATAGGGTTGTCATCTCCCCTCAAATCGAATAACAGGTCAAAAAAACTGAGTTCAAAAAAGGAAAAATTGCACAGCCCACTTAAATAATTAAAAACACTGATTTGCAATCGCTTAAGCGTTAATAGACCGGTTTAACCTTTAGATAAGCTCTTTTAAGCACATTTTAACGGGCACCTCGGCAGCCCTGGGCCGCCTCTCACACACACACACACTATTACGCCAGCACAGACCTGGGAATTTTTTGCTGCAAAAATTTTTTCTTCGCACCAGCAATTCCACTTTCAAATGCAATTTTCACCCCTTTATCTTGGCGCTGCGTACTCAAGGCGAACTCCTGGCTGTGGGCAAATGTGTACTGCAGCACTTTCTGGTGTTTCAATTAAGCATAAAACGCGTTTTATGATTAAAATTGTAATTTTTCGTTGCAGTCGGGCTGAGAGAACACGGGCTGACAAGATGGCGGACAGCTCTGTGCGCTCTCCACACCAACACAGGCGCGCCCACTCACACACGCTCGGTCCCTCGGAACCAGTACCTGGGTGTGTTTGTGCGTGGCGTTGCCGGACTGACATGTGAAGAGAATGTACCGCGCGCTGGATTTGTACCTAAATTACTGGTTATTTGAAATTGATATAACTGATAAGGAATGGAAAAATCTTTAATTGAGATAATTACGTATTTTATGATTGTGTGGTATTGAAACTTAGTATTTATGACAGAAAACTTTTTACAGACCACCAAATACACAGGTGAACTTCAAAAAAGTTTAATATCATTTAAAAATTTAATTGTTAATAGAAATATTCTTTGCCATTAATGTTTTATTATATAAATGTAGGTAGTACAGAATTTTGTTTTGTTTAATTTAACTTCATTTTTAATTGGAGTTTCCATGGGTTACGAGGGTATTAGCATTTATGTATATCGGTCATTTTTGAGTCTATATAAAGTTTTGATGTAAATTAAAATACCATCATTTTCAAGATGAATTAAACGAAATCTTTGCAATTCGGAAGGTTTTCATTGCTGTTATAAAAGTGTCAAGTTTTAAAATGTATTTCATTTGTATTTGCTGGATTTGCATGCAGGGGGTTAAAAAGCTCAAGAAAGCACCCGGTTGCCCAACTACGATTATGTTATCAGGGGGTTCCGAAAGCGAGTCTCTGGTAATTCACAGGCCGAACTTAGTGTTAGTCTCAGTCTCAGTCGCAATCGCAGTCTCACTCGTTCCGCTGTCGCCTGAAATCGCAGCGGCTTTAGGCTGTATCGTATCTGATCGATCCGGTCCGGCATGGGAAGTTTTCCAGCTCTACTTGTTGTTGTCGGCTCGCTGGCATTGGGCGCGAATGGTGAGTGTACGGAATACGGAATCGTAAACAAGTCTGATCTCCGATCTCCCAGCTCAACTCCCCCTCAATTGCGTGTCGAAATTTCCGACTGGCCGGATCACCGGTCACTGCATTTCGATCCGCGACTGTGACTTCTTCATGCGGATCCTGGTCTCCAGCAATCTGACCCAGAGTGATCGCAATCTGCTTCGCGAGAATCAGTGCGGGGTCCGGGGCACCGACGTCCAGGTGGGTGATTCAGCAAAAACATACATACATATACCGAAATAAACTCGAACTTCCACAACTCGATCCATTAAGCGCAGCGAAAACAAAAGCTCGATGGCGCAGCCCAGTTTCTGGTTTTTACTTTCACTGATAGTGCGCGATTTTCAGATTTTTTTATATTCAGAGCTTTAAAAAAATCCTAAATCCGTCAGATTAGGAAGATCGCCTATAGAAAATTTCGGCAGTCGAGTTGCGATCTTTCCAATCCAGTCTACTAAGCGCAACAAAAACTTTATTGTAAAGGCCTTTTCTAGTTTTGACTTTGAGAATAAGAATTTCCCAGACGTGATGCTATTAAGCGCATCAAAAATTTAATTATAAAAGTTGGTTTGGTTGTATTAAAAAGGTGTATACATATAAATTGTTAAGGATACATTGTACTGTGCTATTCTAGTTTTCAATTTAGATTGATTTACATTTTTAGGATTATTTTTAAATTTCAAACAGTTAAAGATAATAACATAAATCTGGTATTTGCGTAAAATTATTTATTTGTTGACTTTGTTATCAAAATCTAAAATCTTCAAGCAAATAAAAAGATTATATTTCAAATAATTCTCGAATCTTGGGGATCGATAGTTGGAGTTATTTATATAATTTTTTTTTTTATGTTTTAAAGTTCCTGATATCCACGATCCACCCCGGCATTATTTGCTTTCCTCATAGATTAGAGTGTGCTAAGCCCTAATAAACCCAATCTAATTCACCAGGTTTGCTGCCCCAGCACCGCTGGTTTGGGGGCCTTCCGCCACCCACTGCTGCCCACGGATTGCGGATCGGTGCGATGGCAGCGTTCGAATGACTCGGAAACGCGGATCAGGGAGTTTCCCTGGCTGGCCCTTATCGAGTACACCAAGGGTGAGTTGGAGTCTTTCGGAGATGGGCCAAGTACATCACTTCCTTCCATTCCGCCACCAGGCAATCAGGAGAAGATCCACGCCTGTGGGGGCGTGCTTATCAGCGATCGCTATGTGCTGACTGCTGCCCACTGTGTGGCTCAGGCGGCGACCAGCAATCTGCGGATTACAGCGGTTCGCCTGGGAGAATGGGACACCAGCTCGAATCCGGATTGCCAGTTCCACCAGGACACCCAGAAGGCGGATTGTGCCCCACCGTATCAGGACATTGCCGTGGAGGAGTTGCTGCCACATCCGCAGTACAGCCGAACCGATCGGAGCCAGATCAACGACATTGCCCTCGTCCGGTTGGCCAGTCCTGCGAAACTGAACGACTTCGTGGTGCCCATTTGCCTGCCCAACAAACAGCTGCGAGCGGATGAACTGGAGGGTCTGATCACCGAGGTGGCAGGATGGCAGGCCCAATCCTCGCCGCGCATGCGCAAAAGCTCTGTGACCATCAGCTCCATCGAGGAGTGCCAGCGGAAGTACGCCGGCCAGCAGCTGAGCATCCAGGCCTCCCAGCTCTGCGGGCTGACCAACTCCAAGGAGTGCCACGGCAACGCCGGCGGACCACTGATGCTCTTCAAAAACGATGCCTATCTATTGGGCGGACTGGTGTCCTTCGGACCCGTACCCTGCCCCAATCCCGACTGGCCGGATGTCTACACACGGGTGGCATCCTACATCGATTGGATTCACGACAGCCTGAGGGCATGAAACAGGTCTTTTTGGCCCAAATATCAGTTAAGGTTTGGTGCCAATAAAACAAATTGTTATACAAAACTTAATTCGGTAACATTTTTAGATAACTCTTTAATAAAGTTTGAAACACATTTCCACAATTTGAGCCGGTGTTTCTTTTAAAATGATAAGAGTTTCAATTCCATAATGAAATGTTAAATGAATAACCTGATTCCATTTCAATATATTTTCACACTTTTAATGTGTGTGCTCCCACACCAAATGCACATACATAATAAACCGACGTATTGTCATGGATTTTGCTTTAAAAAAACTTTGTATCAAATTGGTCCGGCGTTTGAGTCAAAACGAACAAATACTTTCGAGAACGAACAAATACTTGCTAATATATAATCATATAAATGAACATTTGTACAAAAGTAAATATTTTAAAACTAAATACAAAATTGATCTATATTATTTTGAAAAAGGGCGCCAAAAGTCAAATATATCGATAAGAAACAGGGGCTATCGTTCTTCCATCGATTGCAGGGATTTTACTGCTTCTCGACTACGGTCACACTGAGAACTGGGAAAATGGAAAACACAAGATAAAAACGTGAAGTCCTCTGGTCGAAATTCCGTGGAAGCAATCTGGTATCTGGTGAAAAGGGACGTCAGGCGAGAGTGACAGGATGCCGGGCAAGGTGGGTGTCAAGATCAAGGCGGCGCGCAACCTGCCGGTGATGGACAAGTCGAGTGAGACGACGGACGCATTCGTGGAGATCAAATTGGCCTCGGTGACCCATAAAACAGATGTGTTCCGCAAGAGTTTGAATCCCACCTGGAACACGGACTGGTAGGGTCTCCCTGTGACTCCCTATGTACTTTGTATAGTAAGCCCTACTTCCGGACAGGTTCCGCTTCGAGGTGGACGATGCTGAGCTCCAGGACGAGCCACTACAAATCCGACTGATGGACTACGACACTTACTCCGCCAACGATGCCATCGGCAAGGTGAACATCAGCCTGAATCCTTTGTGCCTGGAGAGTTCTAGTCAGGCGGTGCACGGCAAGGGCACCGTGCTCTCCGGCTGGATTCCGGTCTTCGACACGATGCACGGCATTCGCGGCGAGATCAATGTGATCGTCAAAGTGGATCTCTTCTCGGACGTGAACAAGTTCCGGCAGAGCTCCTGCGGCATCCCCTTCTTCCACTGTTTGTAGAATTCTCAATCAGACTTGATACGGTTTTCAAATTGAAACCCGTAGCATGTCACTAAATCTTAACAAAAAAAAAGACTAACCATCTTTCTTCTTCCCACAGCCCAGTGTGTGCCATTTGGCTACCGTGCGCAAGTGATTCACGGCTTTGTCGAGGAGCTGGTGATCAACGATGATCCGGAGTACCAGTGGATAGACAAAATTCGCACGCCCCGTGCTTCCAACGAGGCCCGACAGGTGGTATTCCTGAAGTTGTCGGGCCAGGTGCAGCGGAGAATGGGCCTGAAGGCCATTAATATGGGCGCTAATGCCGTCATCGGCTATACCCAGTGCTTCGATCTGGAGGGAGATGTGGGCGTGGTCGCACGAGGCATAGGAACAGCCGTCACGCTGATCAAGGACACCAGCACCACTCAGCCAAATAGCGCGGATGTTGCCCTCATTGAAGAGTGAGTATTTATTTTGGAGAAAGGTCGAAAATTTCATATTGGTCTAATGACTCATAAGTTGTGAATTATTTATCGATTGACCATAGTCTTGCAGAGAGTTTGTCATGTTCTGTCTGTCTGTATTACAAGTATTACATAAGTCTATCAAAGTCGATCATAGTTATTGTACTTAAAGGTCTGCAAACATTGTTCATTAAACTATTTGGCGCATTGTTTACTTCGTTTAATGCAGTTAAACAATGTTCGTTTTAAAATTTTTTATTACATGACTAGGCTGCAAGAGTATTTAATACTTCGGTCTCCGAAGCCAACCTGTCCTTTTTTGTACAAAGCCTTGGAACTCCAACCGTAGCCAACTGTAGGTGCTAGTAGAAAGCTTATTTAAACATGTTCTAAAGCAATTTCTTTCTTCTCTTGAACGTTCTCCACCCCACACCGAAATCTCTCCGACGATGTTCATCCCTCGAAATCTCTTCTTTCCTTGTCGTATCGTATTGCACGTTCCAATCGTTGTCGTTGTTGTTTCGTTGTTGTGTCGTGTTTGTGTTTATAAAACATTTACGTACCACCTACCCCCTAAAACGGCTAGACTTACACAAAAGTATCTAGACTTCCTCAACTGTGCGGGGGCGAGCAGCTCGAGTCTGCCGCTTTCCGGCCGCACGCCCCAATATCGACTCAATATATATAGGGAACCTAGCTCGTCGGCGCCTTCATCAGCGGCAGCGGCGGCAGCAGCAACGATGTTTTACCTGGAGAGTGCCAGCAGCGATACGGAGGATGCGGAATTAATGCAGGATCTCATTCGGCAGGAAGACGAGCGTGGCGATAAGAGTCGCGAAAAGAAGCTGCGACACCGTATGCGCCGCCTGACGCTCTCCTCGAGTAAGGTGTTCAGCCAGAAATATGCCACGCTTATTCGTCGGATTGAACCGAAGATCCCCGAGAATGCTACGCAATCGTTGAGCAGCATCTTTGGAGGAGCATCAGCAGCTAGCTCGAGTTTTAGGCGCCGACGCAAATCGCGCTTCGCCGCATCGACTTCAAAGTCGTCCATTCCCCCGTTTATAGTGCGCTCCATCAGCAGCGATGCAGGCGTTCGTCCTGGCCATGCGCCCGTCAAGAGTTTCCTCACGGTGCCCGGTTTGACGGAGTATCAGGAGAATACGCGTTCGGCACCTGACTTGCCAGGGGATGAGTTTAAGGCGAAGACCCGTCCGTCATCTAATTACTCCACTGACTCAGAGGAGTCTTTGCAAATGGATCTGGAAATAGCTGCGCCCGATAGCAATGGTGAGGACTCCCCGGAAGAGGAGAATCTGCAGGATAATTGGATTAAGCCGGGGGAGACTCGCAGCTGCGAGAATAGCCAGCAGGATTTGGGACCCAGACACCACAATCTGCTCGAGGACCTGAAGGGTTTCTCGCGTCGCCTGCAAAAGATGATGCATCTGAAGCCCAAGGATAGCGAGTTAGAGAAGACGCCGAAGCTTCCGTTTGTGCCCTCGCTGGAACGCAAACCGTACTACAGCTCACAACCGGAGTTGCCCACCTGCTCCGATGATTGGCTGGGATCCAGTCTCAGTGGATCCACGTCCATGCTGCAGTTGAACTTCCTTCCCAGTTACGAGAAGACCATGCAGCGCAGTGCCTCCCTGAATCATTTGGTGGCGCCCGAAACTCCTGTACCTCCCAACACGTTGCTGCTGAAGGCGCCCGAGCTTCGCGTCTGCCCCTCGACACCCACTCCCACCCAGTCCGATCTAGTTGCCTTCGATTATAATAACCCCTCTTACCTTGCCCAATTAGATCAATCTGTAAATATTGCTAATAGTACTAACCATAGTAACCACAATAATGAGTCATCATTGCTTGCTCCATTCGCCATTCGACAACAAAACCAACCACGCGAACTTAGACCCAGCACTGAGCTCCAACAGCAGCCAGGTTCAGCAGGGGTAGCCGGAAGCACTGGACCATCCAATATACCCACAACTGTGGAGGGCAGCAGTCCCAATCTGAAGCGATTTGCTTCGCCGGTGAGCAGCAACCGGATGAAACTGACGCCCAGCCCCTCGAAGAGCGGCATCTCGGCGACCACAAATGCGGATAGTGCCTCCACGTCCACCGCCTCGACGGCCACGACCATGGTGCCGGTCACCGTCGGCGAGATCTGCCGAAGATCCTCCGACTCCGACTTGAGTGTCACGCCCAAAGGTATGTAAGGGGACAGCCCAAGAATGACAGCCCTCTTCCCGAATTCATATCACTGTAATTGAGTGAAAAACTAAATTAGTTTAGAAGTTATAAGCATTTGAAAGAAATTTTTAATATATAATAGTAATGATGAATAATTCCAAACGTAGTTTAAAGCTTTGCCTAGAATTCTATCCGTTCTATCTAAAATGTTGCTTTAAATTAACTGGAGTTTTGTTTTTAATATTACATATATTTTTGTTAATAAGAACTAAACTATATTTCATACAAACTAAGAAAAAGAATATCTTGATTAAAGTTCAGAGAAGGTTCACTTAGTTTTCGATTGAAAACGGGAGGAGGGCTGAAAGGTCTCGATTATTAGTTAAGAATTAGGTTGTAAGGTTGTAGGCTCTATGCATCCAAGCACCCAGCTGCTAATCAATACTTGTGTGTTTGTTGTCGCCGTGTGTCTATTTCCCACCGTCTCGTCTTTAAGTAACCGTAAACGTCTCTTCCAACGTTCTATTTTTACGTCCGCTGCTGCATCTCGCATCTCGAATCTCACCAACAGGCATAGCCTTTACATTCCACCGGAAGCGTAAGTAGATGCTCCGCATAATCTCGGTGTCCTTCTCGATGTACCTCTGTGTGTCTGTGCGTGCTCCTCTATTTCTCTTCATCTAGCCCGCCTTTTTTTTGCGGATATTCGCTTTTCTTTCCGTTCTCTATCTTGCGAATGTCTCATCCGATCTGATCTATCCTTAAATGTTATACTACACTATCATCACGTGTGTCATCACTTGCGGGACAATTTCTGCTCTGAGGATCTCAAATTGTAGGTTTTTTTTTTGGTTTATGTTTGATAATTTTGAAAAGTGATTGTAATTCATAAACAATAACTCTATCCTGTAATACAATTTCTCTGCAATGTGTGTGTATCAGGATATTGGATGAAAAACTCTTCTTCATTAATTGACAACATCAAAATTATTAATGTAAAAGATATCAAAACAAATTGTGGTTTATATTTGAGTGTTCAAATTATTATTGGTAAGCTAAAAATAGGGCTTTAATGACGAATTTATTTTTTTTTTTTAAGTCTGTGGAAACTAGCTCATATCTCAAACACTTCACACGGTCTCAAGACATTCTGCTGTAAATATAAATGTATTCACTATGTGTAAGACCCTCGTGAGCAAGGATTCATGCATATAAAGGGAATTTAATTTTTCCAATCGTCTTCATTAACAGGAAACTCTATTTGTGTGGCCAGTGAGCGCTTGGTGGCAGCCACAGCTATGATGCGTCTAACGCAACCGGCGGTGGGAGCCAAACCTGGAACAGCGGCCGACAGCCTGGATATGTTGGAGTATCCCTTCCTGACCATGACAAAGTACCCAACTGGTTTTATACTTCATTTGGGTGCCACTGTTGCAGCACGTTCTGTAAAGCTGCTGGAGCGAGTGCCCAATCCGGATGAGCCGGAGGTACGCGACAGCTGGTGGACAGAGCTGCGCATGGAGATCCGATCGCATGCCCGTTCCCTGGGCTGCAATGTAGTGCTCGGCTATGCGGAGACCACAACCATTTCGTAAGTGTAAAAAGCATGTGACTAAAACAGTCTAGATAAAGCAGAAATTAATATTCAGAATTTTCTGAGCTCACCTGTTGAGATAAGCATAATTAATACCGTATCTCTGTTTGCAGTGACGATGTCTGCGTATTATCTGCAACTGGAACGGCGGCAGTGATCAACATGGTGTTCAATCGATCTGTATCTCAAACCGATATCTTCACCATGTCCAAGGCAGCCGCCAGTGTGGCGGGCATGACGAATTCCGTGGAGGAAGGCAATGGAAGCAGCGCCGGAGATACGAGCATTGGCAAGGACAGCGGTTCTCTGGGCACCGGGAATAGTTCTGGGGGAAAACGTTATGGACTTCCCCCACTTAATGGACCGCGGAACGCCTGTGCCATCTGCCACATACCCTACAACCTAAGCTCCGTTCCCTTCAACGTGAAGATGAAGAAGTGCGCCGTGTGCCGCAAGGGACGAGTACCGGACGTTCTCCTGGCCACGCTTGAAGTGCCTGAGTTTATGCAGGTCACCGGGCGTGGTTGCTTCATGCAGGCCCAAGTGGTGCGCGCCAAAAGAGATCTGCGTGCGGAGCTAAATGCCAAGGAGATTTCCGATGGGCTGCCCTTCCTGGAGTACGAACTGCATCGTGTGCTGATCAACAAACTGAAGGCGAAGGGCATGAATGCTATTTTTGGGCTACGCACCCAGGTGGCAATTGGAGAGCGCATGATAGCGTTGATAGCCACGGGAACGGCTCTATTTCTAACTGCTCTGCCGGTGCCGCAGGTGCCGAAGATCGTGGCCGGTAATTCGTGGACCGATAAGCAAAAGCTGAATGAACTGCAGAAGAAGTTGCAAGAGACGTTTGAACGCAACCAGGAGATCTATCAGCTGAAAAGCTTGGATCCTGACTTGACAGCCAATGCGGGAGGGACAGCCGCCTCCGGCGCCTCTGCCGATAAACAATCGGATACAGACGACTCAGATGAGGAAGAGATGAACGAGATCGATCTGAACTGCGGCAACAAAGAGCTGTGTGTCCTGGAGGTGGATGATATCGAGGACTTGGAAATCATATCGCTGTTAATGGAACCATATCCGCCGGAAGGTTTCCATGTGGTCAATACACAGCAGGTGCCGGGCATGCTGGAAATGGACACAGTCAAGAATCTGCAAATGTTCACCCAAGTGTGGCGCGCTCGTCTCGAGGTGGGACAAAGTGTTAACGGGTTCCCAAAACACTTTCAGAGGTGGGTTTCGAATTTCTTGGTTTAATTATCAGTTGAAAACAACTTTTTTTTCAGACTGCTGCAGACCATTTACTTTAAGCTGCGCACCATGATACCCTGTGCCATATGCGATCTTCGCTTTCGACTGGATCTGCCTGAGTCGGTAAGTAAAATGGTTACATTCCGGCTTTTATTGAAGCTAACTTAGTTCACATTTTACTTTGCAGGATCAAATTCAACTGCTAGTCACTGGCATGGCCATGGGTCTCAGCGATGCCAATAAAATGAAGTACCGAGGTCGTGGCCGGCCGGCTCAACTGCAGCAACAGCAACCACAACAGCAGAACGGATTTCATGATGCCACGATGCACGCCACCCAATCGCAGCCAGAATTAAATGGCAAACGACAGCTGCAGGAGGAGGATTACATTTTTCCGCTGGACGAGGATCAAATGGTGGACACACCGACGCCCACCAGTAACGCTATACCAACATTTGGAATGAGCTCTTTTAAAATGCGCAAGACCTCGCCATCACGTTTGAATAACCTGGTTTCCGGAATACCATCCACCGGTGTTAAGTCGTTGAATGTTGGGATTGTCCCCCGTAATCGATATGTAAGTAACCTTAATTCCCATTCTTGTTTTGTATACCTTTGCAAAGAGGATTAAAATTACAATCAAAAGTTTTCCACACATTGAAAGGCAAACATTTGACCCCATTAAACAGTCATGTACGTCTATCCGTTTATAGAAAAACAGTCTGCTTTCTGATGCACGCGAATCCCAATTTCCGAAAAATTGCTGTGCAGAAACGTGTCCAAAAATGGGACTTCTAGGCCCACATATATACCCAGTTACTTATATAACTATTATAATTGTTTCCAAATTCTCTTAAATTCTACGTGCCCTTCACTGCGTTGCAAACAAAATCAAAACTGTCCGCTTCTACGCAAGTCTCTCAGTTTAAATCTATTTGGATGAAATTTAGCAAAAATGTCTTTCATCCCTTGCAGGTAGTATATAAATATAAAAGGTATAAATGTTATTATATACTTTATTTTTTTAAATCAATATTTATTTATTTAATTTATTATTTTGCTAATATACAATTGACAGTTTCCTCTGCGGGATCGTTACGGAGTGGATTTAACGCCTCTAAGCTTTATACCTGGCGGTCGTATAGATAAATATTTGGGCAACCTGAACTTCTTCTTCATCCGAGAGAGCACCTCGATCCGGGAGAATGGCGGCATCAGCGGATTTGTCCATGGATTCATCACTGAACTGCTGGCTGTGGTGAGGGCCCACATAGCTTCGCTGGGTGGGAATGCCATGGTCTCATTTTACATCACTGAACTAATGTTGTTCGATAATCAGCACAAGAATCAGGTGAGCCAAATAATTATTTAACTATCTCAAAGTCTTTTAACTTACTATAATATTTTGTTTTTAGGGTCAGTGTCTGATTAGCATTGGTGGCGATGCCGTCTATGTGAGCTACCATGCCGATGACTGATATAAAAACTTGCGGGGCATATAGCGCCTATTTTATGCGAATCGTCCCAAAAGCCTCTACTCTCTATTTTCTTCCGCTTAGCTAGAACTGTCAGCTCTGCCCAGCAACTGAAGTTAATCTAACACAAGTTTACTTAACAACTTTACAGTCTCTGTAGTTGGATTCTTTATGCAATATTTTAACTGTGAGGAATCGTTAGTATCCTTAGCCTAACGTAGTAGTGCGAATTTTTTCGGTCTTGTTACTTGTTTGCTTGATGTTTTTAGCGTTAAACCAATTGCAATTTCTGTACATAGTTGATGTTTATTGAATATTGAATTTAGAACGAGTGCGAGACATAAGTATACTAACGATATATAAAAATGTTGCCACCACAAACATGACACACATATATACTCGTACTCCTAGATATCCAATTTTGGCGTGTAAAATATAATACATACAATATTTAAAAATAAAACAATTGCTCAACTAAATGGATTCGATTTGATTAGTTTGGCGTGGTAGAGAGCAGCACGAACATGACCCAGAGATGGAGTAGGGCCACGTAGACGATCACAGAAACCCGCATCATGGGATAGCGGCGCAGGAAGGTTCCCACTCGGATGCCCATGGTGTCCGCCTGGCGAAGGGCTCGCTTGAAACGACGGGCCACACGATTGTCGAAAGGACTTGGGTGCATGAGCCGCGGAAACTGGGCTTTAACTAGTAAATATAAATTATTTAAATAAGTTGTATAATTGCTAAACTAATATAAGCTCACCATCATCTGTGCTGTTAAGCAAGGAAGTGCGAGAACTGCCCCTCTGACTTTCCATCTCCACCAAGTGCATGTTCTGCTGCAGCTGCGACTGCGCCTTCTCGTGCTGCAATCTCAGCGCATTCCTCTCACTCGTCACTCGCTCCAGGAGACCCTGCCGTTCCACAAGGGACTGGGTTAGAGCCTTTAGACGAGTCTCGTAATCGTTTTTGGCTCCCGTATTGGCCTCCTCGCTGAGTCGCTGACGCATCTGCTGGAGCTGCTGTTCTCGCTCTTGGAGTCGAGTGGCGGAAGCGGCCATCTGGTTGCTGAGTTGCTGCCGGAGGGAGGCCAGTTCCTGGGTGAGCATTCTTTGATCGGACTCGGAGGCCACAGTGTGTTCTCGTGCCTGTCGCAACTCCTTGGCCAGCGATTCCTCCCGTTGGCGGGCGGAGCTCAGCTCCACCTGGGGTTGTCTCTCCTGGGAAAGGTTATCCTCTAGCTGCAGGCGAGCCTTCTGCAATTCCTCGTTGATGTGCTCTAGTTCTTGTTTCAGTGATTCATGTTCGATCTGCAGGAATCGCGTCTCGCTGTCCTTGGCCACTAGGTTGGCATCCGAGCCCTCCTCCGTGGGCTTCGCCTTTAGCTCTGCGATGAGGGCATCTTTGGCCTGCAGAGCTCTCTGAGCCTTGATGCGATACTCCTGCAGTTCCTGGCGCTGCTGATCGGTTTCTTTGGTTTGCATCTGCAGTTTGTGGGCGGCACTCATGTACTCCTGCTGCAGCTTGGCCAGATTGGTTTCCAGCTCGGAGATGGAGTGCACGTACGCCATGTTGGCACTTTGGGCCTCGTTGTGGTCGTGAACCGCCTTGTCCCGCTCCTCGGACAGAGTTTTGACCAGAACTTCCAGCATCTGGCTGTGCTGATGCAAATTGAACTTCTCAGTTTCGTTGTTTACTTCATCCAGACGGAGACGCAGCTCATCCCTTTCGGCTGTGATCTCATTTAGGGCGATCTTGAAGGCCGCCAGTTCTGTGGTGTCCAGGGAGCTGCCTGAGATCTCCGGATTGTGGGAGAAACTGGTCATCTTCTGGCGCATCTCCTTGTTCACCACGGAGCCCCCTCCCTCGCTCCTTCACACTGGATGAGCTAGTGGCGCCCGAACGCCTCGCTGGCGACAGAGTGGACTTCAGGGACAGGGATTGGGTGCTGCTGGTCATGCTCCTGCGCATGGGATCCGCCGATCCGGTGGGATTGTCCGTCTGCAGGGCCGTCGCCGCATTCTGGTCGAGCTTGTTCAGAATGTTTTCGGCCTTGTCCGCCAGTCCTGTGATCCAGGATGACATGTTTTCCTAATATTACAAATCTCTGCGAGCACAACACGTAAACAATGTCTGACTGTGTGACCAGTTCACCATTGACTACCAAATGGTCGCCACCTAACGCAAGGTCACACTAAGAATAACGTATTTTTAAAAAAATATTGAATCAATTATAAATTAAAATTTATAAATTTATAAAACTATAGGGAAAAAAACTGAATTGTATACTTTTTAATTAATTATTGATATAAATTTATAAAACATATAATGACAACTTAACGATTTGGTTGTCCCTTTTATAAAATCTTGCCCAAGATAGGATATTACAAATTGTATTAACTTAAATAACCAATGATAAACTATTCTGCTGTAAAGCCTACCCTTTAAGCCCGCAATAAAACTCCAAAGTTTTTAAAGTTAAATCTGATTAAATACTCAACAGTGGCAGTACTTAACAATCTTTGAGCCTAACTACTACAAACTATAATTATCAATTACTTTCCAATACAAAAGTCTTTGAACACGACGTCGAGTATATCTTCGCAGCTGATGTGTCCGGTGATGCGTTCGATGCAGCGCACGGAGTTGCGCAGCTTGGAGGCGGCAATGGCCATGTCCGGGTAAACATCGGGTCTGTAATCTCTTAGAAATATGTCGATGTTCTCTATGCAACGCTCCAGTTGTTGCCGGTAGCGTGTGTTTGTAATCCGTGGATTCTCCGCACGGGGTTCGCCGCACAATTCCTTCAGCTGCTTCTCCAGAGATCCCAAAAAAACGGGCATCTTATCTGGTTTATGGCACGATATGGTCAAAACATTGGATAGCTGGCCCAACTGTTGGTTCTCCTCATCCGACAGGATGTCCGTTTTATTGGCCACCAACTGCAGGCGTTTTCCCGCGCACAATTCCCGGGGAATATCCAATTCTCCCAGATAACTATCCACAAATGGGGCTACAGCGTCGTCGTGAGTTAGATGTTTGATATTCTTGGCATCCGCTAGGAGCAAAATTAAATCAGATTGGGCAAGACAGTCCTTGGCTCTCTGCATTCCCTCCTGTTCTATACTATCCGTAGTAGATCTGCGTAGTCCGGCTGTATCCGCAAATACCACGGGATATCCTCCGAAATTATGCATGGTTTCGATGATATCCCTTGTTGTGCCTGCCTGATCCGTCACTATGGACACGGATCGCTGGCACAGTAGATTGAGCAGACTGCTCTTGCCCACATTGGGTGCTCCGATGATCACCGTACGGACTCCATCGCGGAGGAGCTCGCCCTGCCGCTGGTCACTCAAGTGCTCGCGAATCTCACGCTTCACCGCTTTCAGTTCTTTGGTGAGTTGCAGGATGATGCCGCCCTCGATCTGCTCCTCCTCGGCGAAGTCTATATAGGCCTCCAGATGGGCGGCACAGCGGATCAGTCGCCGGCGCCAGGTATCGTAGAGGCGGGCCAGTGCTCCGGTGCTCTGAAGCAAGGCCTGCAAGGGAAAGTATTGTAGGTTGGGAACAAATTAATGCAAATTATGGTATTACTAACCTGCTTTCTTTGTGCCTCTGTTTCGGCATGGATGAGATCCGCCAGTCCCTCCACCTCTGTCAAATCCAGTTTGCCTCCGAAAAATGCTCTCTTGGTGAACTCTCCTGGCTCCGCTGGCCTCAAACCATCCACTTTTCCCAGGGCATCCAGCATAGCCGCAATGACGGCCAGGGATCCGTGGACTTGGAACTCGCAGGAATCCTCCCCAGTAAACGAGGCCGGACCCGGAAACCAAAGTAAGAGGCCTCGGTCAATCATGTCATTGCTGGCAGGGTGGTAGAAGGATTTCAAATACGCCTGGCGGGCCTGTTTGACGACATTTTTTAGAAAAATTATATATTAAAAGGGTAATATAATTTATGTCATAGTCTTATTTTATGGCACGAGGACAGAATCAATTTTAGCATCAATTAGCAACCGATTATAATTTTGCTTCGCAGGTTTCAGGTATAGATTTATATACACTTACAGAGCGACTACTACCATAACTCCAGTTTAAATATTTAGAACATAATTTTTATACTCGATAATTTAAAATTAAACATCGTTGTAAATGATCATTTTATTGATTTAAGAAAAACTAAAACAACAATTTTTTAAAAGACTTAATGTAATTTTAATTACTTTCCATCCAAAATAAATATAAAACCAACAAGTCTAGAAAGTAAATGATTTACTACTAGCACTATTTCTTGAATATATACGAGCAACAATTGGTTCAATTATACATATATATATAAAGTATTTGAAAATATATGTATAAAACTATATATTTTCGGTCATAAGGTTGATTTCCGTTGGAATAAAAGAGTGGCATGGCATTTCTCGGCCTCTACATATCGTTCTCTGATTATTAATGGGCTAGGAAACCGAATTCAAACCGTAGGTCATGTACCCCGATATCTTGGATAATATATATTAATTGACTTGCCTTCGGCTCGTATTCTTTATTGGCGACAATGGCGCGGAGTGCCTTCTTTGTTTGAGGTCCCGAGACCCGAATTACGGAAACGCCGCACTTGACATGACCGGAACTGAGGCTGTAGATGGTGCATCCGCTGCTGGCAAACCGACGGAAGTGGCCAAGAAAGCCGTTGGACGCGTTTCTAAGGAGCGCCATGTCCGAAAAACAATTAAAATCCAACCGCCGAACAATTAAACGTGAGCACCAGTGTGACCGTGGAACGGCCGTTACTAAAATGTATCTTTCGGTTCTGATGTAGATACTAACAGAATTAAATATATCTTAGAAGTAAAAAACCTGGCGGTAGAGAACTTGGATAGGCATCTAGTGTTGACAAAGACCAAATCAACCGTTTCAACCGATTTAAATGAATTTAAAAACAATATCAATAGTTTAAATTGAATTTACCAAAAAATCCAAATCCTCAGTGACTTCTTGTGAGAAAGTTATTAATTTTTAATTAATATTTTTATGTACTTTAATATTTTTTTTCATTAAAATGTAATATTGAACCCCAGTACGCATTGATATTTGTAACTGTTTATTTTAAATTGGATTTGAACAATTCTATGTAAATTTCAGATTTGACGTTATTGCCTTGATTCCTCCTCCTTTCTGGAAAATCGTCTTTGTCCCCATATCTTTCTTCTGATTTTCATTGCCAGTCTTTCATCCTGAAGTTTCTTGGGATTAAAAGGACACTTCAGTTCCTTTTTGGTGGTCCTCTGCTTAAGCGCTTTTAAGATATCAAAATCCCTAGGTGCCCTTTTCGCGATATTGAGTATATATCTGAGTCCTTTTTGGCGGGTTGACATGCTGCTCACAAAACTGTAAGTTGGAAAGAATTTTGAAAGCCCTTTAAGAGCCATGAATACAGGAAATAATTTGGATATTTTATTTCGATATTGAAGTCACATCTGGGCTACGGACATACAATATTATAATACGTTTCGGATTTTGACACTTAAAAATCGCATGCCTTGCACACTAACAATTTGATCAGGCTACGAAAGAAGTACAATTGTTTGAATTTCTATACGGATATTGTCGAGTAGTTCTGCGTCTAGTAAAAGAACTGGCGATTCCGGGTGCGGTAGGCGTTCGCCATTCGGGGAGATACTGTTGGGGGCGGACAACTGTCGGAGGACCGGGCAAATCGGTTGCGATTGATCATCGCCGCATTACTGTCCCACTCGCTGATGAAGGCGCGGGCTTCGTCGTCCCAGGGTTTGGCGGTATTCGGCCGGTCTTCCTGGGAGAAGGTTAAAGGTTAAGACATAAAAATATAGTAATCTTGAAATAATATGAAAATGAGTTAAATAGTAAAATATATCTGCACATCAGCGTTATCATCAGACAAGTGTATTAAGTTGGCTAATTCCTAAGAATTGGATTTATTGAATATTTTCTTTTATTAAAAATGAATTTTAAAATGTTTATTATTCTTAAAAATTGTAAACTTAGATCTTGCAATTTTAAAATATTTGTGAATACTTTTCAGATAGCTACAACAATATTAATTCATACCTGAGTTCTGCGACGTCGGGGAGCCTCGTCGTCCATCAACTCCATCAAATCACTTCGTCTGCGGCGTTGCTTGGCCGCCACACTTTCCGGGTAATTGATCCAGGTGCGGTCGTAGTTGCGCTCCTCCAGTTCCTGCGGTCGGTACTGCTCGTCGTCGAAGCGCTCCTGGTCGTCCCTTCCGGAGATCCGACCGCCGTGGCCCTCGTCCTGCTCCCACATGGATCGGCGCTTGTTCTTCTTGTAGATGTCCGCCTTCTCCCGCTCCCTGACCACCTGCTCCTCGGGCAGATAGTGGCTGTACATCTGACCTTGACCACGGGGCCGCTGGTACCGCCTGGCGATGTGCCGCGTCGAGGCGCACTCTATTCGCGCACGGAGAAGCTCGATGCAGCGGTTCACCATCATCCGGGTGCAGCCGTGGAAGTTTACCATTTTTAAAAATCTATATCTTTCTACAGTTTAAAGTTTGTATTAAAAAAAGATGGAATTATAAGTAACACGATTTAAAAGCCAAAACGTAGCCTGCTTCTAAAGAGGCGGCGTCTGATAAAATGATTCCGCTCTCAACAAAACAACGTGACATGTAAGGTGCGTAAGAATCAAGGCCCACCTGATGCTGTAAGACAGCTCCCCTTTCTTAATTAGCGTGTTTTACTCACCTGGCGCTAATTTTCTATGGCTAGTACCTGGCACATAGATCAGTTGGGTTCTTGAAGTGACGGCATGAGGTCCGCGATTTTGGTAATTCTTTGGCTCGGAGCCATTGCTTTGGGTCTGGGAAATCGCACCCAACTGATGGAGACTTCTGGTTCCTTAGAGGATCGCATTCTATCACGACGAGTTCGGGGATTGGTGTTTCCGGACAAGGCCTCCGTTCTACTGACCGCCGCCTTAACCAAACTCATTGTGGGGGGACGACCCAGTGGCCTTCAGTATAGTCTGGAGTTTGACATATACGTTCCACTTCCCGATACTGTTGAGGGTTGGCAGCCCAAGATTTTAAAGAGGTTAAAGCCAAAACCCACACCAAAACGACGATTTGATTGGTCATATTACAAACGACCCATAAAATCTTATGAAAATTCTTATTACACTAGGTAAATATTTGAAAAATATCACGTTTGAATTAAAAATACAATTTCAAATACAATATTTTAGGCCTGCAAGCAATAGAGAATCTTTCTACCAGACAAAGAACAGGTAAATAACCTATAAATATTTCTTTAAGATGGTGTTTAATTACACATTCACTGTTTCAGTCCTGCTTTTAATAGAAACTCGTTCTACCAAACCCCTTGGCATTTATCCTCGCCCATTAATCGCAACAATTTTGATCAACACAGGGAAGAGGTCTATAAATCGAGGTAAATAACAAATAAATTATATGTAGTGAAAATTATTTAAAGTAAATTTTTTCAGTCCCCAAATAAATAAAGATTATTTCTACCAAACCCCCTTGAGTTTGTCATCGGCTAACAATCGCAGGAACTCCTATGAACCCGAAGAAGAGGTTTACGAGTCCTGGAATCATGTTCCCAGTTGGAAGTTAAATCGTGGCTATCGGGAGCGTAGGGAAATTTTCGATCAATTCGAGGCAATGGGAAAAGTGTAAGTTATGTAATATGATTTAAAAACGTTAACTGTCAACCACTTCACAGTTTCAAGTTGGATCTTAGGTCTTGCATCAAGAGAGCCATGTGCGAACTTAGAGCCAAATTCAATGCAGGCCATGATCAGGGATTTTTAATGGAGGATCTAATGCGGATTGTGCTGACGTAAGTAGAAACGTAGAGTTATTAATTATTAAACCCATTAAATTGACTAAATTTTAGGGTTCCTGAGGAGATAGCCGACGACAAGTACAGGCACCGCATGGATATCAAGGATTGTGCACGCTTCTACTCCCCAAGTTGTCCATACAATGTTTTGGACTTCCTCACCCAGAGTGGCAAAAAATTGTGAACTCAGTAAACAGAGAAATGAATTTTTGGTGTCGTGTCATTGGGCTGGGATAGACGGTAACCCATATACTTCAGTTCTCATTCCGTCTTCGAGCTGGATAGGTATCCCACATCCAGTATTGTATTCCTCCAAATTCCATCTAAATTCAATTTGACCAAAAATTTTGGATTTCTTTTTCGGTCAAACGTTTAAAATTTCCGATCTGCAGAATGCCTCTAGGTGTGAATGCCTCTCGGGGACTGCTCCGTTCGAACACAATGGTGCGGAATGCGATAGGCAGTTTGCGATTCGCATCCGGTTGTGAGAAAGGCGAGGGCGCAAACAGATGCCCCAAGGTGCTGACCAAGTTTCCCTGCGGCAAGCCGGATATCCAAGCGAAGAAGGCGAAGAAGCCCAAGATGATCAAGCAGGTGTCCATGTGGCTGAACCCGTTCTGCGATCCCGAGGACACTGTCTGTCCCTTCAATCCGCGCTTCGACGACATCTACTACGTGGAATCGGACAAGGCCAAGCGCAAGTACTGGCAGACGTGGGTGGCCTGTCCGCCCATCCAGATCAAGCCCAAGAAGATTTGCTGCTTCGCCCAGGCCAAGCCGGCGCCCATCAAGCGCCGCAAGCCCTCCGCCAAGCCCTCGACCGCCTGTCCGCAACCCTGTCCGGATAAAAAGGAGGAGCTGTGTCCCCGCCTGGCCCGTCGCTGCCATCGCGATGGTCGCCGGCCACCGTCCTGCAAGAGGGAACGCGGACCCCTGCCCTGCGTGAAGCCAAGGACCCCGTATCCCTCGTTCTCGGAGTGCCAGCGCCTCAAGCCCGGCGCCCTGCCCCTGAAGGAGTGCACCTGCCTGGTGAAGCCATTGCTCTGCGAGATTTGGGCCCAGTTCCGCAGACGTGCCGTTAGGAAAGGTTAAAGCACAAATTCCATCGACATTCTGGAGCATTTAAAAATTTTATTTGTATGCGGAAGAGACGAATATTCCCTGAGTGTCTGGAGGATACCGAAGGATATGTGGGCATCAAAACGGATTCTTGGCCATGTTTGTGACGAGGGTCCAGAGCAGCGGATTGCAGTCACTGTAGGTGCGCTCGCAGTCAGCTCCTCCACGTCCGGCATCCCGGGCGTGTAAATACTTTCCGGCCACATTGTCCAAGCTCGGTCTGAGAATAATTTCAAATTAATCGTGTTCTCCGATTCCAAATAAAAGCTGTTCTTACACAAGCACTGCGTTTACGATCTCACTGAAGATGTTGCTGTTCTGGAAGGGTTTCTGGGCTATTTCACAGATGCTTCTCAACAGACAGACTCCACCGTATACACCATCCAACCTGGAGTAAAATGTTGTATAAATGTATAATAATAATTAGGGGAAATACTCACTGCTCCATGCCCACTTCAATGGCATTGTAGACCCAGGTTCGGGCCTCGTCGTGGGTCAGCTTCAACTGCATGTCCTTGCGCCATTCCCGGGCGGTGGACACGAAAGCAGTGGTGTTCCAGAAACTCCACCAGTAGAGGGGAACGGTGGTGGGTACCCACTGACCTTGCAAGTTGAAGAACCACCAAAAGGACTGCTCCTTGTCGGTCTGCTTTACGGGGTAAGCCAAACTGGGGACAAGCTGAAAGTGGTTTGGCAAATTAAAATGGTTAGGTGAGTTTCAGATCTAGGATATAGACATATCCCACCTTGACAATGCCCTGACCATCGTAGATGGCCACTCGCTTAGAGCGACTTAAAGGTGTAAAACTGCTATTACTATTTGTATGTGGATATTTTAAGTTCCTGCTAAATTCCAAGTGACTTCCATCTGGACTGTAGATATTCCTGGTGAGGCTTGCCACCAAATCGATAGTGGAAAGCGAAGTTAGGAGAAGCAAAAGCCAGCTCAAAACTTTGTGGACCATCTTGTTTGTATTAGACTGCAATGCTAACTAATACGGCTTTGTTTAAGCTCGGATCTTTGTTTAAGCCACGATCCACAGTGAACGCAGTATTTGTTTGTCTATGAAATTGACAGCTCTGCATTGAGAAGGGGTACACAGAAAACAATAATGATTTAAATTGAAGATATTTAATTATTACAGTTAGTTTTTGGTTAATAAATTTAGATCTGTGATATTGTGTGACTACAAATTTATAGCACTAATAATAAATAACAAAGGTACTCAAAAGATTTAATTTAAAAATGTATTGTTGTCATAACAAAATGTTTTGTTTTGTATTAAGATATATCGAAAATTAACTTATTTTTGAAGTGTACGACCAAAGAATAGTTTCCCCTAATGACCAGGAATAGAATTGTTCTTGAGCAAAAGAATGGAGTAAGGCGACGAAGTTTCTTGATTGGCCAGATCACGCTGCCATAAGAATCTTGATGATGGAGATGTGCTCCACTTTCATAGGTGTTTTGTGGACCGTTCTAATTGCTGTTCACGCGTATGGCTCTGGTCGTTGATCCACTCATTTACAGATCGCCTTAATTAAACCCCAAATAGACAATGGCGAGAACTCGATTTCGTGTGGCACTTTGCGTAATTCCGACGTGGATCACATCGCCATGTTTCGCCCAGAGCAGCAGAACGTTGGAAAGCTCAGCCAGATCAGCTTCCTGCTGATCACCCTGACCATCCCGATTCATGGACTCCTTCTATTTCCTGCCTCAACGGTGCTGCAGATTACCTCATCCATCTCCATACCCGCCGACCTGAACACCCGCACCAAAGTCTTCATCGACATGGGCTTCCAGATGAACTACAACCTACCAGCCACGGTGTCCTCCTTCTACAATGCCACCATCTGGGCGGATGAGCTGTCCCGGAGACAAAAGCGCCGGTCCGGGAATAGCCTGGATGGGAATCTGCAGCAGGATCTGGAGGGTGGGATGCATCCGGGCGACTTCACGGCCGGACAACTGTATGCTGGGCTGGAGCACATGCTGGAGACCTACGGATTCCACAAATCCTGTCTCCTGCGCAGTGTCTGCGAGCTGGCCAGGCATCCCTTTGCCGAGGACCATTTCTATGGAGTGGTCACCCAGGTCATCACCTTCCTGCTAACGTAAGTTTGATCCCAATGACAGAAATCCTTATAAGGAAATTATGTTCTTTATTATTATTAAACCATATCGAATTAAGTCTCATTAGAATCATGATAGCAATATTAGTTCTGTAAAATCATATTAACATCCGGCTCAAGATAGAATACATTTATGATTTATTTATTTTATTATTATGCCATAACTGTATTGTATTAATAATTCACTGTGATAAAGCAATACAAAAAACTCATTGTTGGAAAATGAATTTCTTTAATTTTCCAAACTGAGATATAGGGTAATATTAGATGATTTATTATTTATAGATAATCAAAACTTATTATCTCTTATTTGCATAATTTCAGCCCCTCGCAACACGAAGGATTTGCCGAAGATGAGCAACTCTATCGAGATAGATATGAAAGAGCGGAGCAGATTGGCTTCCTTGGCGGACAATGCCATAGCTCATATCCCAGTTGTGAAATAGATATTATAAACTTAGCCACTCGACTGGTGAGATGAAATAAATACAATAGCCGCCTATCATTTGCTTATATTTAATTGGGCAAGACGAAGTCTTGCATAATCTTCATTGCATTAATAACATTCAGTTGAATGGAAAGTTCTTATAAACTTATATGTCTTCACTTCTCTATGTGGATAATTAGCCAGTTTGTTTGCATCCGAACAGTTTGATAAATCCGGCTATATCAACAAGCTGCTAATGCCGCTGAGGAAGTCCACCGGGCAGTTGGTATATAACTTAGCACAGTCCTTTCCTAGAAATCCCTGTTGTTCGGCTTGTTCATAAACCTGTCGGTAGAGACTTTCGCCTGGGCCAAAAGCTTCGTGCAAAGAGGGGCTGCAATGCAAAATAGATACCTTTGTTAAGATTTCTTTATAGAGTTAAAATATAATAGCTTTTAAAGATGGAGGTAAAAGTATCTAGAGAAAGTAGCAGATAAAGTACCTCTAAAAAATTATACAATTAAAATATTTAGTATGTCTTGAATTAAAAGTAAAACTGCCTATAATTTAATTAACTGTCAATATGAAATGCTTAGTGAATCCTAATAAATTACTTACGTCAGAGTAAAAGTCATGAGGGCCGTAAGCATATTGTTTTCTGTATCCTTGAAAGGATGTCGGGCCAGTTCACAAACACTGCGCAGGAGACAGGACTCATCGAATCCGTACTGGATGAGCATGTTTTCGAGACTCTCGTACAGCTCCCCGGCCGAGAAGTCACTCGGATGCATCGTGGAAACACCTCTGGGCAGATATTTTGCGGTCTCATTCAGCATCTCACGCTTTCCTCGCCTCGAAAACTCATCTGGCCAAATGGTGGCGGCGTAGAAGGACGAGGGCTGGGCGGGCAGGGCATAGTTCATCTGCAGGCCCCAATCCCAGAATAGTTTCCGATCCGGAATCACCACAGGAACCGAAAGTGAGGAGGTGATCTGGTAAACGGAGGACGCCGGAAAGAGCAGAGGAAACTCCGCCCCAATGGGAACGCTCCACAGCGACACAAGAACGCCGATGAAGTGGACGCCTGTGAGATACATTCTGGTGTGACACTCACTAAAAAGTATCTCACTTCGACATCTTGACTGCCCGACGCACTGCGTAAATTAGAGGCTCCCAGCAGCAGCTGCTAATGAAACGCACAGACATTGCAATTTACATGTAGGCCTATTTCCAAGAATTTTATTAGCTCTAGTGAAAGATGACTTGACTCATGAGTTGTAAGAGATCGTGCTTGCAATGGGAATACAATTGTAGACAGTCCCTGCCCAGAAATCCATCTTGCTCGGCCAATTCGTAGGCCTTCCTGTATACGTGTTCGTCATCACGGAAGCCTTCGTGTTGTGAGGGGCTGAAAATGAAGATATATCAAAAACAAGAAAGGAAAGCTAACTTCGGGCGGAGCCGAAGTTGAAATACCCTTGCAAATTATATTCTCCACCTTCCTAACTTTAAAAACACCAAAGTTATTTCATTTCCGATCAATCAGTTATATGGCAGCTATAGGATATAGTCGGCCGATCCTTATGAAATTTAATATGTCGAATTGATTGGGCAAAAATAAAACCCATAGAAAATCCCAACTTCCTAACTTTACAAACACCAAAGTTATGGCATTTCCGATCAATCAGTTATATGGCAGCTATAAGATATAGTCGGCCGATCCTTATGAAATTTGGTACGTCGGATTGATTGGCCAAATATAGAACCCACAGAAAGTCCCAACTTCCTAACTTAACAAACAGCAGAGTTATGGCATTTCCGATCAATCAGTTATATGGCAGCTATAGGATATAGTCGTTCCGACTTATATACTGCGTGCAAAGGAAAGAAGGGTGTGTGCAAAGTTTCAACTCGATAGCTTTAAAACTGAGAGACTAGTTTGCGTAGAAACAGACAGACGGACAGACGGACATGGCTATATCAACTCAGGAGGTGATCCTGATCAAGAATATATATACTTTATAGGGTCGGAGATGTCTCCTTCACTGCGTTGCACACTTTTGACCAAAATTATAATACCCTCTGCAAGGGTATAAAAATATCAAATATTAAATACAAATCTCTTCAAATATGTAATATTTACCTAAGAACAAAGGTCACAATATCGCTGAGCATATGTTGATGGTTATCATCGAAGGGATGTTGTGCCAACTCACAGACACTTCTCAGCAAACAGGTCTCATGAATACCGTATCCCGCCAACGTATCCTCAAGAAAGGCATAAAGCTCCGCAGCTGAAAAGTCCTTTGGGTGTATACCATTCTCTTTATCATGTCCGTATTTGGTATAAAAGTTCTCATCCGTCAGTTCCAATTGGGGAACTTCGCGTTTCGCCTTATAGTTGGCAAATCCTGGCCAGATGGGTATGCTATAGAACTCGGTTAGATTATAGGGATAATTGTAGGAGATGGCAAAGCACCAATCGATCAGGATACGACGCTCAGGATACAGTTCAGCAATGGGTGTGGACACAGAAAGGGTTAACTACAGGATAAGGATAGGTTAGTACTTCAAACCAGATATAAGTTAACTTTACTTACACCCAAATTAGATGAGGCTGGCCATAGCAGAGATTGCGACTGATCAGCTACGAAGAGAATACAGATAGTTAGCCAACTGAATTCCATTTCAAGAACTGTTCAGATTGAGGTAAAAAAGGGAACTGATCGATCTACAAACACTCAACTCCCACAATTACTGGACAAATTGGGTCGGTGGGTTAATGGATACATGAGTATCGTAAATATATCAAGACATCAATCAGATGTGGGTAAATATTTGGGCAATTGGTTGGCGCTGCCAGCCAGAATAACTGGCCTCTCAGAACAGCGTCGATAATTTTCGCTTTTCAGTTTGTTAAGATGCTACGAGCCAAGCTCTTTATCTTGCTGGTGCTGTTTGCTGCTTTTTGGCCCAGTTTGGGAGAAAATCTTGGAAAACCCAAGAAATCCGAACTTAAAGCAGTAGTCTCTAGAGTTTTTAGCCGGAGAAGGAGAGCAGTCTTGTTTCCTCCAGGATCGTTTGTAAAGTTCACCTGCTCCTTTGCTACCGGATTGCTGGCGACCTATCCGAAAGGTATATCCTTTGTTTTGGAGGAAGCTGTCTATTTTCCAGTGCCGGGGGAAGTTGCGGATATCTATCCAAAGAGGTTTTTGCCCAAGACCACGACAAAGAAACCAGAAAAACTGCCGGATTCTATTGTTTATATACCCGGTACCGATTGGCGTTTCAAAGCTCAGACTTTACCCAAACCGAAATGGAGACAACCACCTCCAAAGACAAATCGTATTGATGATAATAGCTATGCCAATCCTTTTAAGTGGCAGCAATGGAACCAGAAACAAAATTACAAGTGGAGTATCGAAGATATAAACCAGGAAAAGTGGAAAAAATGGACCACACCTTCACCAAAATGGGAAACCAAATGGAATAAGCCAAAGTACAGTGGAGCTTGGGAGTCCCATCATTACCATGGCCATCGTGATCGAAGATCTTTGTTTGATCGGTTCACCAAACTGAGTTCACTGTGGGTAATAATGGATTTTTGTATTGATTAACTCATGTCATGATTTCTTATTATTTCTTATAGGATTGGCATAGATGTGAAGTCTTGTATTTTACGCACAATCTGCGATAGCAAAAGATTGCTCCTTCCACCTGGTTATTCCATGCTGCAGGACATGCTGCGTGTGGTTTTCACGTGAGTTTTGAGTTGTTTGTAATATCGAATTTATTACCAGAAATATACATATTTTCTAGTTTGCCTCGACTGGACGGCCTGGAAGATGAATACAGTCGGATTATGGAGAAAGATGCTGATGATTGTGCTGCGGAGTTAAAGACAAAGTGTAATATGAATTTATTGATTTGGTTGCTGAGTGGCAGAGTGGAATAAAGTACTTTTTTAATTAAAGTTTTCAAAATATTTATTAAACTTACATAAGGTTTTATAAGTTTCTGGTCGAGGAAATATCAAAAATAATTTTCAGTTGAAACCCAAATTTTTTTGAAATACATCAAATTATAGTAAAAATAATGTTTGACTTTTATAATTCGAACTACCATCGGTATTGATTTAAGCTGTATTTATACTTTCTTATTCCCAATAAAACTAATTAATTCTATAGGTACTTCGAGTTGGAGAAGTAGTAAGGTATATATTTATTTTGAATAAATCGTTTTATTCTCACTTCTTTTCCACAAGTACCCTCTTCTTAAAATCAGTCACGAATTCTAGCAAAGACCTTATTAAAAAAGTTGTTCAATTGTTGTCTGTGCAATTAACACCCTCAACTAAATCAATATCAATGGCAAACAATTCAATTGAAGTCCAACCAGTATTAGCTGACATCAATTTTGATGTCTCAATCAGTATTCCTCAGCAATGCGTGTCGATCTGTTGATCCTCTTTAGCTTCGGATTTCTCCAACTGACTTTAGCCAGAGTGGAATCAAATCACACGGAGCTGAATCATGTATTCGATCGGGTTTTTTCGCGTCGAAAGCGTTTTGTACTATTTCCACCAGGATCAAATCTGAAGTTTACCGGGCAGCTGAGTAAAGGTCTGATTGCGACTTATCCCAAAGGAGTGGCCATGAACATCGAGCAGGCCTGCTATTATCCTGTGCCCACGAAACGCGAGGATGTGTACCCAAAGCGATATCGTCAAAGAACTACGACCACGGCGAAACCGAAACCGACGGAACCAACCTACGTTTGGATACCGGGAACCAATTGGAGATTTAAGGCGACGCCGCTGAAGAAACCCAAGCCGAAGTACCCAAATCAACGCATCGATGTGAGACCTCAAAAGCCATCATATGTGGATCCTGCCAAATGGGCACAGTGGTCGAAATATGGAAATCGATACGAAAACTGGTCGCCGGCAAATCAAAACTATGAAAAGTACAGCCAACCTGGAAGATGGAGCAAGTGGACCACACAGTCGCCCAAGTGGTCAAAACGTTGGTATAGATCGGCAGATGGGGAGTACTACGATCCCGAGGTGGAACCCTACGAGGATGTGAGGTCGGAGCCATTCGACGATCCGTACGATCCGGATATGGCACCCCATGAAACAGCTCACTATCCAGATATGGCTCATGTCAAGGACATGCGGCATTACAATGGACATCGGGATCGCAGGCAGCTGTTTGAACACTTCGATGGATTCAGTAAGCTGTAAGGATGAGTCTTAAATGAAGTAAAGGTCTGATCTGAAGATTACTCTTTTTTCCAGTCTGGGAATCGATGCCAAAGCCTGTGTGCTGAGAGCCATTTGTGATAGTAAGCGCCTACTTTTGCCTCGTGGATATTCCATGATTCAGGATATTGTGAGACTGGTCTTTACGTAAGTATCTAATTGTAGTAATTTAGAAATCAGAGATGCTATCGAATTGTTATAAATATTTTTAATGTGGCTAAAAACAGGAGCCGAAAGTATTCAACAATTGGGATTTTTATTTGTAAAAGACTACTGAGGTTTCTTTGTTTTAAAAATAATAAATGAAGTAATGATTTGCTTTATAAATTTTCTGATTGAGATATACTTTGTGGTCAAGAGTAATTATCTGTGACTTTTATAGATAATAATCACCGTAGTCCTTCCGGAATCAAAGTCTCAAAAAAATAATTATCAACGGTTCCTGTTTAAAAATGATGTTCAATTGCCAGTAGTTTAAAAAGTGAGGAAACAAAGTAAAATCAGCCGGAAATAAATATTTCTTTGAGTCTAAATATTTAAATCTAACATTCCCCCATATATTATGCTAGATTACCAACCGCATCCGGCGTGGAGGATGATTATTCCCGGATCATGCACATGGATGCGGACGACTGCGACCGTCAGTTTCGGGACTCGTGTAAGCTGAACCTGTTGGCCTGGCTAATGGGTGGCAAGTGGAACTGAATAAAACCAACTTCGAAGTGACTTGGGGAATGGGTCTTTATTGAATGAACTGGGCCTGCCACATGGACTGCTTGCACTCCGGGTAGAGGGTGGCGCAGTCCTGCTGGGCGGCGTGGGCCTTGTCGTAGTGGGTGTCGCGATAGGCAACCGGTTCGTTCTGCACGGCTTCCGGAATGGTGAACACCGCTCGCATCAATTCACCCACAAAGGTGCCGGGCTCCTCCTCCGCCGATTTCTGACCAGTTTCGCACAGGGTTCGCAATACGCAGTGGTGGCCATGGTGACCTCGTCTGTGGAAACAGTAAATTGGTTAGTACGTTAATTAGCGAGTTAAGTGTACTCTAATAGAAATCTCTAATGAGATTATCTTCGGTTGTTACTCGGTGGGTGAACTTAATAACATCAAGATGTTTAGGAAACTAATAGATTATTTCGTCACTCTGAATTACAAAAGTGGAGAACGAGTAAATATTTATTATAAGTTAAATAAAAATAATTTCCTTTCTAAGCTATTTTAATATATTTACATAAATATATATTGGAACCTACAATTCTTACTAGATAATCAAAATTTTTGAAAGTGTGCAAATCCCTCAAATGCTTATACATTTTCCTTTGAAATCCAATCAGTCTTAGGTCATCTTCCTGTCCCCTACTTACTTGTCCAGATACTTCTCCACTCGCTCGTACAAGGACTGACGGCTTTTGCGATGGTGCCTGATCTGGAGCTGCTCCAGGCGACTTATTTTGTCCTCGTGCTCGGTGGCCACTCCACTGCGCCTCTGACGTTTATGTGGATTGGCTGCATCCGGAATGCTGCGCTTCCCAAACACCGGATATATGTGATGGTGACGAGGAGCCGGCCGTCGAGTGGGTCGACTAGTGGTGGTGGTTGTGGTGGTGCTACTGTCCTGTCTTCGCTGTGCCACCGGTGGTGCCGCCTGTTGGCTTTGGTATCCGTAGTAACGATTCTTTAGTCTGTAAATAAGGTTTAGATTGCAAACTAATAAATGTAATATTTAAATTTGGAATCGGTTTTATCAATAACAAGCCAGAGTAAATGTTATAAGATTCGAAATGTAGTATAAAGTTATTAAACAATAGTTAAAAACTAGTTCAGAAAGGTTAAATTTATCTTACATGTTATGTTATGTATGTATGTTTGTATATTTAAATGAATTTGTGGTAAAACATTTACATTTTATAGGTGAATTGCTTTTAATAGGAATTATAAGAGTTCAAATCGTAAAGGATTTACTCTCAGAAACTCCTTAACCAGTTAGCTAACAAATATATTTATCCCTTGAATATTTATAATCCTACCTTGAGTTGAGGGCCCAGTAGGGGTAGCGTGAGTTCTGGGCGGGAGTGTAGGGCCTCGACCACTTGGCGAACGGATTGCTGCTGCTGGAACTGAATCCTGGGCGGCTGTAGTAGTAGTTATTGTCCTTGCGCCTGCCCCCCTTCGGGCGGGAGTAATAACTGTCCGCATATTGATGCGAAGGATGCATTGGAGTGCGGAAAACGGGCGATGAGCTATAGTAGGAGTTGCTGCCACTCGAGCCCTTGTAACTCGACAAGTTAATGTAGTTGGGCTTGTAGTCCAGGGGCCTGCTCGTCGTCGTCGTCGTCGCCGAGGCGTCATCCACATAGGTTATGTTCGACACGGTGTCGTTGCGACTGATGTCTATAGTTCCGTCCTCCAACTTGGTCAGCAGATCGTCCAGCTCCTCGCTGGGCGGCTTACTTGGCAGCTCCCAGGCCAAAGCCACCGTGATGCCAAGAATCAAGTAGTTCGTGTGGTCCACCACTCCCACAATTTCATCGTACACTAAACGGATGGAGAAGAGGTAATTGAGGCATGTGATTTGCATGGATTAGTTCACTGGCGTAGACTGAAGGCATTTTTAAGGGGTAATCTTAAGAATATGTTTACCTAAAACACAAGGATTTGGTTCTAAAACATGATTTCCAATATAAGCTTATATATGAGAGCTTTCTAAATATTATAAACGTATTTGAATATTTATATGTTTCTGTTATAATTTAAAATTATTTGGTCAAATTCACTCAGTATAATGGAAACCATAAAAAATGCTGCATATGTGACTAAGATTACACTTCACTGAGTAAATCAAGCTCCCAAATTCGACGTTTCTTTGCAAATAGGGTATACCCATTTTAAATAGTAAAACCAAACATATATGTATGCCCCCATAACTTTACTACGAATTTAAAGTGCCTTGAGAAGGCTTTACATATTTAAAATGGTATGTTTATGTGTCAGCTTCCAAGTTATTTAAATAAAACCCCTTTTAAATATATTCCATCCTCACCGCTGTCTTGTGACTGAAGGACTTACCCATCTGAAAGGAGCTGCCCTCCGGAAATACTAAATAGCGTCGTTTCCGGGACAGCAGCGCCTGCGACTGCGACTGCCTGTCCTGGACGGATGAGGATGAGGATGCCGACTCATTCAGTCGCATCTCGATGAGCTGCTCCAGGCTGCTGTCCGCATTGTTTATGTTCAGTGATGGGCTGCCGCTGCCCGTTGCCAGCTGGATGGATTCGCCGTCCTTCAGTGCGTCGGACAAGTTGGCCAAAGTGACCAGGAGCAGTAGCAGTAGCGTCAATGCAGCCAGCCGGCAATTACCTACTGGGGAATTTCCCTCCTCAACGGCTCTCTTTTCCCGACTCGACATTTTCCCAACTTGCGGTCGAAGCGTGGTCCATACGGCAACTGTCAGCCAAGTATCGCGATGCTGGCCCAAACAGAAACAGAAGCGTTCTGCAACTTGGCCGTTAATTGTAAGTGGTGCCCTCCGCTTTCCCTCTGGCCAGCCAAAAAAAAAAAAAAAAAAAGTTTCCAGTTTGAGTTTGAGCTCCGTTCGTTAAATTTCTTTGCTCTCCTTTTGTCTTTCATTAGTTTTCACACTTTTCGTCTTTTGTGTTTTGGCAAGTAGTTTGTCTTGCCAAGCGTCTTTTGCCTTTGCCTTTGCTCTGTGAGCTCATTGGTCTATTTAAAGGTTCAAATTACTTTTTCACGCCACCAACTTGTTCTCCCTTCTTTTGGTTTATTCGTTCTATTTCGAAAGTAGCACACTTCCATCTTCCTCCGATAGTGCTGGGGAGTTGAAGTTGAAGTAATGTGATCACTAGTCTCCGTTTTTCCGGGGATAATCTTCAACTCCTGCGCACAACTTGAGGAATGCTTTTAGCTGCAAGTGAAGAAACTTCCAAATGTCTTTTGTGTAATCTGTGTCAGTTGTCAATGGAAAGAGCTAGTTTCAGTGGAAAAGCGTATTATATTATTAATTATTTTGATCAGAAATAAAAGGCTTGAAAAGGGTTGGAATTTATGTATTACTTTCGTAATTAAAGTATAAGCTTAAGATTATTAAATAATGATAAGTCTTAGAAGTTTTAAAAACAACAGAAAGGAAATAATCCCAGGCATTTAAAATTTCAATTTATAAAATTCCCAATAAAACTTAATGTTCCAAATTCAATAAAACTCAATACAGTGTAATTTCTAGAAATTTATAGTCTGTTTCTGTTTAATCCAACCAAAATGCGTGATTGCAATCACCGTAGAGTTGTCGACAGTTGCCCTGTTGTCGATGGGCCTCCATATAATGGGGGGAAATCATTAGCTCCAATTCCCCAAGGTTGTCCACGTCATCGCTGTTGGGCAGTTGGAAGATGGCCGAGAGCAGTTCCATTATAAAGCTTTGTGGTTTGACCACATTTGTTCCTTGAAACTGCGTCTGCCTTTGGCCGGATTCGCAGAGAGCTCGCAGCACACAGGAGGTGCCATTCAGTCGTCGCCTGGGTATTCCAGAATAAATATACCACTGAGGGATACGATTTATGTTTGAGAATTTGAACTTACGACTTGTAGAGACGTTCGATTTTGCCAAAGAGCAGCTGCCGCGAACTGAGGTGCTGCTGCAGGTGGAGCCGCTCGAAATGGGGATCCTGTTCCAGACTTCGTCGCCTTCTGCGTTTCGCAAAAACAGGATATATATGATGTTTGGGCGGTGACTGCAGCACTTGTCGGGGTCGCTGGGTGTAGCTATAGCTGTGAAAGAGTTAAACAATTTAAGTTAGTTGTAAAAATTCAAAAATGCTTTTTTACTTTAATTCTTAGAAATTGCAGGACTTTAACATACCTATTCTTCTCCTAATCCTTAAAATAATTTAATTATTTTGGCTTTTCACCTTTAAAGTCTAATGCTCAGCAGCTAAATTTTAAAATTTTATACATTTATATTAAATAAATGCTTAAATTTATTTCGAAAGGGATCCCAGGTCGCTTTTTAAATATTTTTTTATGCCTTTTTGATTTTCCAGAATTAGGTAAAGATTTTTTTTATTTTGTCGTACATGACATTTAAAAATGCATACAAAAATATTAAATAAGAAAGTTTTATTTATAATTTTTGTATTATGTATTAACTGCCTGAAATGTATTGTAATTTTTTATCTTAAGCTTTAGGCATTTAAGATATGGAAAAATGCATATTCTTATTTATTTATCAGAAATATCTTAAATAAACTTACTCCCATTTCGAAGGACCCCACATGCGTTGCTTTTGGCGCCAGTTGTGCTGCACCCGCTGTCCGTTCCGCGTCCACCAGTTGTCCGTTCCAGCTCCCGCCCCTGCCACCGTCCCCGCCCCCTTCCTCTGCCACTTCGAGAGCGACTGTCGCGCATCCCAATTAGCAGGCATCGGCGCCTGCCGCTGCTGTCCATTTGCATTTGCATCCGAATTCGCATTCGCATTTGCATATGGGTAAGCGGCCGGGATGCGCTGGATATTCGTGTAGTACGAATGGGAGCCGTGCTCATTGGCCGCATATGCCGGTGGACTCGCAGGCGGTGCGTGCACTGCCTGCCAATTAGCAGTGGCTCGATTGTCCGGATCCTTGGGGGGCAGGGAGGGGTCCGGCTCCGGATCGGGGGCGCTGCCATTCCGCCGGACAGTACCGATGGTACCGTCGTTGATGCGGGTGAGCACGTTTTCAATCAGCTCGCTGGGCGGCTTACTGGGCAGCTCCCAGGCCACGGAGCAGGTGATGCCCAGGATGGCGTAGTTGGTGTAGTCTATGATGGGTATGATGATGTCGAACACCAGCTGGAAGGAGGAACCCTCCGGGAAGAGCAGGTAGCGCTTCTGGCGGTGCAGGCGCATCATCGCATCCCTTCCAGCTTCCTGGGGTGGTGGAGCAGGAGGAGGGGCACCAGGAGCAATGACCAGCGTGTTGGAGCCATTGGAGTGACCATTACCATTTGGCGGACCGTAATTTTCGATCAGGCAAAGAGGCAGCAGCCAAATAAGTAGAGTGCCAACTCCAGCACATCCAATTACTTTGATTGTTTTTCCCATTTTTCCTTAATGGAAACCAGCAAAAGTCACTTGGTCAACACTTGTCGGCTCTACTTTAGGTATTATGATTTTAATATTATAACTAAAGATCAGTAAAGATAACTTTATCACTTGTTTTTTAAATATTTATTATAAAGTTATGCCTTTAAAATTGTTAAAATTATAGATAAGTTATTAAAAAATAGTACAAATTATAGTTGAGAAATATGAGTATATTTTTTAACAATTAGGAAAAGTTTCAGAAAAAAGAGTAGACTTCAATCACTAATAACGAGAAAATGGGTTTTAATGAAACTTTATGTGCAATTACTTTAAAAGGAATATTCTTTAAGACTAGTTTTTGTGAGTATCAATCACTAAATGAATTTCAGTTTTTCTGTGACTCAGCGCAAGAGCACACCTTTTTGTTCTTTAGTGTAATTGAGCAATCGAACATTCCGATTGCTCTGTGCCCGGGCACTCACATCGAAAAAAGCAGCGACGAAATTTGCATAATTTCACTTTAGCTGTGACGCTTCCATTTGCCAGGACTGCCAATCATGCGTTAAATTAATGCAATTTTCGAGAACGTTCGAGGCGCGAGAGATGGTCCGGTCGATCGGCCTATACAATTAAAACACTGGTATTTGGGGAATGCCAACACCCCGGGCGGAATTGAACGCGAATTTATGAAGCAGATAATTACCATTAGAAGCGAATTGGGCTCTCGATTGGTACCAATTCGACTGGGGCTCCACTTTTTATTTTACGATATGTTGATGCCATTAGCTGTCCAAACCGAACTGATGCCGCGCATTCCGGGCATCGATTTCGGTCCACTTCGGACCGGCAAAGTTTAATTGTACAATTAGCACCCAATTGAGTGTCGTTAACTCGATTCTGTGTCATTCGAAGTGCTCTTTAAAAGGTGCTAAATAGTTCGCTGCCTTGCACCGATCCATTTGTATGCCATAACCAAATTGCCTGCAGCTAAAATACTAATTCGTCGATTTTTTACTTACCCCACCAATTAATTTCACATCCATTTTGGTACATTGTCAAAGTGCCCGATAACAGATTATTTTATTACCCTATTTGGGCAGTGATTGCTGGTTGATTCGTGTCGGCAGTGTCGACAGGTTGCCTGTTAGCAATGGCATTAAATAATCTTTAACGCGATTAATCAGGAGAAAAAAACAGTAGCTCATGTAGGAGTGGTTAATATTTAAAATAGTTTAATCCCCACGGCTTTCAAAAGGATTAAGCGAATTTTGTATTTATCCGTTTGATTGAGTGCTTTTTAATTATCAAACAATGCTTAATGCTTAATTATCAAACAATGCAATGAGTTATATTAAAGCTATTGGTTGAGTAGAATTTCTAAAAATTGTATAAGTTTATTGTGTTGTTTATTTTAATTTAAATGCCTATCACAGGCCAGTTCCTCTATCCTTTTTTAAGAACCCCCTAGGCTATTTAATATTAAAATGTAAATGATTCAAGGTGGCAGAGATTGGTGATTGTGCAGAATATTACACTGATTTCTTAAACCCTTTTTGAGTTTGGTAGGAAACTGTAAGGGCAACTTTCTGTGAGACTTCAATTGGTGACAGCAATCAATTTACTGCTGGTGTGTGGAACAAAAGGTCCGCCAAAAACACCGCTGAAAGTGAGAGTCTGGTGTTGGGAGTGGCACCAAACGGGAATCAAAGGACCGTGGGGCTTTCATCAAAACCAGGTGGGAACAAGGGGCTCACAGTGCTCGGGGGGATGTTGGATATCCGATGTTAAGTCGCCGCCAAAGGCGATTGGAATCTGGCCTACGCACAATGCCTTTCTGGCCACTATCGGATGTTGCTGGTAGGAGTTGAGGTGGCCTTTCGATTCGAAACCACGTGAGTGTTCCTGGGAGTTGGCAAAACCGTTTGGAGTGGCCACTCAGAAACTTCAGATGTGGTTTTATTGTTTTGCAGAAATTTTGACCATGCATTTTAAAACATAAATAAACTTGTGTCACGAGCATGTAGGCCTTATTTGATTATAAGGTTTATTGTGGTTTTGTATTTGGTTTATTGTTTCATAAATGCTTAAGACCGATTTCAATTGGGGTTAATTAAAATTAAAAATGCTTTTTAAAAATATGTAGGAAATTATATAAATTAATCAGTTTTTATTAAGAAGTTATTCTGACATTTGAATTGATGTATTTATGAAGGCTATTTTGTATCAAGGCTAACTGATTTTAATAATTTCTTAATTAAGAATTATTTGGCTTTCTTTTCATAAGTCGGTTTTTGTTGCACACTTTAATTCTCAGTGCAAAATGGTACTTTTCTGTTAACTTTGCGAATTCTTCGTCTGTCAATTTCTTGGGCAAACTAAGAACTGAATTTCCCAATGCCGCCGCAAGTTGCAACGGCTGCAAAATTAGTTGACCATGCACTCCAGCGGCAAACAGTTGGACCTGAATCCTTCCGCCGTCCTGCTCCTATTCGTCCTTGTTGCGAGTGTTGCAGGAGATGGGAATGATACCTCCGGCTTGAGCCTGAGTCGCTCGAAGCGTTTGGCCATTTTCAATGGCCAGGGCACAAACAAGGTTGACCATCGATCCAAGTTTGGCATTCCGACTCCTAATTCGTCTCCCCCAGATAGTCATTGGGCTTGCGTTTCCCATCAAACAGGAGGACCCAGTGCGGTCGGCTGTGGGATTTATCAACTACCAAGCGCAATATGTGCCATCGCCTGTCCCAATTTACTGGTGGAGCTTCTGGAACACCTCGACATTTGTGACCACGGCTAGGAAATGGCGGATGAATGTCCAGAGCAGACTTTTCCAGGACGAGACACGAATTTGGTTGTACGATGTCGTCGAAACGGGCTTGGAGCGGTGTGTATTTGGCTCATCTGTCAGCGACTCTTAGTTAGGCATTCTCATTTCAGTTTTGGAGATCGGAATGCCGGTGCCTGTCTTCTCAGAAGCATCTGTGAGATATCCCAACGCCCCTTTTTGCACAGCAACATTTTCAGCGAGATACTCAATGCCGTGTTGGTGTAAGTGTTCTGTTTTCTTTACATTTTTATTTTGCTACCCCAATATATATACTCTTTTTAACAGACCCTCTCTAGATAATGTGCCTGAAAAGTATCTACTGGCCAGAGATGCGGGTAAATCAGGTGCCAATTGTTGGAAAACCTATAGTGACTGCAGCAAGAAGTTTTGGAACAGACTTATTCAAATGGCAAAGATATCTCTCTAAAAGGTTTCTCATAATAATAAGTAAATAAATAATAGTTAAGCCAAATGATAAGTAAAATGATCAACTAATTGTTTGAGAATGCTAGGACTTGGTTTTAATTTGTAAAAAATGTCATGTGTGGTTTATTTAATCGCTTGCGTCCTGGACTCCAACAATCGTAAAGCAACATCAATTTGAATTTTTTTTTGTGAAATTTTCCGTGATCTTCCTTGCGTTTGTTCTTTCGATTCTTGCTGCTGGTATATTTATTGTCTCGCTTTTTATTTTTGTGGCGGGTGCTCGTGTGAGATTTTTACTAATTTTCAACCAAGTTGAACTGTAAACAATGTCAGCAGAGAAACCAAATGAAAACAAATGCAGCTAGCAAAACAGTAAGGGGCAAGGTACAGGGGGCCCCGGCACTAACGAACAGCAGTCGTCGTGGTAGTCGTCGCAGCAGTGGCAAAAATTTTGTAGCATGCAAAACATTTGTCAAATGTAAATTAGCCAAAGGAGTGCGGGGGAAAGGTTCTAGCATTGCCTCTCCTGCTGCTGCTGCGGTTTTTTCTTTTACTGAGAGGCAAAAGGGGGGCGGAGGGGTGGTAAGGGGCGCAGGATGTGGGCTGCAATGGGGGCGGCATTGAACGGGTGTTTGCCTGGTACAAATCGCATAAAATCACACTTAATGCCCGCAGGCAACATGCAGCATGTAAAAAGTGCAGCGAGGCGTGAATGTCGCTGGCACACAAACTTCTGCATGTATACAGGACACACACTTAAGCGGACATGCATAAAGAAAAATGATTAAATTACTATTAAATATTTTCGAGAAATACAGTACAATAGAAGTGTAAATTATATTCTTCTATTATACAATATTTTATTATTCAATTGTTCATTTATAACAGCAAAATGTATTTATGGTTTTTTGTAATATAAAAATAATGCATATTTTTTAATTTTATTTCAATTGTTTACATCCCCTGGAAATTTTTCAATTACAAAATATTTCAATGACTTTTCTTTTAATAATTTGAAAATTTAATTACCCAAACTACATAACTTTTTTCTCAGTGTTTTCACACACACTCGCATGCTCAAACAGTGAAAATTTTAAATAAAAAAAACTCCCACAAAATTTAACACAACCGCAAAACAATTTCAAGGCGTTCTTAAATAATATCCCTTTAAAAAAAAAAAATTAAACACCGGCACAATTAAATTATTAATGTTTAATATGAGTGTATACAATATTGTCACTTATAAACACCTAAGCGAAAGGAACAAATCAACTGGGAGGTTTAAAAAATTCAAGTTTCAATGCGTCCAAGTGTAGTGAGCCTGTCAATCGCAAAAAGTTAGTCATGCTCCACATGGAAATAGAAACCCACCAACCCCGGCTACGAAAAACTAATAAAATGTTTATGAACAAATTATTATAATATATCATTTAATGTTGTCCTGTCAGTTGCCCGTCAATTCACAAATTCGAATCATTTGCCACAAACGCATTGTTAGTCGATATGTATCCGTGGCGCCATAGTTTGAGTTGACAAATCTTTGCTTTTCACTATTATCATCATCTTAAAGGCATGACCAAAAATCAGCTCTTAAACATTAATTTTTAGTTTAACCGATCGTCCAGGGAGCATAGGATTGTTCCGACAAACGATTTCACCTAATCCAGACAAATAAACTGTAAAGTTCAGTCGATACCAAAACACCGAGTTATAATAACACAAAACAGGCAAAACCCAAGGGCAATGTTGCAGCTGAACGCAAATGCGGAAGCATTAACATGGTCACACCCTTCCCCAAATTCAGCCTTCTGCTTGCGTCTATTGTTCGCAATTATCATGGAACGCAAAAGGCAATGCTTAATTTTTGTTATCCAAAACTTTTACTTTGCCCCATCGCACACCCCACACCCGCCGAAAATTAATGATAAAAAAAGATGCAAAAGTACGAGTCAAACTTTAATAAGCGCCATTTCTGCTCCCCGTGTCGTCCTCGTTTGGTTTGCTGCTGGTCCACACGGCGTATGAGCAATTTGCATTTGTTTGCGCCACGTCCTTTCGTTTCCTTCGGGTCCACAAACAAAGTTCTAGGCGATGCTCTCAAGTGAATTTTATCGCACCCAGATACCAAACAAAACAAGTTTGCATTTGTATGCGAGGTAGAGCCTTAAGCGAATTCAAGTTATAATTAAATTTTGGAAATGCAAAGGGACAGATGACATCTGGAAAAGTGCCCAAAAGAAATCCATGGCCTTGGTTTTGATAGTATATATAGTATGTTCATTAATAGAACACATTTAATTAATAATTTCCTTTTATTTTCACATAAAAATCATTCTCTTTTGAGTTCCCTAGTGTTCATGAAAGTTCTAAGAGAAATCGTGTTTATGTTCTAGATCATGATCTATGGTTTAGCAGCTCTCGTTTCAAGTCACTGACTCCGAAATTATTTCACACTTGGGTGTGAAGTCCAATGAACTTCTGGAGCCACTATCATAACGGGAAGATTATTTCGTCATGGGATTGCTACAATTTCAGTATGAAATATGGGACAGTTGACGAATGTAATTAGCACCCTGGGTTAATCACTCACAAGAATTCAGCAGAGTGTGCGCTACACCTTTTTTCCTGTTTATCAACTTTTCGAGCTGTCTGGCATTTCTTAACAGTGCAATGGCTGTAGCTGGTTTTATTTTAATTTTATTTTAATTATGTCAAATTTACTCAGCTTTACGTTTGCGTCTCGCCTGCTATTTCAGCTGCTCTTTTTCTGTAATTTCCGCTGCTGTTTCTGTTGTTATTGCTAGCTGGCAAATGTCAGCAGCCAATTAGGAAGAGTGAGCCAAAGGATGTGCCGCTGCGTCTTCGTCATCGCGAGTCAGTCAATGTCACTCTGCCGCTGTCCGCCGCCTTGGTGGCCCCACTCAAAGTCCCAAACTCCCCAGCCAGCGATGGGATGTGGAGGATTTGGATGCCAATGCCACTCCAGCGTCTGTCCACACCCCTCTAAACCCCGATCCCTCCCCAAAAGCCTCAGCCTCACTTGGCCTTGTCATCATTTGCATAAGAAATTTATCTCAATGAGTAGCTAATTGGGAAATTGTGACATGCCCACACCCCCTCGCCCATCCCCTCCCCATCCCTTTTTACACAGGATCTTCGTCCCAGTTCCCTTAAGTCAACAAAAGGGCTGCGCAAATCCATGGCACGTTAGTTTTATTGCACTAATCCTTGAACTAATTTGGGGAGACGGCAACGAGTGCGAATCGCTGATGACGAGAATCTTAGGATTTTAAATTGAAGTCTAGGCATATTGGTTTCACAATGCCAGTCATACGAATATATCTTGGATTGGCAAAATAAAATAAACCATTCGATGTTCGCATTTATTTTTTTATCTAAACAAATAAATATAAGGTAAAACTTTCAACGAATTACCATTTCATTATGTTGTGTAATCACTAATCACTAATTTTAAGATTCTAAGATTCTTCTTTAATGAAAGTAAAAAGTCGAAATAATGTTGAAAATTATATATTTTTAGGATTTCAAGAAAATGTGCCACAAAAAAATGTGACTTGACAGATATTTAAGTTAATTTATACCTTTCAATCAGAATGAATTTTATTTAACCTCTTATTCAAAATTAAAAATTAAAATAAAATATAATTAATTTTTTTTTGCCTTTCTCAATGATAAAAATTTAAGTTAGCTCAAAACGTTTATGTGGCAATAGCGACACTATTGCCGTGCTCATCATTGTCTAAAGTGCGGCAATCAGCGTTTGACTAACTAATTGCGTATACGCCATGCTCTCTGCCATATCATAGACGGTTTAATTTAGACACACACCGATGGAGATGGGCACACGCACACACAAGCGATCCTGGCCACAAACTGAATTGGCTAACTGAGCTCATTAGCAGGCGCTGTCAGGGGCCATATTCTATATCTCCTATTTCCTATCTCCTATCGCCTATCCACAATCCCCAATCTCCGATCTCCCCATCCACTATTATCCAACCATTGCGAGTGTGTGCGGCCAATCGCCCCATCCAATTACATATTCGATAATGTGAGGCAAACCAAATGAAATTAATTGCACATTTTAATTGACAACGCATCAAATCAATTTGCATGCCAGTCACTCCACCTCAGTCCGATTAATGAATGAATGAATGTGGAATACAGATGAATGGAAATGCAACCCGGATGGGGCTTTGCACCTGATCCTGGCCTTTTCGCATGCATAATGAGAAGGATGCGCATTTCGTAGGTCCTTGACTGCCAATAAATTACCCGAGGTGTGCGCTAATCTCGTCTATATTGTTTGCGGGCCAATTACATACATACCATCACTCGAATTGAATGGAGGCCAAATAACTTACCGCACCTGTCAAGTTAATTTTAGCGAGTGAGCTGTAAATTGCCCTTTTTCCTAAGTAATTAAAATGGCTTTCATGCTGACATTGAGCTGGCAGCTTAAATATTAATTTGCCATAAGTAACTGACTTTTTACTATTGCATATTTTGGAAAACTCGAAAATGCTTTTATATTTTGACCAATTTATTGACATTTATTCATTTGGCAACTTGTTAAAGGCCAACAATTATATGCAAATGTATAAATAATTGGCAGATTGAGAAGAACAACTTAAATTGTAAAATACAAGCTTTAAATTGAATCCTTCAATTTTATTTATTGGCTTGATTGTCACCATTGAAGTTAAAATATTTAAATAAAATAAGTCTCTGTCTTAAACCTGTGCAGCCAATAAAATCTATTTGTAGATTAGTAGATATATGTTCGTGTTTACCTTATTTTATTATAAAATTTATCAGCATCTTAATAAACCCTTTATATAACAGGCTTAAGAGTTCAATTAGTAAAAGCCAGACGAGCATACTATTTTTATACCCTTGCAGAGGGTATTATAATTTTGGTCAAAAGTGTGCAACGCAGTGAAGGAGACGTCTCCGACCCTATAAAGTATATATATTCTTGATCAGGATCACCTCCTGAGTTGATATAGCCATGTCCGTCTGTCCGTCTGTCCGTCTGTCCGTCTGTCTGTCCGTCTGTCCGTCTGTCTGTTTCTACGCAAACTAGTCTCTCAGTTTTAAAGCTATCGAATTGAAACTTTGCACACACCCTTCTTTCCTTTGCACAGTATATAAGTCGGAACGGCCGGGATCGGCCGACTATATCCTATAGCTGCCATATAACTGATTGATCGGAAATGCCATAACTTTCGTGTTTGTAAAGTTAGGAAGTTGAGATTTTCTATGGGTTTTATATTTGGCCAATCAATCCGACTCACCAAATTTCATAAGGATCGGCCGACTATATCCTATAGCTGCCATATAACTGATTGATCGGAAATGCCATAACTTTCGTGTTTGTAAAGTTAGGAAGTTGAGATTTTCTATGGGTTTTATATTTGGCCAATCAATCCGACCTACCAAATTTCATAAGGATCGGCCGACTATATCCTATAGCTGCCATATAACTGATTGATCGGAAATGCCATAACTTTCGTGTTTGTAAAGTTAGGAAGTTGGGATTTTTTATGAGTATTAAGAATGCATTATATGAATAATTTTGGAGAATATAATTTACAGAGTATTCTGCAAGGGTATATCAACTTCGGCTCCGCCCGAAGTTAGCTTTCCTTTCTTGTTTTATTTTCTCTTCTACCACATTAATTGTGACTTGCCATGAGAATTGTGCACATTTCCAGGGTATTTTTAAATTAATTGTAATTGCGAAAACACGCTTCACCCGAACTCGAAAAAATAAGGACGAAAAAGAGAAAAATGCAAACATCACCAAATGAGAAAATTAAACTGAAACCACCAGCAACAACAAAATGACATTTACGTATGTGTTGTCAGCAAAAGTAACAAGTGAAAAGAGTGTTCTGCAGTCAAGTGTTAGGGCTTGAATGTACTCAGTATTGTATATAAATTCTGTAAATATATTTCTTACTATATATACCAATTTAAACCCTTTTAACAATCTTTGATTACATTTTATAATAAGTTTTTATGAATAATAGGCTTTTCTTTTACTATTGGAAAATAATAAATCATTATATTGAGATGATTTCAATATATAATTTTAGTTCTTAAGTGCTTATCTCTAAATTACTTTGTTTCTGGGTTGTATTATACATTTATTAAAATCTAAATTAACTTAACCAAATAGTGAAATAATTATTTTAATTTGTTTGTTTCTCAGAATTGCCTGTAACCCTTACCATACTCCCTTTCAAGTTTAATAGGAAACAGTTGAAGGTAACAGAAAAAAGATGAATAAAGTAAGGTCAGTGGATGTGGGGCTTGGAAGGGAGTTGACCTCTTTTTGTAGCAATTTAACGCATGCCAAGATAATTAATACTTAATTAAGGCTGAGACACGAACTCGTTGCAGTGTGTGCATTCTTCTACCTTTTCTTTCCATTTTTTTTTGATACAAGCGGCACAAAGTTGTTGCCCAATAAACGCTTAAAGTTTTGCGGTTAATGTCCAATTCAGACCACTTCTCCAGCTCCAATTCCGCACATCCACATTATTCCCTGACCTGTTCGCATGTTTCTTGTATCCTTGTGGCGAACTAGAGACTTGAGAGCTCACACAACTGCAATTTAATGCCCTTGTACGCGTGCATGTAATTTATGTTTTTCAACTTAATTAAAGTTAATTTTTAATGCCGCCGCGGTGGGCGACAGGTTTTCCTCGGGGGGCGTGACAAGTGCATCAAAGGCTGCCGCAAACATTTTAACACCACTCGGCATTTTCGTGCTGGTGACATTAAACAGCTGGAAAACTTTTGTCATGCAACGAGGTCAACAATGGTCACAGAATACTCGCCATTATTGCGCACTGCCTGTAATCTTTTCTGGTGCTTTTTTCCCGGCTGCTCATTTTCAGCTGTTTAATAAAAATGCCAATTAAATGCATGTTGCTGATTGCCACACGCACAATCAGCGGTTGCTGGAAAAAAAAAAAAAGAAACACTCGTCCGAAACCTGCAAATGGCACACAAGTTAATTATAAATTACAAATGGCAACAACAGCGAATAAATATCATCAGCAGCCACAAACACTTACTGGAAGCTTTTCGGAAAATAAATCAGTAACATCAAGAAGGCTCCGACGATTTGACACCCAACAAGTGATTTTGTTAAAGTAATAAGAAGTTATAATCTAAAAGAAATAGTTTTTTGTTTTTCAATGTTAAGAACTATTATATTTGAAACACGATATCATATAAATGAATGCCTAAACTAAAGTATTTTAAACCATTTTTTACACATTAAAGTTTTAGAATTTAATAAAGTTTTTAAGAAATGAAAAAGATTTTCTCATTACGGTAAACAAATATGACGCGTTATTACAAGGGTACTAAAAAAGACAACGAAGATGAAACCCCAATCGCCTTTGCAGAAATTAAGTTTTTAATTTGTATTAAAAACATGCCGAATTAACAATTTCATAAAGTGCGAACTGTGAAAGCTTCAATCACTTTCATTACAATCGGCATTATTATTTTAGGCAATCAGACCGTCAGGCCTGTGTTTATATTTATATTTTGATGTCCAATTCAATCTCGATTTTGTTTATTTTACATGGCTTAGAACAACAAACAGTAGCACATGATATACACATTATTAAACATCGTCCGTATATGGAGATATGCTGTCGAAGCTCAAGGGACAATGGCTGTGCATGATTTGTTCGCAGTTCTCTTCCCGGAGATGCGGCATATGTCGCTTGTCGTGCTCATCCAGACTGCAATTAAACAATGTATATGCGCGGGATAATTAATATTATATTTGTTTTTAACAAACACTTACGTAAATACGTATTTTAATAGCTTAAACAGAAAGCCCTGGCCATGATCGCCAGCCAGGGCGGTGCAATAGGCCTTCAGAACACAAGCCCGTCCATCCAAGCCACTTCGATCGATCAGCTCGTGGAGCAATTCGTAGGTGTCCCTGCGAAAGGGTCTGTTCTCCCTCTTGACCAACACCGGGGTATTGGCTCGGAAGCCATAACCATGGGCCCACACAACTGGCGATTTGATCACATTGTTCTTGGCATTAACGCGGAACTTAAAAGTGGAATAAAAGCTTAGCTATAAGTAACTTCTAAGGTCTTTCCATTTCTAAAAAAGTCTTAACTGCCAAAAAAAAGCTAACCCAAATTTTAGTAAACGGTTTTGTTGAAGTCTATTTCAAAACTTCTTTACCGGTTAATATCAATTTTGGGATTAAGCTATAATTTTTCAGTTAAGGCTTAATAAGTTACCCACAAATATGCGAGTGGTCTCTATAATATCCAGATATCGCTTCGCTCGACTGTGAACAATTGTAGAATTTTGATCTTGGCCCGACACCAAAGCGAGGAAAGTGAGAAGTAGGCCCAACTGAACCGTGACCATTGTAACCGATGTAAGAACTCAACTAACAGAGCAGAACAGAAATCTATAGAGCTGTCATACACAACGAGGCAAGAAAGTTCTTTTGGTGAATTAAAACTGGTTTGCTTTTGTTCTTAGACCTATCAGAACAGTGCTAATTAATGACAAACTTTGTTCTACTTAAACTGGAAAATGGAGTATGTGATCGACTTACCTGAATATCAATTTCAGCACTTTAAAGAGCATTCCGCTCTTTTGTTTGGGCTTATCCACATCGTTTAAAACCGTGCAGAACGATTTCAGCATGCAAGCGCGGCCATCGAAGCCGTGTCTGTTCGTAAAAAATATTGTTAATAAGAAAATTTGTTTTTTATAGAATAAATGCCTAGATTTGGATCTAAAAACATGTTGTTTTTCAACAGAATATATATTTTGATAATGGTGTGTTTTTACTGAAAAATATTGATCATTTTAATATCTATCGAATTTGAATATAGAAAGTATTGATTTGAATATAAGCTTATAAAAATGTTTTAATAGCAAGACTACAATTTAGAGAAATATAAGAATTACGTAATCAAATTTAAGCACCGAAATATTACTGAACTTGAAAAGGAACTTACCCATCCAGAGCGGTCTCCAGCTTGGAGAAGAGGTCCCGCTTGAAGAGGCGAAAGAATACCGCATTATCCTTCTTCTGCTCCTCGATGGAGGGGAATGGGTAATTGGCGCGGAAGCCATAGCCGTAGGCGTACAGCGCGTTGATTTTCCACAGATTGTTCTTGCCGTTGGTACGCCACTGCGGGGAATCGAAGGGCCGGTGATTGGGAGCCAATTAAAACTGGATACCATACGCACCGACATACGTGATCCCTTGCTGAATTGGAGGTAACGCTTGCCCCGCCGCAGAATCCTTGTGGCATTGTTGGTGCTGGATTCGTAGTCGGAACTGGGACTATAGTTGGTCATGGGACTGGAGCTGAGGCTGGGAGTGTCAATATGTTTGGGCAGAGTGCTGAGTACCTCCATATTGTCAATGGGTTGAGTCAACGGAGGATTGGATGACAGGATGGGCACCACCTGCACCAACTGCAGCATCAGCAGCGCCTTTGCCGTCAGGTGAGTCATCATGTTGAATGTTCTAAAGACCACTAATTAATACTTATAGCTGAGATGGATTTTCCCGAAACCACTTCAGTTATGAATTTTTTTCCGGTTTAATTTCCACTCATATTGTTCGGGGCCCGCTTGTGTCCAGTTCCAGTTCCCCTTGGCTACTGATATAAGCTCGGATATATTTAATCTGGCTCACATAAATACGAGAGCCAAAAAGAGGAGCAAACAAAACAAACAAAGAATTTTTTCTTGATGCTTTGTTGTTACTGCTGGCGTTGCTTATTTATTTATTGCTCTGTGTGATTCGGTGACATTTCGTGTCTTGGCCATTGCCACTCGTCCATTCCGTCCTGCTCTGGAATTCTAGTTCTGGACATGACATTTACTTGTTAACACTTTTCTCTCCATCTTTCACCGAGCTGCTTCTGGCACAGAACTCTTGTTGACATCCACAATTTCCCCGTTTACCATTATAAATGAGGCCAGCGGAGCATTCGGATGAGGTGTGAGCACCTGGAAATGGGGTTTGCGGTGAGGGAGCTAAAGTTTAGCAGGAATTTATGGTAATATAAAGGTTTTAAATCAATATATATTATAAATATTTATTTAGGTCTTTATGGGTTATTAAAATATATTAAAATGGAAACATAGTCTTTTAATTAAATTATACTTCATACTATTTTCCATTGTTTTATTTTAATACTTCATAGTAATAATAATATAATTTGTGTGCCTGAATCTAATGCCAACAATTTTAATATCTATCATTAAACTATCATTACTCAAACTATTCCTAAGCCCCATAAAGTGTCCAATTATAACTATTATCGCATAGTTTTTCGCCTGTTTATTGTTTTATCGAATTCAATTCAGATATCGGGAATATGGCCCATGGCCAAATTGAAAATTTATGGCGCACATATTTCCAAAACCCAAATGGATGCTGTTATTGGTAAATAGTCATAAATATTTCGGCCTGCCACTTAATTTTCACTCAGAAACAATGCTGTGTCATTTTCCGTCTTGATTGAATTGAGTTTTCGAAACACCGACAATGAGAAAAGTCAGATAAAGTTTGGCCAACATATATTTATTTCGTTTAAATTGAAGTCAGTTTGCCATTGGCAGAATGATAATGATGGGCAAGGAGGTGTCAGGAGATGGACTTGCACATCAGTCAGCTGGAGTCGGCTCACAGACATCATCAATTCCTTGCAGCTGGGCAGAAGATATATGAAGTGTCATTTTTAACCTAGCTCAACAAGTGCCCTTTTGCCTTGCCCCATTTTCCCCGGGAAATGGAGGTGGACAGAGTTGACATTTAAAAAAAATTTGATGCGAAACGTGTTTAAGTATCGAGAATTTATTATGCGTAATAATTTTTCGGCGGGGTCGTGTACTTTCCAAAGGCCAGTTCCAACAATGAGAAGTGGCAGTTGTACTGGGTGCAGTCGTCGCTGTGGGCATTCCTATACGCCTGGTCGTAGTGGACTATATCCGAGTTCTCGTGCAGTTCCCTTGTGAAAATTCTCTGCTTCGGCAGGCTGCAGATAAAGTTATCGAAAATATTAAGTATTAAATAGGTTTTAAATTTCCATGGTTATTTTTGCTCACCTGAATATAGTACGAAGCATTTCGCCAACCATGCTCATCTTGGTGCGCTGAAAGTACTGACGACTCTCGCAGAGGGTTCTCAAAATGCAGTCACGTCCATTATATCCCATGCTTAAAGAAATATAAGGAAAGATTAAGGTCAATTATACAAAGAAAGGTGCCACAAAAACTATATCCAAATACATGTATTTAAAAGTAGACAGTGGAATAACTAATGTAACTCCGGATTCAAAATATTTGGTATTTAGTATTTCAAACTCATAGTTAGTCCCCAATGACATAACATAACATGCAAAAGAATTTTCCATAAAATTTCATAGGTCTGACAGCAAACTTCCTTGTCTTCCCACTGCTTTAAATATATTTTAGTAATAAATTTAGTTGATTAATTTTTAAAAACACTGCTATTTAAGGCAGGGCTCTAGCTATGATTTAATAAATCCTCCGTACTTATCCACAATGGTCTCAATCTTTTGGTATATGGCGCTCCTGGACCTTCTCCGCAGGACAGCGGGTGCCACGGGATGTGTGGAAAATCCGTGCAAACTCTGAAGGACCCACGAGGTGTTGGGCAGGTCGTAGGCCACTCCCCAATTCAGGCCGAAACTGTTGTAGCCGTAATACGGATTGCCAATGATGCCCACGGTGAAGCAGACGGCAACCTGATCAAGGACACGTTGACAAAGGACTCTCTGGAGAGGGAGGAGGAGGTGGAGGAGTAGGGGGGATTGGGCGGGATGAGCCACAACATACGGAAAGCGAGGAGCCCTCCGGGAAACTGAGATAACGCTTCGGACGACTGAGCACTCGCTGCCACCGCCGGTGGTGCAACAGCTGGGAGGATGTAACCAGAGCCGAGGACTCGGATGGAGTGGAGTCGTCTGCACGTTCCATCATAGTCATCAATGTTGGCGGCGACCATAAATCATGGCTGACATTACCCGGAAAAAACGAGGGAGCGGCGACAGTAAAAGAGGGCGTTGCATTTGTCGTTGCAATTAAATCGTAAATCAAAAACTTTGCAACAATTAAACGATAATTAAACAATACGGAGGTCGCGTAAATCATGGCGGCAAGCAACGTGGCACGTGCCACTCTCGGATGCGACTGAAAACTGCAACTGCTCACAGCAAACAGTACGGGGAAACTGCAGATGAAAGCTCTCTTTTCTGCCAAGACAATGCAATAAATGGGCAGTTGTGGGGGGCCAAAGGAAAATTGCCAAAGTGCAAATGTGTCAATTGTCCGTTAACGTTTAGAATGCTCTTCAGACACTTGCAGCAGTCACGTTTACAATAAACATGGCACCGACCCAAAAGGTCGATGGGCCGGGGATGGGGAGTGCAAGGGGGCGGCCAAGACAGGCGCTGCAACTTAATTGAATTGCCTGTGCCGACACTTGCAACAGCACCTCCATCTCCCTCTCCACTTGCACCTCCACCTCCACCTGCACCTGTCGATGCCATGCGAAAGGTCGAACTGCCTCCACAAAGTCAAAGATGCGATGACAGAGATCGATGGGCTTGGTCGGCAATGCCTTGCCATATTTGCCAACTTCGCCGCACAGTGTGAATAACTTGCAACATAAGTTTACTCCTCGAGTAACTGGGTTTCCAAACGTCTTTCTAAAGAGAAGTTTTACTTATGTTAATACCATTAAAAAATTTATTATCAAACAATTAACTAAATAAATTTTCTCTAGGAAAATTAATTCATTTGTTGTGTTAAGCTATATTTTGAAAATTAACCAAAATTTAACATATTTTGTATAAGACTGATTTCCGGACTTTTAATGTTGGCAAAAAAAAGTTTTTTTTCTCAGAAACAAAAACACTTTTGCTCTTTTAAGATCTAGTTTATCTCATCTTAAAGGATCTTCAATAACTGCAAGCTCTTTGGAATGAAAATGTGTGATCTATATTCGAATATTTTCTTAAGTTTACATTTTGGAGGAAATTCAAACTTAAAAACTAAAATATAATTAAATATTTCAATATTTGGAAAATCCTAAACTTATATTAGATTGATTGCTGTGCCATGATGAACCATTTGAAGGAGTTTCACAGACGATAGTATTATTTCCAGGGATTGTTTCATTTAGGGGCGGAATAACTTTTTAGTCCTCCCTCCGCCGCAATGACAGTGGCGCCTGTCAACTCGAATCCTGTGGCCTGGGAGACAGGCGGACAAACAAACAAACAACTTCATTAACCCCATAGGGCATATATCGCATACACAAGGACTCCCACTAGCACATACGTATGCGAATCCGCATGGTGTATGTATATCCCGACACATCGGATAGAGGCAATTGAGGCCTGGGAAGGCGCTTAGCTGACCCATTAGAGGGAGAGGAGTGGGTCGTAAACCAGAAGAGCCAATGCCAAAAGTCAGGGGCAAAATTGCCGGGCATCAATTGTGGGACGCTAAGCAAAACAGACAATCGAAAAGCGAAACCAATCGAGGGAAAACAATCATGAAACACAAGACGGGCGCACATACAAAACACACACCGAATTCCCGACACGTGAAGCTAAGGTCAAAGCCAGGGGAAAATCCGAGGCAGATGCCAAAGGAAAAGCCGGTCGAAGGACAAATATGGTAACTTTTTGACGACCACTTGAAGCTTAGCCGGGCTCTGGAATTGAGGCAGAAATTCGAAAGGGAGCCCAAGTCCTTTGATTACCATGACAACGCCCGTCACTGTATCTCGGTATCCCGTATCCTGTATCCCTATCGGGATGTGTGTGTGTGTGTGCTGCTCGTTGATAAGACATTTTACAGATTGCAGATAGTTTAACGGCGCCCACCACATAACTCTCCCCCAATTACGGCCTAATTTGTTATGCATTTTTCGCATTGGCTCCAAGTTAAAGTTGCCGAACCGCAGACTTCGACTCACACTCGTCCTCTACGGATATTAAACTATTTCCGAAGCATACAAAAAGCCAATTTAAATGCTAATATAAAATACCAACATTTTATTATTATGCCATGAGCACGCATCCCCGAGTAGGGCGGCCATGGAGCGGTGGGCGTGGCAGGGTAGGGCATGGTAGGGACAACGACCACTTCGGGTGCGAAGTCGTCTTGGTCGCACTGTGCGTGATAAGCCAAGTGGCTTGGCTGAATTTGGCAGCAGAAAAAGGCCGTTGAGTTGGGGAACCAGTCTCTTGAACCATTTAAAGTATCTACATATGAGTGGGAGCATACTTCTGTGCTTGGTACAGTGCGATTCGAAAATGAAATGATAACAAGCCATAAATCAGTGAAAGTTTTTTCTTTTACGTAAGTTTAAGAAGCTGTGTCAACTGATAGGTCTTTAAAACAAAAAAGGTTATGAATTACAAAAGCTCAAGCACTTTAAAATTTATAAAGATGTGTTTACAAATAGCAGCGAGTATTAAAGGTTTTCATTTGTTTGTTTAGTTTGACTTGCTATTATGAGACCAACTTTAATATAGTATTTAAATTGGATCATTGTTTAGCGAAATCCAAACCCACACTTCAATCCCAATTCGTAGGATACCAAACGTTTTAAAATATTATTTGTCAGATGTTGTCATATAGGAATAGTTCCAGCTTAGCCAAATCCCAGATGGTATCATTTGTGTGAATTTCCACCCACACCAATTGACTTCAGATGGTCAAGTGCCGGTGAACCATGAGTCCCGACCCACTCACCTGTCTATCATTGTCTCCAGGCGACCGTAGAGCTCACGTCGATGTCTGCGCTTGATTTGCGCCTTGGCCGACTTCTTTGTGGTCCAGCCGTGGGCATTCTGCACCACCCAGGTGACATTGGGCAGGTCGTAGGCAACACCCCAATTGATGCCCAAACTGAGGTACAGCAGGTTGGGGTTGCCGATGACACCCGTGGTCAGACAGACAGCGCCCTGAAACACGGCCACAAAATATTGATTCTTAGGAAATGTTGTTTGATTTGTTTTAAAGAACTTCCGTCGATATCAAACGGACTTATTTGGTTTTTCTTTGAATCGTCTGCTATTGCTTTTTTAACTTTGATAGTTTCAAATTGAGCGTTGTTCAAGTTTAAATAAAACATATAAATTATAGTACTTCTAAATGTCTTAGGATTTAAAAACTAGAAATAGGTTCATATAAAATTTGAATTCTTGCAGAAAGGTTGCAATGCGTTTCATCTGGATGATATTTAGGCGGTGAGAAAATCCAAATAAATATATGATATTGAAAAGATAATAAATTTTATTTACTAATTTTCTACTGTGCAGAACGAATGGCTTGTTGCCCCATTGTTCGTGGGTTCGTTGACTCACCGAAGCTGATGAACCCTGGGGAAAGGCCACAAAGCGCTTGCCTCTCGAGAGTTTCCGCTGCGACGATGGGGCCGCATGCGGTGTCAGTGGGTCCTGGTCGAAGTCCCGGTCGAAGTCCTGTTCTCCCTGGGCGGCGAGTCCTGGCGGAGTCAGCGTGGTGGCATTGTTGACTTTGCCAGCTTCGTGACTCGTCGCCGGCGGAGCAAATTCATCCAGAGAGTTGCCCTGGCATTCGCCCAAGAGCCATGCCGTGAGCAGTAACGTCAGCCAAGTTTCAGACATCTTTCTAACTGATTCAAATTTTCGGCTCTTGATTTCTCCATAATTCGATCATCTTTTTGTCTTAGCGTTCTATCGAAATGGCAACTTGTTAATTGAATTAGAGTCCGGCCAAGTGACCCCTTTATGAACTAATGTCTTGGCCAAATAGCTGCTTGCAAAGCGGTCAAGACACGCTCCGGACCAAATTGAAGAGGCACGCGAATGGAATTGGAACTTAACCACTCGTTCAATCTGGAGTTTACTGTCTGGTTCTTTAGTGCTACGCCGGTCGCCGCAGGCTTCGCTATGGAAATTTTAATTTGGTTTAGACTGGTCTTCTTCGCCTTTTTGGTGACTTCAACGTTGGCAGGCAATGGAACGGATCTCCTTAAGTCCAATTCGAACTCCGGCAGTAGAGGAGTAACCTATATGCACGATAAGATTCACCTATTACATCGCCAAAAGCGATGGCTAACCTTTGAACTGGGTTCTGCAATGACGGTAAGTTGAACTCTTAAAGGGTATTCCCCTTTTCCCTTGAATTATAATGTGGAAGGAATTATTGGGCTTATCGGCTTTCTGTGTAAAATGAAAGTCTTAGAAGCGGATTCTTATTCTTATCAAAAATGTTCAAAAACTTTGTTGACTTCAGAATAAAGTGTATAATTTAATTGATTTCAATCATGTTAACTGTTTTTTGGTTGGACACAGCTCACAGCCAATTGCGCCAAGGCCGTTCTGGACACCATACCCAGAGGATTACTTTGGCTGGCTGAGATCACGAGCCTTTATGAGTTACCGGCAGCCATTGAAGATTGGATACCACGGCATGTAGGCAAGCCAAAGGTGAAACCTCCACCTCCTCCTCCACCACCACCTCCACCACCACCACCTCCACCACCGCCACCACCATCAGCGCTTGGATCCCCAGTTGGGTTTCAACCACAGCCCGTGATTGTGCCTCTAAATCCCGCGGATCCCATCCAGTCCTTTTACTTTGCCTACCCGCAAGGCATTCCCACCTTGAGTCGTCGGAAGTCCTATTCGCAGCAAATGCAAATGGGATGTCCAGCCTCGCACTTGGTTAAGGATATGTATGGGACCTACTACTGCCGACCCTCTGCCATGTCCCGCAGGCTTAGACGAGAGCTCGAGAGCCAGGGAACCACAGTGATCAACCAGGCGCAGAGTCCGCACGGCATGCTCTTCGACATCGTGTCCATAATGTCCACCATGTGAGTACGCACAATTGAAAAGTTTTGCTTTGCAGAAAAGTATCCAAAAGCTACAATTCTAAGCCAAAAAATTTTCTTACAGAAATCCGATTTCAAAGAGGCATACCTCAAAATGATCTGCATTTAAATTTACATTTTTATTTTTGGATCGATTTTTTGTCATATTTATGAGCCCCTTTCCAAATTTTCGAAAAATGAGGTTGTCGAAAAGGGTCCAAAACCTGCCATCTGAGCTCATAACTTTTCTTACATAAATCCGATTTCAAAGTGGCATATCTCTAATTGATGGTGGTTTGATTCTCTAAAAATCTGCATTTAAATTTTAATTTGTATATTTGGGTGGGAAAAAACCTTCCGAAATTAGCTTCAGTTTTTTTTTTTTTTATATAAACTTAGTTATGATTTTTTTTTTGATTTAAGTTTTATTTATTTAAAGTTTTGGTTAAGTTTACTGAAAGTGGAGACGATAATGTCCGTGACTCAATTTTGACTCCTTAGATATAATGTAATGAGTAAAGTAACACAATTTGTTAAAGATATGCACCCTGACCTGTTCACTTTCCCCCACGCAGGTTTAATTACCAGCCCAGCTACTGCATCATGCGGACCCTGTGCGAGGCGCGTCATCTGCTGGCTCCGCCGGGCTTAACGCTCTTCCACGATATCTTCCGCATCATGCTGCGCTACGTGCATCCGGAGATAGCCCATAAGCCCAAGTATCGGGAGGCCTTCACCGCCGGCCACTCGCTCCACGAATGCGCCAGTTTGTACGGACCGCATTGTCGGCAGAGTTTTTTGCTGCTCATCAGCGAACGATTCCAAGAGAAAAACGCGCGTTGATTAAATAAAAGCGAAATAAGGAAAACACGTCAATGAATTTATCGAACTGCGCCGACCAGCAGGGCGCCAGCAAACTGCTATGACACACTACATAAAGTTAATGGATTGCGATGTATGTTCAATTTAATTGTAATAAACGCATTCCTTGTGGGGATTCTATGGAAATCGAGCGATTTCAGCAATTTTGGAGTTAATTGGTCGGTATGTAAATTCCAATAATTAAAATCGAAGACAGGTACAAACATTTTGGAGCACACAGATCCTTATAGATAAGTTATTAATTTAATAAATACTTGCTACTGACAAACTCCCTTAACTGGCTGCTCAAATTATTTAGCTTAATTTCAAGGGGCTTATTGAGCTTGTAATGCTGTTAAAAAAATCGATACTCATGCGTTAAGCTTTTACAAATTCTGTAATATTGCCACAGTTCAAACAATAAGTACAAACAAAAATGCATGAATAAATTGATGAGAGAAAAAAATATATTTTATTGTGCGACATGCCAAAAAGTTGAATGGAAATTAAGTAAATACTCGTACATCGGCAGTTTTATTGACAATTTTTTCGGTCATTTTGTGGTGCGCTTCAATGAAATGTAGAGCGCATGTGGGTTCATTTGTTGTCATGAACGGGAGGCCAAAAAAATGATTATTTACGGATACCGTCTCAAAACTAAATACCAAAGCTATAATAATGCCATAAATGCATTTTCAATCAGCAAAGGGTATGGACATATTGATGGATCCCATCGTGCATGCAATTCCCTCTCCAGGGATCTGCACTGGCAATTCCATAATTTGTGCTGTTTGTTTTTCGCTCCACAATGCTGACAATTGGACTGGAAGTGGAAACAAAACAAGAGTATTTCCCACTGTTGACAGAAATTTACATGCTACAGCAATCAGAGTTGGCCGTGTTGACAACCGATGGGCAAGAGGGATGTGGGGGGGGCAGATGAGAAGGGGACCACCAACAATGGGTACTTGTTAAAAGCAGACTTTACAGGCAGCCGCTAATCAGTGCAATCAACAGAGCACTTGAGCTAATAAGCCGCCAAAGCGGATGGTTCGGTTTCGGGCCACTATTCAGTTACCAACGGAACGTTCTACCGACAGCATGAGGCTCTTCTCCCCCACTTGCCACTTTAGTTTTGTGGCATTATGCCTCCTGGCCGTGTCACAGGTGCAGGAGGTGCAATCCCAGGAGGTTTCCCCGACACCAGATGCAAATGCCACACGGGCGGTGACGAAAGTTTTGCGCCGGCAAAAGCGTTATCTGGCTTTTCCGGAGGGCTCTTCGGTTTCGGTGTGAGTGTGATTTGGCCTATTCAGTGGCTAGTTGGTAACAGGGCTCTAATGGTGACCCATCCTGCAGGGAGCTATATGCATGACGATCGGCATGATTGGCAACCCCGATGTGGACTATCTCAGCTGGGCGGTCAACTGGGGCGTGGCCTACGATCTGCCCAACCATCAGTGGGTCATCCAGCACGCCCACGGACTGAACGCCACCCTGGCCAAGGACACCATCAAGCGCCGCTCCCGACGAGCCTTCTACGACGAGGTGCAGTCCTTATTTAACAAGTGAGTGGTATCTAAATGTCACAGATAAGTTAGCCTTAATAAAGGAGTTTTTAATGCGGATTCTTCAATGTCATGCTAAGTTTTTACTTTGAGTTAAATTGCTCTTTCGGATACTTGAAAAATATTATTTAATATTTTCTTTTAGATTGTTACTAATTGGTTTAAACACAAAAAAGAGACTGGGGAAATGTTAATATCCACATTTTTTCATTACCTTTTTGGTAATCATTAATTTTTTGCCCATTCATCAATAAATATTAATGCCACTCTTTGTGATTTTTTCAGCATGGGATTTAATGGTCGCTCGTGCGTGGCTCGAGCTCTTTGCGAGAGTGCCAGGTTCATGCTGCCGCCCCAGCAACGCGGTAATATGTTGCAGGAGTTGGTCAGGACTGTCTTCAGTCTGCCCTCCACTCCAGTGACTGCCCACGAGCCCCAGGCTCATCACCAGTACGATCGGATCTACCGGCGATCCAAGCGGAATTCCCGCGAGTGCCATGAAATCTATCCGGACTGCCAGTTCTCACTGTTGGCTTTGGCTTTGGGAAAATATATGGCAGCCACTACCACAAAGTTTAGTTCATTTAACTATATGTGAACACCCGAAAAACTGGATTAAAAAATAAATTATAAAGGCTGGATTTTAAGCGCGTTCTATGGGGTGGACAAATGAATTAGTTGTAGAGCATTAAATACACAGGTGAAAAGAGGCTCAAGTTTATTTAATTTTAGAAAATATTTCAGAAATATTAAAAGCAAATAAGTTATGGTAGAACCTGCCATCTCTAGCCCCTTACCTCAAAAAAATATTTCCAAATAAAAGTCAGGATAAGTTTTTTTAAAACAAATTATTTTCATTCTTCTTTATTTAATAACGCGTAACATTTATTTATATAGTAATTGTTTTCTTTTAATGTGTTGTCGTTTTTTTAATTGTTTTCAATTTTAGTGTTATTTTTCGCAATTGTTGCTATTATTTCAATTTGTTTTGCGTTTAGCTTAAGTTCGTTATTTAGTGTCTTACATTTAAATTGTTAATGCATTTCTTGTTTTATATTGTTGTGTTAGTCAACATATTCATTTTTCTTCTATCGACTTTGTTAATTTTTTTTTTTTTTTTTTTTAGTTTGTTATGATCTGTTAATTTTTGATCAATTTTTAATGTTCAATTGTTTGCTTGCTGGCTGCGCGTGAGTGTAATTTATTTAGTTTCGGTTTGTTATGTAATATGTTTGCAGTTTTGTTGTTCAAGAGAGTTTCGAATATATATTTATAATATATATAGTTATTTTATATATATTTACGCATGTATTTGTTATGTGAAATGTAAATGCAACGCTTTTCCGGTTAAGTTTAAGTATTGTGTCACATTTATTTGAATTACTGATGCACAAATTTTCCATGTACCTTCTCTTTAGGTTGCTTGTTGCTGATCTTGCATTGGTTTGCAGTGTCAAAGTTAGCTTAGCCTATTCTTAGTTGCAAGTATTTTACATAAATTGTTTATGGATTATCGTAACTTAGCTTACTTACGTTATGCGATTCCATTTAACTAAATTTTCAATTTAGTCAAAATTGATTTTTGTGTAGAATTTTTAGTGAGCGCTTGGGACGCCTAACTAAATGTTTAGACATACTTGTAATTATATCTGGCTTTAGTTTACTGCGTATATGTATGTATATTTATTATTAATACATTTGGTTTTAGTTTCCTTTTTTTTTTTTTGAGCAAATTGTCGTTAGTTTAGCCCGTGGGCGTTTTACCTTTAACTTTAATATTCGTGGTGTTGTTTTCCCCAGTGAGTTGCAAGACTTTAAGATTTGCCATTTTCTTTGATTTGTTTTGAGTTAAAAATCTTGACGCTAAAATTTACTTTTGGTTTTCATATCTTGATCGAACGAATTTAAAGAAAATATACACAAAACTTGCAACGGAAGCACTTAATCCTAACGGCACCTAACAGTTAATACAAAAAATATACATATGGGTGTATATGCATAATGTATACCTCTAAGTACTATATACTCTCAAATATATAGTTAGTATAACTGTTACATACTCGGGTGATTTATAGCATATGAATTTACACATTTGATTTTTGCTTTATCTCGCACACACACACATGCAATGCCTTTCACACGGATTCATACGAAACGCATACATACAAGCATTAAATATTTGAGTATTTTCGTGGATCAGTGTGTGAGTAAGTCTGAGAGTGTGTGTGTGTTTTGTGCTGCTTGCAAATCTGCGAATTTATGATGTCAACGATTCGAAAACCTCCTGAAAATTTGTTGTTTATGGAATTTTCGGGAGTGCCACAGAAATCGCTGGAAAAGCTTGAGTTTTAATTTTCAATATCCAATCCAAATTAATCATTGCATACTACAAGACACCTTAATAAATGTTTTTAAGTCACCAGCGATTTCTGTGCTACCCTTAATAATTGAGAATAGTAAAAACGCAAGGTCCTAAAAATTGTTTTTGCCTTTACTCTGAAGAAATATTTTACAAAAGTAGTCTGGTTTTCCATTTGTACGTAAGAAAGCAATAAATGGCTGCTATAAATCATGAAGAAAATGCTAATTGCTCTGAAATGTGTTCTTTTGTGTCAGTGTCTAAATTTGCTAGCTGTCATTGAAACCGTTTTTAATGAATTAATTTATGTATTTGTTGATTTGCCTCTCTTCTAGACAACTTCATGGAAATTTGTTAGCCAAATCGAATTAAACATTCGGCAACTTTATGTACAAGACGAGCTTTAATGGGACTTGATTGATGTGGTGTGCTTAGAAATTCTGAAGAAGTGTAGTTCATCTATTGTCAGGTACTTGATTAGTTGCTGGTAACCAAAATGGGTCAGAGTTCAAGCGAGAGAGAGAGTGAGGAATACTACGTGTCAACCGATGAAGGTGTTCTCTATGGTTTTCCTATTAGCCCTTAAGAAATGCAATGATTATTCGCTAATTGAGTTTGCAGTGCAGAGTGTGTCTGTTTGTTGGTGTGAGTTTCTATTTGTGTGGGCGTTTGTTCTTTAAACATTTGTTTAATCTTTGCATTAATCAGCTCCACAGTTGCTTCCAATTTGTTTGGTTTATTTGTTTTTCTTTAGCAATACGCAGACTTTGATTCTTGTTGTGTTTGCTACAAAAGACGACCTTTGATTGGAAGACATACGATTTTATGTTTTTTGAATCTCAGGGTCAAGCCGCATATTTATCAAATACCTCAATTTCCTGTTTACATCGTAATTATTTTTCTTTAGTTATTCCACTTTGTTCGTTTTAATATATTTTGTTTAATAACTATTTCGCGTTTAACTAATTATGATATTTGTTAGTGCTAAATGTGAGTGGCCTTAAAATTGTTTTCGTTTTGTTAAAATGAAACACGTTTTAGCCTGGAATGAATGCCCCAATCGAAATGGAAAGCAAAGCGATTTTAACAGGAGTGGTAGAGAAAAATCTCTAGCGATTCGAAATCTCTTAAAAAAGTGTCTAAAGGTTCGATAGAGTCAATAGAATCAAAACTGAAACAAGTCATTGCATTCTTTTAGGCACGTTTTTAAAGTGATTTAAAATCGCCCCTGTACTTATTTTCAACTACACAATTTTAGAGCAATCCTAAAACATCATATAAGGGCAATTCACTCGTCAACCGTTGAGTGGTTTTACTAAATTCCTCAATGATTTTTCTGTGCTTTATCTAAGTTTTGTGACTACACAAGTTCGTTGTCTGCTGTAACTGTAATCGAGAAATGAATTGTACTGGAAATAAATTCTTTTCGCTTGCTGAATGATCGATCAATGATGGATCGGCGGTTGCCTCACAATATTTATTTATATATACAGGTATGTACTGCGTCAACTGTGTAGATGCATTGCTGTGTGTGTGTGTTTGTCTTGTGGTGGTTACTTTAGCTATATACATAGTTATTCGTATGTGGCCTAAATAGTTAGTACTTAGCTTCAATGTTAACTTCGAGCCCCGATCTGCTTGATCTATCCTTACGTGACTAGTTTAAGAGGCCTTTATTCCTCCGCATCGAATCGGCCTTCCATTTCCGTGGACACTCTTCGAAAATTGTTTGCACTTAACTATTTCGTATATCATTATACTCGTACTCGTATCACATATATATGATACATATATGTGTATATTTTCTATATGTTCTATTTGCATTTCCTTTTGTCTTATTTGTGGCAGTATTTAAATTACATGGTTTCTTCTCGATTACCTAAATTAGTTTCTTAATCTTTTTTTTGTATATCAAGCACACTAAACATTTAGCTAGAAACCTAAGAAAAACTTGAACAGAATCGATTCAAAAAGGCAATTCAAAATGTTTGACATTACTAGCATAATATACAGATCAACGTGATTTCTGCCGCTTTTCAATAGCTAAGTTAATTTAATTTATTCGTTAATTTGTATGAATCAATGTGAAAATGAACTGTACAACTATAAGTCCGAGCGATCGTGGGTTGGATCGACGGACCGACTGATTGAGTGATTGAATGAACGATTGTTTGCCTGTTTGTTTGTTCGGGCGGTGCGTGTGTTTGTGTTTGTGTGTGTGCAGGACAAAGGGTGCCCGGCACACTCACACGCCCACACACCCACACAGAGCCAAACCTATTTGTTTATAACCTAAAAACACAACCAATGAGAGCATATACACCTCTATGTATTTGACGTTAATTCGATTTTCCTTCTCGAGTGTCTTCATTTTTCTTCCTTGTGTTTTGCATTATTTGGTAAAACGAGTTATCATTTATTTCTCTATTTATTTAGTTTTTGCTTTAGCGTGTCGATTTCCCAAGTGAAACAATTTACAAAAATGGTTTTTTGTTGAAATGATTTTCATCTAGTTTTTATCTCTTGCAAACAGTTTTATATGTTTTTTTTGTTTCCCAAAGTGACATTAAGTTTCCATATGCATAATGTTTATAGGGGATTTACTCATTTAGTTTTTTTTATTCACAGAAAAGTTACGCCATTTACTTGTCATTAGTTCTTTGTTTTCATTTCGCTTTGCTGCTTTTTTATATATATTAATAGTTGATTGTCTAAAACTATAACAAAATGTTTGTTAAGCTGGAAGTTTTGTACAAAATAGTTTTAAATTAAGGAGCTTACTATAAAGTAGTTGATCTAACAATGCATTAAAACAAAATTTGATCAGCACATTTAAATTATTTGAAAAATTCTTATTAAATAATCATATTTAAAGCCTAAGCAAATTTTAATATAAATATATTGTAATATTTACAGGTCACACCAAAAATGGCTGATCTAGATTGAAGTTTATTTAGACCCCAACAAAACCAAGAACTGAAAGCTAACTGGATTCTTTTTATATAAAAAATATTATATTTTTTCCATTTGGTTATTGCGGGTTGCCTTCTCATTTAAATCATATGTAGTGTTCGGGCTTTTTATTGAATTTGCATTTTGTCCTTTCTGAACAATTTGTTGCTGTCAGTTTTTTGTGTATTTGCCTTGTGTCAGTGGTTTTTCCGTTTTTGCATTTAAAAAGGTGTCATGTGTTGTGTTCCATATTCTATGTATTTATTCGTATTTTGTTTTGTATATATATTTTATTTTTGTTTTCAGACTTTTTTTTATTATTTTATCTTTTCAAAACGGAAGTCGAGAATGTTGTCAAATAGTTTTCGCATTTTTTCCCATTTTTAAAGCAACTTTTTGTGTGTAATTTTTTTAGTTTAAATTTTATAAGCTCAGTTTAATACTTTCAATATATGATGCACAATTATATTTCGATGCTGCGTGTGTGTGTAATGTATGTACGGGTATTTGTGTGAATTTGGTTGCTGTTTTCATTGTTCATTTAATCGTTTAAATTTAAATGTGACATTAGTTTCATTCTAATTTTAGTCCACGCATTTTTATTTAATTACTTGATTTATGATATTTCGACGTGTATTTTATAGGCTTTATATTAATTTTAGTTTAATAGCTAGTTATTTAAAAAATGTTAACTGTTGATTTTTATGCACTTTACATTTTAATACACCTAAAATGGCATTTGCTATTTAGATTTTCCTGTTTAGTTTTCCTCATTTTTATCGCTATGGTGTGATTGTGTCAGTGTTTCTTGTTATGTGTATTAATGGAAAACAATTAAAATAAATAATTAAGTGGGTATTAAAAAGCAAGTTAATATAATTAAATTTCCTGGCAATTTTTACAGACATTTTTAGGCACTACACTTATAAAATGTATTAAATTTGCTATATCCTCTGCCTCTTTCTTTGCTGCACTTTCTCTTCGGCTTTTTCCGTGTGCTTAAACTGTGCCACAATCGTTGGCTTGGAAAACTATTTTAATTAATTCACACTCACAAATGTTGAATATTTTCGATTAGGAATTTTAATTAAACTTTTGCCGGTTCGCACGCACAATGTCTTTTCCAACGGCAGAATCAGCTACATTCAGGCTGCTGGCAACAATGAGCAACACCCAGGCCGCTTGACAACCCTGGCAGGGTGCTCAGGGTCGCCGTTGTCGTTTGTCGCGGCATTCTTTGCTAATAGTTTCTACAGATTTCACTTATGCTTGCCAAGTTCTTGTTGCCATACACTGGATACACATAGAGAAATTCGGTAACATGAAGGTGCCTTGTTATTAACAGATGCTTAACAGATGGCTTAATGTATACGGAGCATCTTCGAAATTTATTTAGAATTTTAAATGACTTTAAATAGAGCCTTAGACCGAATTTGGGAATGTTTCTTTAAATTGTAAATGATCTTTTTAAGATTTTAATTTTTTCTATGTAAGTTTGTATTTGTTTACTCTCAGCTCTTTATTAACTGCTCACACATACCCTTGTGCAGATAGAATGGTAAATTGCATTCCACACTTAATTTGTTGCATGCCTTGCGGTGCCGCCACGCCCTCTTTTGCCACCACCGGCCCATTTTTCGCACCACCTCCGTGAAAATCTGTCGGTGGCTTTTGCTTTTGCATTTGCTTAATGTTTACTGTTCTTGTGGCTCTAGCGGCAAAAACTTTTGCAAAATCAATTAAAAACGCAAAGGCAAAAATGGGAGGGCGAATGGGCGTGGCAGTCAACCTTGTGGCGAGTTTCGTTAGCTTTGGCATTTAAATTAAAGGTGTTTTCAGGGCGGCACCGAGGCTATTGGAATGGCCAGAAACCAGAAGCTAGGACTCGGACCACAGAACTCAGTTCCCAGAAGCCAGCACTCGGAACAGAGAACTCAGAACTCAGAACAGCACTCGCGTGGCCCGTTGAAAGTAATTAAAAAGTTTTATTTTAAATTGAACTTGCCAAAGGTTTCTGAACGTTTCGTATGCTCCGATGAATGCATAATGAGTGCAGGGAACTAAAAAACAGCGGGTTAAAAGAGTGAAGAATGGAGCTGCAAAATAAACATCTGGAGTTGGTGGGGATAACAATCAAAGTCCCGTGAATACGAGTTGCTGGGTGAATGAACGGAATTCTTATTATACGCAATAATATAATTGATTTAAATTGCTTCAAACTATACAAAGTGCTGGCCAAATAGCAATTGGCTTTAGTTATTGTAACTTGTTTTCCTCCGCGTTTGTCTGTTTGTGTGCGTGTTTTTAATTGAAATTGTTTTGTGTTACCGTTGTTATGTGATTCGACTAGCTGCAATCCTATAAATACGTATACGTACTCTATATATATATATAGTATGCTTGCACGATATAATATATTTACGTGTGTGTTGCCAGTGTGGTTAGTAAAAATGTGTGGCTTTAAAAATGTGACGACTCGCTTGTATCAACATTCAACTAAATTTATTTCAGAATTTCGCGCTTCCTACGAACCGATTTTTCGGAATTCGTGTTTTTTTTATGTAATATTAAATTTTATTCAATACTAGATTTGCTTAGCTACGACTAGTTACGACTTATTACCTAATTAAATATAGTTTATCGTATTAATTTTACTTATTTATGCTAAAAATAGATTGGAATTTTATGCATTTTAATTTTACCCATTTAGCGTGGGCGCGATTTTTCTGTGTTTGTTTTTGCTCTGCTAAAAATAATGTGAAAAATATGCACAAATAAATAAACAATTAAAATTGATTTTCTTTTCCATATGTATATTTTGGCACGCACACATTCACGCTGTCTCACACACAAGCATTCGCACTCATGCATTGAACACATGCAGTCAGATTTAAATTTAAAATGCAATTTTAAAACATTTTCATTTGTTTTTCTTGTTTTTGTTGTGTGTTGTGTGGAACTTTAAAACTAAAAGATGTAACAAGGAACTTTTTGGCGCTCAAAAATACAATGTAACTTACAAAACTCCATACTTTTTTTACAACACTGGCCCGAGGATCATTGGGATCCGTAAAACCACCTGAACTTCGACCCACACAATCATACATCGAGTACATCAAAAAACTTACAAACTAAGCTCCGCTTTGCTCCGATCTTGTGGCTTGCGTCGCTATCCAGCACTGTCACGGTTAATCAACACTACATTCCCCTCGCATTACATTACATACATATTTTGATCAACTGCTCCAAAAACTTGCCCTCCATTCGATTGTATCTCATTTCATTTCGCAATGTTCGCTTCACTCGCCTCGTGTTTCTTACGATGGGCTCCATGTGGCATCCGTTTCGTTGGCGCTCCCAACACCACTCACAATACCCTTCACAACACTGCCGATGACACTGCCACTGTCACTGGCGTTGCTGCTGTTAGTGTTGTACAGCGCCGAGGAAATACTCATGGTGTGGCTCATCGTATATTATCCACGATCATCGTCGCGAGCGGCGAACAGGGTCCGCAGCGAGCTGATGATCAGATTCCACCAGCCGGCCGCGAACCCAAGTGGTCGCTATAAGGTGTTATCGCTGCCCATCTTGAGCAGCTCGAACTTCTTCTTGGCAATCTTCGAGTAGAGTATGTCGATCGGCTGCGACTGGTCGTACAAGCTGGGCGCCTGCAGGATAATCAGCGCTGTGCCGACCACGCAAGCGATCGCGAAGATCCACAGAAACATACGATCCAATACCATGGCAACGTACTTCCAGTCCTCCTCCACCTGCAAGGTAAGCAGAGAAAGTCGAGATATGTTGGGGTTAATATCCGTAATATTAAATAAATAAATAAAATTATATAACACATTAGAGTTTTATTAACTAGAGGATCTGTATTTTCGAACTGGTCAAATATATAGTTATTTAAAAATAATATTATTAGTATTCATCTCAATTAAATGAATTTAAAGATATGTTAGGAAACACTTGAAAATTTGTAAAATATATTAGTTCCTTTAATATATATTTCCTCTCTCGCTTTTAACTGACCTTCATTAATCATTTTGCCATTCGAAAACTAATAAAATGGCTTTGGCAGATCTAAATCAGATTTGCGGTTCTGGCTTCGCCAGTTAAATTGAAATGTTCGAGAGTAAACATCGATTTCAGCTGGATGCCACCCACACACAGCCCTCACAACCAATTGCACACACCCAGCAATTCGCCGACAAATGGCAAACTGCTGCTGCAGCAACCGCATGTTGCAAACTCTTCGTATTTGCGCACAAACAACTCAATCACTCAACTCCAAACGGTGGCGACAGACCGATTGCACTTCACTTGGCACCACCAGGACCTCTAGGTCCATAACCAGGACCAGCACTAGCACCACCGTGATCCGAAACAGGATCCGCCAGCGCTATTCTCGTTTACGATTTTTGATTAGAGAGGACGCAGGCAACGTGATTTCACCGGCTCTGGTTAGTTTTTTGGTCTGGGATTTGGGTGGTTTTTACGAGCCGGATGTCGGATCCCTAATACGGGTTATCAAGAGCAGACATAAACACTGTGCCAGACATGCTGGCCAGGTCTGTTTGGGCCCGGTCTGCCTGTTCCAGCTGCGACTGCCAGACAATGATTGCCACTGATTGGACATAGACGGCGAATTCAGCCATTTTCGATTGCGGGTTGTGTGGTTGTTTCACAGCATGGAAAATTAATTACAGCATGGTCATTGCGATTTTTGATTTCCAATTTCAGAGGGCGAGAAAAATTCCATGTGATTTAATATAGAAATAACAGAAGGAGGGTATTTGTGTAATTCGTGTCACTAATCTATTTATTTAAATATTTCAAAAAATGTAATGCATTTTCTTAATTAAAAACTCAGTTAAAGAACTTGGCTTAAGTTCTTATTATGTATTTAATGGAAATATTTATATTACTTTTTAATCTGTAGATTAAATTAAAATGTATAGAAAAAAATGCAAACCCATTAACCCCTTCTTCAAAACAATTTGCATGCTTTAAATCACTAAAATTGCTCCTAAATTCTTAAATTGTATGCATATTATTGGGAAAACTAAAAGAATACAAATAAACTGTCATTTACAATTAGACTGGTCGAATTGTTTTGTATTGGTTTTTAATTTGACATATTAGGCAAGTTAAATTGAAATGTTTTGATCGAAAAAATAAATAAATAAAAATTAAAAGGACTTTTATTGATTTACTCGTAGTGGTAAATGTGAAACACTTTCATAATAAATTTGGTTTGGTTTGTGTGTATTTATTTCAACGTTTCTCTGACTACTTACACTTTCAAACTTATCCTTGTTCTTCACATGCTGTGCTATGAAGCGGGATCCCTCGATGGTCTTCTCCATTTCGCGGGCGTAGGGCTTCTCGAACGTGGGACTGAGATCGGCGGCGGCCGCGGCGGCAGCTGCAGCGGCGGGACAGCAGCCGGGACTGATGTCCCCGTTGAGGCCCGACGGGCTGAACAGATCGTCGTCGGCGCCCGGCAGTGGCAGTGAGGAGGGCAGCGGCGGTTCCGCGAAACAATGGGCGCTGATGCCACCCGCCGCGGCCAAATCGAAGCGATGCGAGGCGGGTAGTGCTGTAAAAATAGATGACAGTTTATATTAAACCAAATACAAATTTCTAGCAAGTATACTTAAATTAAAACTTTATTTATGATGCAAGCTATTATATTTAACTTAGCCTGTAAGCGTTGTGACTATAGTATAATCAGGGAACTACAAATCCTTGACCAACAATTACTATTCTTAGAAAACATTCTAAAGAAATATTCTTCACCTTCAATTGTATCTATATTTATGTAAATACATACAGAATTAAGACCCAATTTGAGGGGCCTCTTTTTTCCAAGTGCTTGCCAGCATTAACAGCATTAGGCAAATAAAGTTGTAAATGCAATTTGCAACTTTTCTGCTTTGTCTTCGGCGCAATTCTCCTTGGCACAATGTCCCCGAAGGAAGTGAGTGGACAAAGGGCCCTCAAGCTCGAGGGCGGCTCAACAGAAGCAGAACAGCAGGGCCGGGGATACAATAAGGAAACTCAATAAATAGTTTTCTGCATTCTGTTTTCCATTTATTTCGCTGGGCCATTTCAAAGTTTTAGCTCTTTTCTTTTAGAATTTCCCTTTCTGTTCTGCGCGCCTTGAAAGCCACTCGAAAGGAGAAATTATTAGATTCGGGTAGCGTAAGCTCAAAACATTTGGTCACAGGGTCGTATACGTAATATTACGTATACGTAAGGCACAGGGTGCACTTGATTGAAATTTGAGCGTGCACAAAACTAATCCGTTTCACGAAGAGAAACTATTTCTTGGGCCTTGTAACTTTTGACGTGATTTTAATGAGTCATCTAAATGCTGTAGGCTGGCGGTGACAAAATATTATGAAACGTATTTTCTAGAACTTATAAAGCACAGAGGAAACTTTCCCTTTTGACCGGCATCCTTGCAGTTGCACTTGTTAATTGTCATAAATTATTTCGCCCGCCCTCCGAACACAGCATCATTATAAAGTGGTGTGTCTGAATGCATATAATTTCCATGTTGTTGTGCATATTTAAAATGGAATATAAACTGGCAAGTTGCAAGTTTCCCGTTGCTCGCTGCATGCTCCGTTGGTAATGTGCCCACTAAAGCCAGTTGCAAACATTCATAAATTTCCCAGCCCAAGAAGCAAAGTTCTACACAAAAAGTTTGCCAGAAGCGGAGCGGGAAAATGGGGGGAAACTTTTGCCTCTTTTCTATAGAATTCTCTTCAATGAATCCCGGTGGAAGGTGAAACTATGGTCTGGGCTCTGTCCCTCCTACCTGGAATGCCGTAGTCGCCGCTGAAACGCTTCGAATCGTAGTTGACAAACTTGTCCACATCCGGCGGCAGGTGATAGACATCGGTGAGCACCTCGGGCGGCTGATCCTCCTCGGGCTCCTCCTTCTTGGGCCGCTCGATGCAGAGCAGCTTGGGCAGGATCTGGATGAAGAGGCGTTGCACCCACGGCGCCATGCGATGCGTGACAGGAGATCTGGAAGCCATTTACGAGATTAAAGTTAGAAACGAGCTTAATTTAGTTTGGTCAATGACTTCCAACTCATGTTGTAGTCAGCTAACAAAAATATAGAATGGAAGTGAAATCATCTATGGTTTTGAAATCATTTATAAAAGTGCAATAAAAGAGGAACTTTGTCTTTTAATATGAATCCAAAGCACTTCTGGACTTGTTTGTATACTTTCGTACACCTTTTTAATTAGTTTTAACATCAAATTTCGATTCCAGGAGTGACTCAACCCACCTGAAATTCACATTGAGCACGGCGATGGTGACCACGACGGAGAGCGTGACCAGCATCATGGTGAAGAGCAGATACTTTCCGAGCAGCGGCACCGTGAGCGACGTGGGCGGAATGATCTCGGCCAGCAGGAGGAAGAACACGGTGAGCGACAGCAGGATGCTGATACAGAGCGAGATCTTCTCCCCGGAGTCGCTGGGCAGGTAGAAGACGAGCACCGACAGGAACGAGATGCCCACGCAGGGGATGATCAGGTTGACCGTGTAGAAGAGCGTCTTCCGGCGGAGCGTCAGGTTGAACACGATGTCCAGGTAGGGCTCCTCGCAGCAGCTGTAGAACTTCTCGTTTCGCACCGCCGGCACTCGCATGATGTCCCACTCCACGGAGATGTAGTAGTCCTGCAGGTCGATGCCCACCTCAATGTTGTCCGAGTCGGCGGTCTGCTTCAAGTGTCGCAAGTCAACCTGAAAATGTTTAAAATTGAGATTAGGTATTGTAAAATATAACATTTTATATCTAAGCTATGTATTTACTGGCTTCTAACCAAGTTATATTTTTGGTATATATGTGATGTTCTTATTGAAGTTGGAACTTAATTTTTATATGACTTATAAATTAATTAAAATAATTATAAACCTCTTCGATATTATATCATTATCATAAAAGATCATAAAGAATGCCATATTTTTTTAAAATTAATATTCGATTCGATTCAATAACTTTTATTTGATTACATTGCTCTAAGAGTGAGATAATCAATATGAAAGGCCAGCTGCTGCTTGCTTTAAACTTGCTGATTTATGCTCGGCAACTTTGGCAACTGCTGCACCTGTTCGCGTCGACACGAACCCAAGCCAATCATACATCTATTTACGTTGATTTGTTGGCCCATTTTCCCAGGCTCCCTTTGCTAAATTTGCCCCAAGTGTCGCTCACGGCTTCCCTTTGCCGGTTGGAAAAATCAAAGGTGATGGAAAAACGTACTTTCTGACAAATTTTTGACAATCGTCAATTGAACAGAGAATCGTTTGTTGCGGAGGTGAGGGTGAAAGGTTCCTATTCCTGTTCCGGATCCTAACTCAGCGACAGATGGCAGGAATCGAGATAAGTTTGGCTCACGTGCGTCCCGAAACGCAAATGGCATTTACGCTTGTAACCTTTATTTCATTTCCATTTGGCTTGATTTGTCATTTGTTGTCTGTTGCTCATTTATTAGTGGTTGGTTTTGTTTAGAAAAACGTACTTTGTTTCTATAGTAATAAATGAGTTTTATTCTTAAACCAGCTAGACTAAGATGCAATCATATGCTTAATCTAATTATTAGTCTTCTATCTGTCACTTTCCCATGGGTTACATCAAAAAGTTTGTCTTACCAGCTGCCAATTTCTAACCATTCATCCATCCATCTATAAATTTATATTTCTGATTTCCAAATCCTGCTTTGTTTCTTACTGGTCAAACTTTAAGGATACATAAACCTCTCAACCAGTTGAGACAGTCGTCATTAATACCTCGTCCTATATTTGCGCTGACACTGTAAAAGGCCAAAAAGCCGATCCACAAATTTCACAACCCATACGAGTTGTAAGGAAGTCGAAAGTCAATGAAGCATGCTCGAAATTTGTGATGCGTAAAAGGGAGGAAAACGAAAATTTATATGTAGAATAATGTGCTGTCATTTTTCGATTTTGCCCCCGCATCCGATTTCCCTTTTTTTTGATGTCGGCTATAATGAACACAATAACAACAGGAAAATGCCGACATATAGTAGAGCAACAGTTGTGTTGCCGTCGAAATATTTTCCCCATACACTTGAAAGAAGTATGATTGCAAAGTTGGTTATGTATATAAGAATGATATAGAAATAAATTTATTAATATTTATTGTATTACTTTATTCTTTAGGAATCTTAAAATTATAAATGTTTTGTAGATAAATGAAAGCTAAATATTTTATTTAGCTAAAAATATATAAATGCTTTTTAAATATTTTAACTCCATTTATTATTATTTAAGTTTTTATTATTTCATAATCGTTTTATAGCTTTCTTCTGGAGTTCAAATGGTTTTTATAACCTATTTGAGTAGGTATTGTTTTCCATTATTTTCTTTTCTCTACATATTTAACAATGCCATGGCAAAAAGTTTTCCAAAAGGCGTGGGCGTGGCTGGTTCATTAAACGCAGCTGGCAGCTGTTATCTCACACACACAAGCGCACACGCATGTGCATGGGAAATGGGGACTTTACTTGATTTATCACATGACAGCAAGTGAAACGTGTCAAGTGTACAAAAAATAGAGTAAACAGAAACGACAGAATTCGAATGGAAAAAACGCACACATATTTAACCATGAAAATCCACCCAAGTGAATTATAAAAAACGCTCAATTTCATTATTTTAACATGCTTAAATAGTCGTTTAACGGCGGTGTTCTCCTGCCTCGAATGTTTTTTTTTAAATTAATGTTTTTTTAATCGAGTCAAAGCAACGTTTGATTAGCACTCAGTCAGACAGAATCAAAACCGAAGCCTAAGCCTCGCTCTGGGTTTTATTTTGCTTCGATTTTGATTGATGGGCTGGGGCCTAATCTGTTCGTGGCCAGAGTTGCCAGCTGTTGCCGGGCCTCTCCTTATCCTCTTATCCTCTTAGAGGGTGAATTGTGGGTCGCCCATCCCTAAATCCCATACTCACCATGTAACCGTCGTAGGTCCAGGAGCCGAACTTCATGAAGCATGTCTGCTCATCGAAGGGAAAGTATTCGACATCAATTTCGCAAAAGGATTTGTAAATGGCGGGCGGCTTCCACACCACTTTGCCCGTGTGATGAAGAATTGCTTTTGTCATTATTGTCACTTCATAGTTGCCATCGGCGCTGAAAAGGGAGAAAAAGAAGATGGAAGAACATATTACATTAAAACGATGTGATTATGGTGTAAAAAATCAATATCATTCATGATTGCTATTTTACGGAGCATAACATTTATCAAACATTGTTAAATTGATATTTTAGGGATATCAGAAAAGCGACCTTTATATCTATTAAACATTTTGTAACTGTATTTATTATTCAGGAAAATTGTTAGGATAAGGCTGGAATAATCAAATTAATGTTAATATTTATTTAAGCTTATCGTAATGTTAAAGTTTGGAAATTCTACATGGGAAAATTCACAAAACTATGTTCGCATTAGCCTTTTACATTTACTGCGATTCGCATTGAAGCCCTTAGCCCTGCGAATGGATTCACTGGCCAGGATCGACTAAAACTGCTGAACTAATTAAAAATACATTTTAGCTTCTAATTACGAATTCATTTTAGACTGGAAAAAGTGCGGCAAATGCCGGTTTGGCAACCGATTCCTCAGGGAGGGGCCACGCCTCCGTATCTGGCATATAGCATCGGCGGCTGTGGACGATGGTCCATTAGCAGCAAGGTCCTTTCCTGACTCCTCTGGCTATAGCCACTGGCCAGAGACGTACACTAAATCTAAATCCAAAAGCAAAGCATTTTAAAATGTTATTACAAAAACAGCAGTGGCAGCAGCATCGGGAGCAGCAGCAGCAACAAAATCAACGAGCGGGCAACCATTAATGGCTAAAAACCATTTAAAATGGCTGTCGGCAGTGCACACTCACACACACACACACACAGGCTCAGGGGAGCGAGATGTGGATAAAAAGTGGGTGGAGGGAGGAGGGGGGGAGTGAGAACAGGAGTCTGGGGCGACAGAGAAAGAAAATCAACAAAGAGAACAAAAGTTTATAACCGAAACCGAAAAAAAGCCAAAACCACGCCTGGGGGTCACCGCAATTGCAGCCATTATCTTAACGGTGATTCACACACAGAGCGAGAGACAAGCACACACACACATATACAGATAATATATATATATATATATATATAGAAGAGGGAAGTCGGACAATGCGGCGTATGAGTGTCATCGTTGTGGTCCTGGCAGTTATCCTGGCCAAGCCGACGGCGCCTGCCGCGTCTATCAGCGCGTTAATCTCAGCGTCGCACAGCGAGCGCCATCTTTGTATCTCTGGTCCCTGGGCCCAGTCAAAGTTTGCAGGCCAGAAATCGAAGCGGTTCACAGTGGGCCACATATCGATGGTAGTCCGTATGGCAAAATTACACGTAAGTTACCAATTAAACGAAGGGAAACTATGTTAGTAAAAGATAATGCATTTTCTTTGTAAATAAATCCATGAAAATTATATATTCTATTTAATAAATTATAAAACCATAAAAACTATGTTGTTCATATGTATGTTAGCTTGAAAAAAGGATAAATCCAAATCAAATTTAAATCTTGGACAAGCAATGCAGATTAATTATTGTATCTTCTTTAAGTATTATGTGAAAAATATATGTATTTTTAATTCGGCTTTTCAGCCTATGATTAATTTTATTTACTAGTGTGTAGTCATACTAGTTTCCGGTAATAAATCAGCAAATTTGCTTTGCTTAGAACTGATTGATTTAGTATATGAAGTTTTAGGATATCCACTTTACGTACATAAGTAAATAGAGTAAATTATTGATGACAGTTGGCTCCACTGTACCGAAACAGAATCAAGGGAGTCGGCAACCCGCTGCCGGGCAGAAAAACTTTTTGCTGACTTTGTTGCCGCTGCTCCCGATTCCCTGTCCCTGCCCCAGTCCCCATTTTCACCCTCACGCCCCCATCGCCTTTGTCTTCCTTGTACTCAGCCCTTCCCCTCGCCCCTCTCGTATTTCTCCACGCCATTTTTATTTTTATAAATCTAATGAAAGATAATGAAATTTTATTTCGTTTCTTTTGATTTCAACGCAGTTGTCGTCAGCTTTCATGCTAAAAACTAAAAGCCAACAGCAGTTGAAAAAGAATCATAGATAGGGTGTGGTAGGGGGAGGGGGAAATGGCAGGATGTGGGTGGGAGTGGGAGTGGTGGGGAAGTGGGAGAGGAGCAGCCAGACGCCCATCTAGCAACATACAATAATAGAATTAAAGTGGCTGCGGCTCCTGTTCCTGATTCCACTGTGGGTGTGGCCGTTGGTCGAAGTCCGGGCCTCGCAAAAGTTCAGCTGATAATAAAGTTGTCAACAACATTCATTTAATTAAAGAAAACAAAGCCAAAGCAGAGCACTTTGGGAATAGTACGCCGAGTGCGCGGAGGAAGGGCCAAATGTGGCCAACAGTCGGGCCGAGGGGTCTAATGCCTGGGCAGAGATTTATGGCATTCTGCTAATATGGCATCTCAAAATGGTAATGCGTTTTGCCCACAATTGAGTGGGTGTGTGGGTGAGTGTGTGTGCGGTCCTAGTAGGATTATTTTTCCTGCCAAATAGGGCATATGGGTGCGACATTAAATCTGTTTTAAATGCGATGCCCAGTCCTTTTTCAGCAAAGAAAATTAAATTTAATTTGGTCATTTAATCCTCACGGTAAAAACATAATATTACTTGCGAATCAGCCTAACTTAAAACCATGATGTTATAGGAAGCGGTTGTTAGTTAAAAATCTGTTGATAAAGTATCTAAAAATATTTGATAAAATAAATACAAACATTTTGACTTAATAATGAATATGCAGTGAATTAAAACAAAGAAATATATGTTAATTGTAATTAAAAGTCTCTCCAAGCTGAAATCGCTTAATTTTCCTCCTCATGTAGACAAACGGTAATTATTCGATAGGCCCCAAATAAACTCATATGCGGAATGTGAGGGACGCCGGCTAACCATAGTCGCATAAACCACTAAATGCGGCCAGAGTAAGCTTGATTATGGGGCCAAACCTGAAACTGGGGTCTTGAGTCAGTCGAGTGCGATTTTAATTTCTTGGATCAACATGAAAATTAATTGCTGGAATTAAGCGGATTTCACAAATACAAACAGTGGGCCAATTTAGGCCAAGGGAGGCAGTGGTGGATGGCAGACAGCCTATTTAAGCGGCTCCAAGAGGATTCGGTAGTTGTTTGGCAGTCACGTCTGCCGCTTGTATGCGCATCTGATGAGCTCACATACGGGTAGATAATTATGCCAGCTCCCAGGAGACTAGTTGTGCCCCGTTCTAGTTGAGTGCAAAACAAATGCAAGGGATAATTGCAATTAAAAATTAACAAAATGTTGCCAAAATGGTTCCAATCCGCGGTGGATGGGACTGAAAACAAGACCAAATGCCAGGCCGCGAGCAATAAATAAAAACCGAATTCTTTTGCGGCCCAGAATGTTGGCCCTGAATGTGCGTCCGAGTGCGGCACGCACGCAGGTATTTGTAATGGTGGGCCGCCACAAATTCGGACCATTTACAAAGCCTGGCCAACTATTTATTTTGCTGCCATTGCGCGTTTAGCAGACAATTAAACATTTTTCATTGCATACAAATGGGCGCGCGAAGGGGATTCCCATTTCCCCCGTCCTGCCCGTTTGTGCAGCACAAAAAGTTGCATCGTAAAATAGATTGCCATCGTCCTTGTTGCGAATGTGTATGAGTGTGACAATAAACGCGCTTTCCTCCCCCCGTTGCACATGTATTTGCATTTAAAATTACAGCCAACGAGTGTGGAACATACGCAGAGCTGCGTCTCTTTTTCAACACTGCAATTCTTGCTGCTTAATTTCAGCATAAATTTTCAACCTTGCTTGTTTGCTCCGAGGCTCTGAGTGTAAACGAATCAAACCGAGAGCCCAACGGGCAGGATATTGATATTGACGTTGGACTTACGTTTATTATCCTTGCGGCAACATTAAAAGCCGACAAGATAAATATTCGACTATCATTCATTTAATTTTTACGAATTTGTCTCAGATTCCTGCCGAGATTCTAAGGCTGGAATGCCATAAAATGAGCCGTAAGCCATCACCTCAACTTGCCACTAAATTAAATGGACTTTGGCCAGGCCATTTCGATTGGCATTTGGAGAAAGAAAAACACGAGGCACAATTAAGGGAGACGACACAAAGGACACTTCAAGTTCAATTTTATGCGGCAACAAAGCGAGGCACGGCTTCATTATGGTGCGTACAAATTATTTGCAGTTTAAAAAACGTCTCAACGACCAAAGCCGGCGATATAACACCCATGGCGTTCAAATAACACTCGCTCCCAGTTTCTATAGTTACAATGCTTTTGTCGTTGGTTGGCAAATGAAATTTAAGCTTTTTCCAAGCAATAAATTACGACTTTTTATGACACTGCCAGCGAAACAGCACGAAAGTATGCTATGCGTATAGTTGCCTCTGCCAAGTCGGTGGTATAAAAAAAGTACGACCACCCCGCCCCTGCCCCACCCATCGACACACATAAAGGGCCCATAAAGCGCGTAAGCCGATCTGCCGCAGCAACAACATCCACGGCACTCAAAGCCAAGATATCCTGACCGATGTCCTGGGCTGCCAGCTTGGCAAATCGACAAAGTCAAGTGTCTAGGCAACCAAACTGAAGGCGGACAGTGGGCAGGATATGTTGAAAAGGATTGCGAAATAATATAAAGGAATACAAAATAAAGGAATCACGCATATTATTTCCTTTTTCTATTTAAATTATATATTGACATAGAATCTGCAAGGACTTTAAAAATTTTAAAAAATTAGACCTGCCAAAGCTAGCCTCCTTTCTAGTTTAGTTTGTTATTAAATATAAAATAAATAAATTTTAGTTACAGACTAGATATTTTTGTTCTACATATTTGCTCTACAAATTTTCTTTCACAATTGCTTTTAAAAAACTAGGATACAGTCGTTCCTTTACCAACTTCTTTAGCCCGCTAAGTTATCTTTTATTTCTTTTATATGTTTCAATTAGTTAAGTTAATTGTGGGTCCTTGAATTTTATTTTAATTTCTCGACTTATTCCACAGTTTCCGTATCATTTCGATCCCTGTCCTCTAATTGGCTCCACTCCAGCAAATTGTAATAATTATACCAAGCCAAGGAAAACGTTCATTTTGAGGGCTGTGGACTCCTCGGAACTGAAGACTGGGAGCCAAAAGCCCCACCCCAGGACACTTAGCCAGCCTCCAAGGGAAACCCGAAAGGCAACCGCAACGCTCAAGTTACATTGAAATAAAAATACGTTAATCATCGCCTGATAAATGGCCGAATGGAGGAACGGTTTGGCTTTGATTTATACCGCCGTCCATTCGGGGCAATTATGCAAATGGCACAGTGGCTCCAGGGCGGGACTGCGAAAGATCCTGGGAAGCTGCCTGCAGGCAAATCTCTAATCGATAAGCTGGGCGAAAATTAGTTTGGCACTTACTTGTTATAGAGCACAATATCCGGCAGCCATATATGCTCGGAGGGTACGTGCAACGTGTCCACGCCTCCATAGTCATCCGGATTCCATTTCAATTTATAGTCATTCCATTCCTGAAATTGCAAAATGCACATTGTAAAATGGTGCAAAACAGAAGCTATAACTATGCAAATGACAATTATTTATGCTTGATTGCCATGAATAATAGAAAAACTAAACGTATGGGGTAAAAAATTAGAAAATTTCCGCACATTCAACGGGGGTACTCATTGTACGGTATTTATAAATATTTAATTCTGCGGTTCGGGGCGTTTAACTCATGTATTGCTGCAATTTCAATTCCATTAATTATGCATTAATTCGATGGTCGCTAAGCTGTTGGCATTAAATTACATTTTCATAATACAATTGTATTTCACTGTTTGGGTTCATGTTTAAGGACTGAGTGCTATTTGACTGCTGTGCATATAAGCAAGGTATTTATTTTGAATAATATTAAAAGATTAAAATAATTGAAAGTTGAAAAAAAAACATTGCCAAATATAACCAACTTTTGTCTTTTTTAATAATCGAAAAGTCAATATACTTTTATTTGGTGATAAACTATAATAAGTATTCATTAGTCGGGACTCTTTTAGCTTTACTCGCACTTGTATTTTTATTGCTTTTACGCATAACTGTAATTATGTTGATTGCCGCTTTCCATATATATATTTATACGGCCTCGCCAAGTGGGAGCCATCACACTGGGGATTAAACGAGTTTATATTGGGTTGAGGTTTAATGGTGGCAGACAGAGCTGGCTCGCTTTCGTGCTGACCAAGCATGAAATTCCCGATAATTGCAAATATAATTGCAGACTGGGATCCACAACCGATTTAATATTGATACGACTTACACACGACATCTCGTTTCAATTGTGATTACACGAATTTCAGCGATTATATAAAAGAGTCTCTAGAATAATAAAAACTACTTTATTGTCTCTGCCAAGAACTTGCTTCAAAATATCTTAAAAATTCAATGAAAGTTGCCTATCTATTTTTGGCTGAATTTTCAACTTAATGTATTAAAATATATAGATCATTAAATTGCGGTATATAGTATCTACTAGTGCATTTGCCAAATTCGTTGGCCAAATACACTAAAGCATTTATGGGTAAACGTGCGCAAGCGTTTGCGGCTTTATTGACAGACTGCCATCTATTTATGAATGGGCGTGGCACACCACAAAACCAAATTCGAAAGCAAACACAGGCACGATTGCAGTTCAAGCTATTGGGGACTTGATTTTGGAATGCGTTTAATCTGAAATTTTTTCATCACATTAATGGAATTTATGTGAATGGCGATATTGTGAAAAATATGACACAAAAAGGAGATTAATAATAAATGAAATATTTTTTTACAACATTTCAACATTTTTAACCCATAACTTTTGGAGTTTCTAAGAGAAATAAGAAAAAATAAATTTAAACATAACTTACTATCTTCAAATTTAAAAGACCCTCTTTCAAAATAATTAAATAAATTTTAGGCGTGCATGCATTCCAAACTATATTTGGAAACCCAAAATGCCATGCATCCCCTCATAATGAGGCCTGAAATGTACATTTGCATTTGGCTAAAACAAATAAAGAGGCACACAATCGCTAAATTGCTCGGCAAATGCATAATTTATATAACATTTTGGATTCCGCTTTTGTTATTGTTTTCGGTTTTAGTGAATTGTCAAACCAAATACTTTGGATAAGCTGCTCCCACTATTGACTGCAATTTGTGTGCGATGAATTTGCTGTGCATGTATTATGCAAAACCGGAAAACTTTAAAGTCCGCTTTGTTTCCTCAACGCGTGAGTGTTTAAAAGCAGCTGGGATAAAAGTCGGATTTCGGACCAATTGATATTCCTCTTTTGTTTTTTTTCTTTTTTGGTTTTTTGCCCAACTTTTGCTCGCCGCATTAGTGCAAAGCCAATGGACATGTAGAGTGGCAAGCGGACAGAAATTGGAAGTGGAAGTGGGAATGGTCCTGGGATCTTGGTGGTTCTGGGAAATGGAGCCAGGCCACTTGGCCAACTTAGAAGTTTGGCATAATGCGAGCGCGTCGAAATTGGCTGGCACAAATTATTTTGCATTCGACTTCAGCGAGGCATGCAAATGGCAAATTCATGTTGCTGGAAAGCCAAATCACAGTTGAGCAAACCATACAGAATTACGCAAAAATATATGAATATGAGTTTGTCCGCAGTTGGTTTTTATTTCATCTTTAGATTTTACGACTAACTTACCTGCTCCACCCAGACATTTGTTGTCATAATTTGATTCTTCAGATTCTGCAAATAAACGAGATAAAGCGTAAAGATTTGTTAGACTCGAATCTTAACAAGAGTTTCACTAATTTAACGATGACAGTTGTCGCGGCTGCCGAATTGAAGGGGAAGTGGATTTTCTGACAGCTTGGCCATTGAGTGGCAGAGACCATCAAATAGAAACCGTTGCGCTGAGAAAATGTTGCTTTAGTGAACTGAACTTGTGCTCCCTCTGCAGAAGCTCCACTTCCACTTCTGATGCAGCTCTTGTCGCCTAACAAATCTATTTTAAAGTGCTTCAAAAAGAGGAAGTCGAGGGGTAAAATAAACTGGGGCGAGTGGAATCGCATCCCAGACGTTCAGAAGCTGATGTTAGCTGCCTTCTACTATATCCATTGAGTTTAATTCAATTTATCGGGTGCAGACTACCATTTCCCTCCCTTTTGGTATTATAGACAATTAGGTTTAAAAGTAGGTAAATGTGGTCTGATGCTTAAATAACTATTGCGGTGGGACGCGAAACAAAAAAAAACATCAAACTATTGGGGGGCAACTACTGGAGGAATTTTAAAATCTTTGTGTTTTTTTGTCTTTAAAAAGTTATTTTCCAAAACTTTATTTCTATTCAAAAATTTCATACTTTCAATTGATTGTGGTTTATTTCTGGTTTGTATTTTTGGGCCGATTTTTCATCATTTTAATGATGTTACCCCTTTCCAAATTTTCGAAAAATGGCTTTGCAGGAATGTGGCCCAAAACCTGCACTTCTCAATCCATAACTTTTCTTACAGACATTCAATTTCAAAGTGGCATACCTCTAAATGATTGTGGTTTAATTCCCTAAAGATCTGTGTTTTCAACTTCGTTTGTATTTTTGGGTCGATTTTTCATCATTTTTAAAGTGTTACCCCTTTCCAAATTTTCGAAAAATGGCTTTGCAGAAAAGTGGCCTAAAACCTGCACGTCCAAGCCCATAACTTTTCTTACAGACATCCGATTTAAAAGTGGCATACCTCTAAATGATTGTGGTTTAATTCCCTAGGAATCTGTGTTTTTAACTTGGTTTGTATTTTTGGGTCGATTTTTCATCATTTTTATAGTGTTATCCCTTTCCAAATTTTCAAAAACAGACTTTGCAGAAAAGTGGCCTAAAACCTGCACGTCGAAGCCCATAACTTTTCTTACAGACATCCGATTTCAAAGTGGCATACCTCTAAATGATTGTGGTTTAATTCCCTAAAAATCTGTGTTTTTAACTTGGTTTGTATTTTTGGGTCCATTTTTCATCATTTTTATGATGTTTACCCTTTTCGAAATTTTCGAAAAATGGCTTTGCAGAAAAGTGGCCTAAAACCTGCACGTCCGAGCCCATAACTTTTCTTACAGACATTCGATTTCAAATTGGCATACCTCTAAATGATTGTGGCTCGATTTTAGAAAAATCTGCATTTAAAACTTGATTTGTATTTTGGGGCCGATTTTTCGTTATTTTTATGATTGTACTTTTAAGCTCATAACTTTTTTTACAGAAATCCTTTCTGTTTCTTCGGTCAAAACAAAGAAAATGATTTAGGTTAATGCAACAATGCAAGCCCTAACAAGAAAGGAAAGCTAACTTCGGGCGGAGCCGAAGTTGATATACCCTTGCAGAATACTCTGTAAATTATATTCTCCAAAATTATTCATATGATGCATTCTTAATACTCATAAAAAATCCCAACTTCCTAACTTAACAAACACCAAAGTTATGGCATTTCCGATCAATCAGTTATATGGCGGCTATAGGATATAGTCGGCCGATCCTTATGAAATTTGGTAGGTCGGATTTATTGGCCAAATATAAAACCCATAGAAAATCCCAACTTCCTAACTTAACAAACACCAAAGTTATGGCATTTCCGATCAATCAGTTATATGGCAGCTATAGGATATAGTCGGCCGATCCTTATGAAATTTGGTAGGTCGGATTTATTGGCCAAATGTAAAACCCATAGAAAATTCCAACTTCCTAACTTTACAAACACCAAAGTTATGGCATTTCCGATCAATCAGTTATATGGCAGCTATAGGATATAGTCGGCCGATCCCGGCCGTTCCGACATATATACTGCGTGCAAAGGAAATAAGGGTGTGTGCAAAGTTTGAACTCGATAGCTTTAAAACTGAGAGACTAGTTTGCGTAGAAACAGACAGACGGACAGACGGACAGACGGACAGACGGACATGGCTATATCAACTCAGGAGGTGATCCTGATCAAGAATATATATACTTTATAGGGTCGGAGATGTCTCCTTCACTGCGTTGCACACTTTTGACCAAAATTATAATACCCTCTGCAAGGGTATAAAAATCAGTACCATGGCCAAAACAATACAAAAAATGTTCTAAATGATTTCCCATCGATTTGATACCAAATCGTGCTGACCAGTGCTGTGTAATTATAATTAGATAATGGCGATAATTATCACAGGGGTGAATTCCATATTTATATCCTGTTCATCTCTGGGGATCTCTGGAGAAGCTACTGCCTCGCTTTTCATATTTACTTGCGCGCCAAGCCAAGCTCATTAAATGCGAGGAAGCTCAATAAAAACAAGAAAGGAAAGCTAACTTCGGGCGGAGCCGAAGTTGATATACCCTTGCAGAATACTCTGTAAATTATATTCTCCAAAATTATTCATATGATGCATTCTTAATACTCATAAAAAATCCCAACTTCCTAACTTAACAAACACCAAAGTTATGGCATTTCCGATCAATCAGTTATATGGCGGCTATAGGATATAGTCGGCCGATCCTTATGAAATTTGGTAGGTCGGATTTATTGGCCAAATATAAAACCCATAGAAAATCCCAACTTCCTAACTTAACAAACACCAAAGTTATGGCATTTCCGATCAATCAGTTATATGGCAGCTATAGGATATAGTCGGCCGATCCTTATGAAATTTGGTAGGTCGGATTTATTGGCCAAATGTAAAACCCATAGAAAATTCCAACTTCCTAACTTTACAAACACCAAAGTTATGGCATTTCCGATCAATCAGTTATATGGCAGCTATAGGATATAGTCGGCCGATCCCGGCCGTTCCGACATATATACTGCGTGCAAAGGAAATAAGGGTGTGTGCAAAGTTTGAACTCGATAGCTTTAAAACTGAGAGACTAGTTTGCGTAGAAACAGACAGACGGACAGACGGACAGACGGACATGGCTATATCAACTCAGGAGGTGATCCTGATCAAGAATATATATACTTTATAGGGTCGGAGATGTCTCCTTCACTGCGTTGCACACTTTTGACCAAAATTATAATACCCTCTGCAAGGGTATAAAAATCAGTACCATGGCCAAAACAATACAAAAAATGTTCTAAATGATTTCCCATCGATTTGATACCAAATCGTGCTGACCAGTGCTGTGTAATTATAATTAGATAATGGCGATAATTATCACAGGGGTGAATTCCATATTTATATCCTGTTCATCTCTGGGGATCTCTGGAGAAGCTACTGCCTCGCTTTTCATATTTACTTGCGCGCCAAGCCAAGCTCATTAAATGCGAGGAAGCTCAATAAAAACAAGAAAGGAAAGCTAACTTCGGGCGGAGCCGAAGTTGATATACCCTTGCAGAATACTCTGTAAATTATATTCTCCAAAATTATTCATATAATGCATTCTTAATACTCATAAAAAATCCCAACTTCCTAACTTTACAAACACGAAAGTTATGGCATTTCCGATCAATCAGTTATATGGCAGCTATAGGATATAGTCGGCCGATCCTTATGAAATTTGGTAGGTCGGATTGATTGGCCAAATATAAAACCCATAGAAAATCCCAACTTCCTAACTTTACAAACACGAAAGTTATGGCATTTCCGATCAATCAGTTATATGGCAGCTATAGGATATAGTCGGCCGATCCTTATGAAATTTGGTGAGTCGGATTGATTGGCCAAATATAAGACCCATAGAAAATCTCAACTTCCTAACTTTACAAACACGAAAGTTATGGCATTTCCGATCAATCAGTTATATGGCAGCTATAGGATATAGTCGGCCGATCCTTATGAAATTTGGTGAGTCGGATTGATTGGCCAAATATAAGACCCATAGAAAATCCCAACTTCCTAACTTTACAAACACGAAAGTTATGGCATTTCCGATTAATCAGTTATATGGCAGCTATAGGATATAGTCGGCCGATCCTTATGAAATTTGGTGAGTCGGATTGATTGGCCAAATATAAGACCCATAGAAAATCTCAACTTCCTAACTTTACAAACACGAAAGTTATGGCATTTCCGATCAATCAGTTATATGGCAGCTATAGGATATAGTCGGCCGATCCCGGCCGTTCCGACTTATATACTGCGTGCAAAGGAAAGAAGGGTGTGTGCAAAGTTTCAATTCGATAGCTTTAAAACTGAGAGACTAGTTTGCGTAGAAACAGACAGACGGACAGACGGACAGACGGACAGACGGACAGACGGACATGGCTATATCAACTCAGGAGGTGATCCTGATCAAGAATATATATACTTTATAGGGTCGGAGACGTCTCCTTCACTGCGTTGCACACTTTTGACCAAAATTATAATACCCTCTGCAAGGGTATAAAAATTAGAAAACGATAAAATTGCGGAATAAATCACTTAAGCGTTGAAAAATGTAATTAACGACAGAATGATAATGATGCGGCGCAACGCGTTTTTCACATTTCATCCCACCTCAGTGTTAGGAGCTGGAAACTGAGAGGGGTGGAAACCTCGGGGACCACGGCAATATGTTGAGGCACGCAGTGTTAATAGATTTAGCCAGCGAGACTTAAACTCCCTACTCCTTGCTTCTGGCTCCTGGTTCCCTCCCCCAGTAATCACCCGCTCAGAGGGCTCTTAGCCCTTCTGCGGACCAGGCCCGTGGAAAGGTCATTAGGCGAGGGCGACGCGGAAAACCGGCAATAAAACGACAAAGCCAAGAACCAGGCACAATGACAACGAAGGCGATGAGTACGGCATAAGGAAGAGATAAAATGTGCGGCATCACAGGAGCGGGAAAGCCGAAGGATACGGCGACGTAGGGGAGCTGAGCCGGCATCCTTTATGCTTTATGTGGGGCATCCGTTGCAACCAGTGGCAAAGCGGAACACGTAAAAAAACGGAATTACTATATCCAGAGGGATAGAATTAAAATAATGATATAGGATATTATGGGTGAAAAAATCATTCATGCGCGGCTTTGGATTTGTTTTTGCAGAGAGAAATATTTCTGTCATAAAATTCGAAGAAAATTAATTTTACATTTCCTTTTTTATGCAACAATTCAATTTAAAATATTTAAACAAATCAAGGATTATCATAAGCACAAAATTCCTTTAAATTAGCTGATTTAGATTTATGAAAATATTTTAAGCTAATAAGATGAAGATGAGAATTGGTTTTGTAATTTGTTTTTAGTGTACCATAGGACAGTGGCTGTTGCGCAGCTTATCTCATAAGAAATTGAGAAATTTGCAATCAGGATGCCGACTTCCACAGTAGACGCCTCGGGCAGTTCGCACCTAGGACTGTAATTGGTGTTGCTTTTCTCGTTGTTGCTCGGCTCGCTTATTCGCACTTAGGAGAATGGGTCGCATTACCCTACACAGGATGCAGGATATACAGCATTTAAATTGCATAAGCCAAGTGCTTTAAGCAGTCGTCCTGCAGCAGGATTTGCATTCTCTGTGGCTGTGTCTGTGTGTGTGTGACAGGTTTTATCCACTCTGGGGATCGGGTCCAAGGCAGGAAGAGGATTGCCCGGTGCCGTGCCCATGACTTGCCTGACTGGGCTTGTTTACAATTTAAATCGAATTTCCTGTGTGCTGTAAATAAAGTTTGCAAAAGGCATTTCGCTCGGCACACAAAAAAGTGTCCTGTGACCACAGCAGCAGGAGACGCATTTGAAAGGCGGTGTAAGCTGAATAAGCAGTAAATTAATTTCCGAAAACATCATGAAATACGGTTTTATTTCAAGAGCCCTTCCTAATTCCGACAATTAACAAGGTGGTGCTTCAAGTGGCCACTGGTCGCCCTCCGCAAAACTTTAAGAACGATTTTGGTAGAGGGTCTTTTCAAGTTAAAACGGCTTTCCTAATTGCAGTCGGAATTTGTATAGGTTAAAAGTAAGATTTATACATAAAAATCATATACACTATAAAAGCGAATAAAAAATACTAAGCTAATAATTTGTAATGCTATTAATATCATTTTAGACACATCTGCATTTATTAATAGAATTTCGGTGGAAACGTTTCTCAAATGAGTTACGGTCTCCTTTCATTAACAGTGGATTTTTAATTAGCACATTGGAAGAGTTTTCTACTTATGTTCAATGAAATGGTATTCTGCAATTTCTGCCACACAATTGTCACACATTTCAGCGCCCTAAGGTACACCTAAAGTAGTATGTGAAAAGTTAATTCTCGAACGAAGGCACACAAAAGGCTGCATTGTTACCGGTTGAACAGACCCAATTTCGGTCTTAGTTTCAATTTCCCAAAAATATTTGAAATTTATGGGCAACATGCAATTAACTTGCTCGAAAATGTGCAACATTTGCCATTTGAATGCGTTTCGGTGGCCAAATGTAAGCCGGTCTAACATGGCAAACAATGCAGCTGTGATGGCCAGCCGGAATTGCCCTTCTCAGGCTGGGCAGGTATGTCACCTGGCCAGGCGGCAGTTATGCAACTAATAAGCCCAAGGTACTGAGCCATGGATCAGACGACCGAGAAGCAAGCCGTTGGAAAATTGCAAATTACAAATTCTGCAACCAAAACGCACGGCTGCTTTGTTGCTGCCCTCACATACTTTTCGCCTCTCCCTCGGACGGTTGATTGCAATTTCCAGGACAACACAAAAAAAAAATGTACAAGCACTGATTTCAGTGCGGAGAATTTACAAGCAATTGTATGCCAATAAGGAAAAGCAGGCAACACGTGTGTCCCACAACAACAGCCACATGGGGGGAGTCAAAAAGGAACAGTCGGGCGGAGGACCAGGAGCAAAAAACGTGGACTACCAGTGGACTATTGCAATAAAAGAAATTCTGCGAATATTTCAAGCCAGTCAGCAGTCAAGCGCACACAGGGCGGCTGTGCGATATTTCTATGCGCACGAGCTCGCATACACAGAAAAGCAATTTCGATATAAGCACCTTATGCCAGATGACCGTGGAGTGGAACTAAAGGAAATAACTTAAAAGGGTTGATTTGAACAAAATATCTGAGGCTTTTTTGCCATTTCTTGCAGCTTTAGTTTTATTTCAGTGGTTTAAAAAGCAATAAAATAGAAAACTTTAGTCAATATAAACCTCTCAACCCAATCTGAGTTTTTATTTTAATTTATCCATTAATAAAATGTTAGCTTTTCGAATAAAATATCTTATTTTAACAAGCATTGCAAGTTTAAGTTCAAAACAAGTTAAAATATAATACAATGTTAAGCTTGGGTATTGTAAAGTTATCTTGAAATCAAAATTAAATTGGTCTTGGACCTATTAAAAAAGTAGACAGATTAAAAAACTACGATAAATTTCAGGAACATGCTACTTTGATATTCTTAAATAATTATTGCTGTGAAATGGCTTTAAAAGGCGGCTTGCTGTGAAAATGATATATTAGAAATATTCAGATTTTAAGGAAGATCGGTGCCAATGTGCATTGCTATGTCTGCTTCTGCTGCTGACTGCTGCTCCTGGCTGGCATGCCCCTTAGTGGTCTTGGTGCTTAGCGCGTGATTTATAACAGCAGGGAAAAAAATAGAAAGTCGAAAAAAACGAAGCCAGCTCAGAGCAGAAGGCAGAGAGCAGAAAGTAGAAAGTAAAGCTCGGGAACGACGGGAGCCAAGAACCACGGCGTAAGGCTCGGCTACTGTGTGGCCAAGAGCACGTAACTGTTAGCCGGTTTCCCATTTCCGGCTGTCATGTGCAGCCAAACCGAGCAGAAGATTGTGCTCCATTTGCCTGGCCCCCAAGAACCGATCTGGCCCAGCTGCAATTTAAGCTCCGGCCTCGATATTGCCCCGAATACGTTGATATATGTATGTATGTTGTGCGACGGGGGTGTTGCTCAATTTCGAATGGCGGAGGCTGTGGCGATGCCCCCTGGCCGACTACCAACTGGCAATTGCATAGTTAATCAAGAAAACAATCAACTGAGGCAAGCCATTGATTTATTATGCAAACAACTGCCGAGACAATGAAGCGGCGGGTGGTGGAGCGGCTTAGTTGCCTGGCTTTTTAATCGGCGGGTAAACAGTTATTAATTGCGCGCCGATTGTTTGCTGTGGCTTATACAAATGCCATTGCCTACTTACCGACGTAGCGGGGCTTTCGCGAATTAATCTGTTATGATTGTCATTTGATAAGCTTTCTGCGCGGCTGGGGGACACACTTGTCAAACGAATGGATTGCTCAGTTTGGCAGCATCGTTAGCAGCAAATTTAGACGAATTGTCTACTTAGGCCGGGATCAATCGGTTCGGCTTACCTTCCAATTTGAACCATTCATTTATCATTAAATTCATCAATTCTCGGTGATTCAGATATACAGAAATGCCTTAATTAATGCTGGTAAAATATAATACATTAGTTACCAGTAATTTCCAGTTCAACCAATTCATTTAATATAAGTGGCATTAAAAGTTTAATAAGCTTTTGATTCCCGCCTGTTTCGGAAGTTATAAATGTATATTTCACTATAGGGAGTTTCAAACAACTTTTAATAAAATTATACAGAAATACAAATTTGGTAACCCCTTAAGGGCAATATTTTAAAAAGTTTTAGCTCTTATTCTGCAACTATGAAGACAAATGGCTTATCGATTTATGTTGACTACGTGTTTGAGGATTAAGAATTTAGGAGGGAAATGAAAAGGCGATTGCCGGCACTTACCACGTCGATCAGCTGGGAAAGGCGCAGACCCATCTTGACGGTGAGGCGGTCCGAGTTGTTGCCCACGGGTCGGATGAGGCGATTGTAGTTGCTCAGCAGGTCGTCGTAGAGTCGCTTAGCATCTGGGTTGGCCAGGCCGCCGGTGGCAAAGTGTAATGCTATGAATACAGCTGCGAATAGCACGCTACCCATCTTAGGCCAGGTCCAACCCTGCAAGAGGACAAATAAATATGGAAATAAGTTGCGGATAATGTCTTCTGGCAGTGTAGCTTTAGTTATGCTTGCATTAGCATTATTTCAGCATAAAACATAAAAACTTTTCGCTGCAATTGTGCAGGGGGAAAGCCGAGTGAGAGTCGTAAATTTTGCAAAAGTGTCAAAAGTCTTAGAGCTTTGTTCCCTTTCGGGCACCACAGCATGCAGCCATAAACACCATTTAATCTTTGGCTCAAACACTCAAGACACCATCGCAAACATGCATGTCGGTTTGCGTGTGAGTGTGCTGAAGTATCCTTCCGCATCCTGCGTCTTCTGGCTGCCATCCACATGCGCTCAACATTTTTGTTATTGTTCAATCCCGGCGTCCAGCCCCCACAATTGCCCAGACACCCACTTAATATGCGTTTCTGCATTTTATGCATAAAAATCCTTTCGTTATTCCAACTGACATCCTTAAGTGCTGTCGTGTACAGCTACATTAAGCACAAACAAGCAATTATAATCAATTCCTGGGCATTCTTGCCAATTAGCAGTAGAGCACAAGTTGTTTAGATGGTAAGAAAAAGATATGATAACAAATAAATAATAGTCAGTTTGCCCATGTAATTGAGACAAAGGGAAAACTGTTTGACTCTGCAGATATTCCTAGGAAAGAATAAATTCGAATTTGGTGGCAAAGCAACTTCAGGCGCCATAAACAAATCTTTTTACACTGCATGAGGAGTACATTTTTATTTACTTACATATAACTCATCACTAGCTCGATAAATCTGAGCTCTTTTGGCTAACTCAAACAGTCACTTGACCAAGAGGTTTTATGCCGACTCAAGATTTGCCCAAGCAAAGCAACCAACTGTAACCTAAAACTTTTAACTGAAAACTGTAAACTCGAAACTTTGCTTCTTTCAGTTTAGGTTTTTTTTTTACAACTCCGCAAAAGTTTTTTGCAAAAGATTTTATGAGTCAGAAGGAAAAGAAGGGGGAAAGTTTTCAATAATTTAAAGTGTACATATGTGGAAGACTTAAAGTGGGGGGAATGCTATCCCTTCATCCAATTACATTTGTCAATTTGATGGTTAGGCAACGAGGCTAAATTAATTATGCTAATTTAGTATGTAAAATGTTTGTAATTTGTGCATTGATTTCATAAAAATGCGTCTCTCTTTCGCCCCGAAATAAATCAAATCACATACCGACGTCTGCATAATTTAGCACAAAACACGTGTCAGTGACCGCAGAACAAAGCAAAAACAGCATGGAAAGAAATAATAATAATAGCAGAGGGGCCAACATGACACATACAGAAAATGGCGACAGGGCACACAGTGAACAACGAAAATGGCCGACATAAACAACGACGACGAAAATGAATGTCATTTCGAGGGCTATTTATGCGCCTCTTAGTTGGCAGATTATTTCATTTTCATTTCCATATGACCATTTATATTTATTTATTATTTATACTTCCCTCACACACGCACGCACACACAATTCTGGCCACAATTTGGCTTGCTGCGGCTGTCAACGTTGCGTATGCGCAATATTATTTGCTGACTATTTATTAATATATATGTGTGTATACCGGGTGTATGTGTATAAACTTTTTTGTTTAAGCATTGCTTACCATAAAAACCAGACGATGACGTGTCCTGCCCCCAAAAATAGCTCGCATTGCCATTAATGAAAAATGTAAACTGCAAAACTTTCGCATGGAATTTTCGCTGGCTTTTTGTTGGGAAAGTTTTAGAAGGACTAAAAATGCTAGTTGAAAACACAGTGGGGTAAAAGAGACATAAGTGTGTTGAATGAGTCTTACACCATTATCCCATCTTAGTTCCATTTCATTTATGTGAAGAATTGGCCGAAAAGCTTACAAATCTAATTTAATATTGAAGTAGAGTTAAGGATCGTTCAAACTTTTTTATAATAATGTAAAAGAAAAAATTTTGATACTATGCTATCAATGCTTTTAACAAGTTGTAATTTCCTCCAGAACTTCGCTTTTGATTACTTCAATGAATAATAAAAAGAAAAATGCTTTTAGATCATTAAAGATACTATTTTTAATCTTATCCTTTATTTCCAACACAACAACCACTGTACGCCATTTTAATTACAGAAATGGTCTTATTCCATTTTGGTTATTCGGAGTTGGCAGCATAATGAAGCCAAAAAAATGACATTGACTGCGGGCCACAATTTTAATTGCAATCAGGGAAAGACAGAAAAAAGGCACAGATAGAGAGGAGACCAGTTTATTGCAGAATGAACTTGATTTGAGCACTCCCAGGATATGCTGTTTTCTGCTTTAGAAGGGCAACTGTGAAATAATCGCCCTGTGCTTCATTCTCATTTGGTGGGGATTGAAGTCCACTACGACCACGATTAGTTGCAGCAAAAGCAATATGTGCAGTCCCCTGCCAACAGCAGTACAAATTGTTATGTAATTGCCCGATGTGTATAGAGATATACACTCCACTACAACGCCGCACAAAGCAAACAATGCCGTCCTGTTTCGATGCTCGCCGCTTTCTTCCATTTTATTAGCACTTGTTGGTCGCCGGAGCCAAGGGGGCTGTGGCATAAAAATAATAAGTATCAAAAATAACTGACCAGCTCTATGGCCGTAAAGAGAACGAGACGAACATTGAATGCACTCGACGTGTCCGACGGCGGCTATAATTTCAATCACTTCCCCGGCAACTGCAGTGGCAGTGGCAGTAGCAGCCAAAATGTGGCATTAAAAACACTCGTAAACGATCCTGGACGCAGGGGTGGAGCGGAAAAGCTGAGCTGAGGGGTGGATTTTAGTGTATCCGCTTTTCCTTTGCCTTTTTTTTCCCTGTTTGAGTGCAGCCAGCGAAATTGCAGCAAATATTGAAAGAGAAACTATTTGTTAGCTAGCCGTCAATTTGTTCGTAATGAGCTGCGGCTGAGTCCAAATCCCTGGCTCTTTGTTGCTGTCCAGCTTTTGTTGCTGTTGTGCCACAAATGAAAATGTCTTTCAGCGTGGTAAATATTTTATGTCATTTCTGTGCTCGTCTTTTGTGCGCTTTCTGGTTGTTGCCTCTCTGGGTGTTTTCTTTATTTTTTTCTGTTTTTGGTTTTCGACTCTGCCCCGACTATGCCCCGCTTCTTGTTCCCTTTTTGTTTGGCATTTTTAAGCGCCAGTAAATTTTTTAGTAGGCAGAGCTGCGCAGAGCAACCGCAGCAACGTCGGCGGCAGCAACAATAACCAAGTGGAGCTCTGCCGGAAACGGCGTCGACGGCAACATGGCTGGCGAGTCAACTTCCGCTTGCTGGCTGTATGTTTGTGTATGTGTAGGTGTGTGGGTGTTAAGGGTGTAGGGGTGTGTGGGTGTGTGGGTGCTCTGGGCGAAGGGACTCTTGCAATTTTCCAGTTGAGTTCGTTTTTCATTTCCGTGTTATTTGTTTTGCATACGGCACTTCGTCCCTTATCCCATTTCTTTGTTACTCTCTCGCTGCCTTTTTCGTTGCATACTTCTGGGTTGATATATTAACATGGCCGCAACGGCAGCTGCCATTTTTGGCATTGTTATTGTAATTGCTTTTGTCTCTACGCCCCCGTAATTGAATTTCACTTCTCCCTGGGAAAAGACCCATCATCATGGCACTTAATCCGTTGGTTCCCCATGCGAATCAACTCGTTTCCCTGCCCGAAATGGCTGCACTCAGAATAAAAATAACTCTTAAAAATATTTGACATACATTCCTTTTGAAGAGTGTTAGCCCATAAATTTAATTTTACATTTCCTTGTGATTATTGTCTATATTTCCTAAATATAAAATTATTACTCCTAAATTTGCATTTATAAGAATTTTTTTTATTTTAACTGATCATTAATAAAACTATAGAATACATGAATTACTTATTTAAAAATAGCTTCAAATTAAGAATGTGGGTAAGCAAAATCAAAAACTTTAAAAAATGTCATGTCTAAGTAAATGCCATAAAACATACGGTCAAGTTCTTTTTAGTGTCCTGTTAACTCAAGCCATTCGATTGCCTAATTTATTCAAATATATTTCATCTCATTGCAGATGGTCTGTCATTCTCATTGATTGGCCTCTTATTAGCTGGCTAACTATCTGGCTGAGTGCATTTTTACCAAATTATGCAAATTTTACAGAGAATTATGTGCAGAATCCGATGCATGCATAATTTGTAGATATTTTTAAGTAATTTCTTGGGAAAATAGAGAAGGGCAGTGCCTAAATTGTACTCCGAAATTTCATAGCCAAGAGCTAAAAGCCAGCACGCAAATCAGATGGGGAAAAGGTGGGAAAGGGAGAGAAACAGGGGCAGAGATAGAGATAGAGAGAGTTGTATAATCAAAGAATCGCACACACACAGCTGTAATCTGTGTGTAGGTGGGCTAAAATATCTGCCAGAGTTTTTTGCGTGTACTTTTTGTTGGGTAAAAGTAAAAGCAGAAATTTGGTTATTTGAACTTTTGCTCATGAGCGCCCTCAGGTAGCTTGTTAAACATTCTTGGGTTGCCTATATACCTGTATTTATATACACAAATATACGTGTGTGTATATATTTTCTTCAAAAAAAAAAGGAAAGTTTCAACTTGAAACATGAAAATTTTGCATATGATAAGCAAATAAGCAGATGTATGAAAGGTAGCAAGGTAGAAAAGTTTTATTAGATTCTTGATTCGTGAAAGAAGAGGAAGCGCGCTTTTGTGGCCAACTTAGGCTATGAATATGCGGCCCAAAACCTTTTGAAATATGCGAAACATTTGAAAATTATTTTTGCATAAATAACATTTGTGTAGTCTCATGTGTGTGCCAGCCAAAGGGTTGCAAATGAGCCGAAACATCTGAACATTCGTCTCAAAGAGGCTTACCAACTACCATCGCCCAGTCGTTTGAGTAAGGCAAATGATGTGCAAATATGCGTAAACCGCACACAGATCGTGGGACCGTACAATGCGGCGAATGCGCAATATTTAATTTCAAGT